AGCGCCACAGCAGATTTTGCCGCGTTCGTGTTTCGATTCTTGATGTTTTGTGCCTCGTCTGCACGTTGAGCAAGTGACAAGCCAAGGTGACCCACCGACCACGACGCGGAGCCACTTGACGTCGAACACTGCATGAGATCCTTTCTTCTTTGGCATCTTCTTCTTCTTCAGCTTCTCGGCTAGGCTGTCATCTGAGCTCAACTGGTCGTCGGATGGCTGTTTGTGAGGCTGCGTACTGCCTTCCATCTTGTACGAGGTGTATTCCGATGCCACGGTCTGGAACGTAGTGATGACCACGTCGAAACCTTGCAGTGTTTTCCCGGCTGTTGAGGTCAGCATGGGTATCTTCGGTGACTCACATTTCGTCCTCGATGGGCCGTGGTGAGTGGTGACGGTCAAAGCGCCAGGCTTGGTTTTTGAACGGACTTCTGTCGCCCACTGCTCCATAACGGCGAGCGGGGCAATGATCCTGAAGCATGAGCGGTCGTGCAAATGGCGCAGCTCACAAGGTGCCGGCTTTCCAACCTGCTTTTAGTTCTGCAGTGGTTGCCTTGCCTTCCACCACACGTGCAAGGGTCTGGACCGTCTTTCCAAGACCCATGTCCTGACCGAATGAGCGAGAAAACATAGCAACCACTCACATCCGCTAGAATTCCGCCATACTTTCGCGCCGACTCTCGCTGTCGCATCCATCTCACTCCTCTGACTTGATGCGGCATCAACCTGACATTGTCCGCAAAGCCCTCGACGATATCTTCGCCTTCCTGAACTTTGTCTTCACCCATATCATCCTCGCCATCTCCTACAGCTCCAGAGAGCAGTTCTCGCATATGCTCATCCGCGTCGCCTTGATGCCTCTCCCAGTCGGCTTGGTTGTATTCAATCTTATTCAGGTCAAAGACTTCACCTTGAGGTTCGTCGTCTGGTACGGCGATTGGCTGCGGGGCTTTCGCATGGGATTGACCGGGAGCTTGAAGTGGATTGTGCTGCGAAGCGGGGTTCGCGAGCCACGATGGCCAGGCCTTGTCTGGCGCGCGGCCGACTGTTCCAGTGGATGCCGGCTGCGGCGGCTGAAAGCGATGCGGCGCAGAGGTTGAGGTCGATGTAAACGCACCAGAGCTTGGTTTGATAAAGTCAACGAAAGACCGACCTTGACCCTGACTGGAAGGATTTGACCGAGACGGTGCCGAGTTCTTCGATTTGAGGATGGATGATCCAAAACCAGCCCCTGGCGGGTCCCCCTTAGTCAGATCGATGGGCGCATTGACATCGCCTTGTGCCAAGTAGCGATCCTTACTGAGCCCGGCTGGGTTGTTGCTGGTGGACATGGCGGGAGATGAATAAGAGGGGAAGGGTGCAAAGGCTGATCGCTGGGAGGATTGAGCTGGTCGGGTGAAGGTCGGGTGAGGTCTTTGCTTGGATCCAAGTGGTATAAGATCGTAGTATGAAGATTGGGATGATTGAGACTGAGCAGGAGGCTTATAGGTTGTGTTCGAGCCTTGGGAGCTTTGCTGAGGTGAAGCGTTGCTCTTGGTGGGTGAAGGTGTCGGATCTGGTGTGGTGAGGTCGACAAACGTGTACTTGTTGGGCTGAGTAGGTCGTTTGTGTTGAGAGGATGGACCCGGTTGAGATGTACTACCACCACCGACAGAATGCGAAGGAATGAACATGTCGAGGGATTCCATCCTGGACGGTTGATGTATATTGGGGGGGCGCCGAGAGCACTTCAGTAGAAATAGAATCGAATCAATGAACCCGAGCTGCTGCAGTTATTATTTGTTGACGACTTCAATTCCACTCACAACCACGTGGGGAAAACGTGACGTAAGAAGAACCCCCCAGTCTTTCTCATATAAGGATGTCTCTGTACATTGTGATATCATCTGAAGACATCCTGGCCGATGCTATGTCCTCACTGCCCGCCGAGAAGGCTGCTGCTGCTGCAGGAACTCGGAAGGAGCCTCCTCGCGCGGAATCCCAGGCCCCCGCCGTTGCCTTCTTCTTGGAAGCGCCAATTCCACATTGCTCGCGTGCAGCAGACTCCGCGGCAGATACAACGTCGATTGGCTTCGAGATCCGTCACAAAACGCATAGGGCAGCTCTGTAGGGCATATGGCACAGTGCCAGAGTCACGCAAGGTTGAAGACCCATCCCAACAAGTGGGTGCCCATGTGCGGCTGGACTGACGACGGAACAGCCGAATGAGCCAGAGCTGCATGAATCGCCGTATACTTTACCCAATGCCTTGACTCTGGCGAGGATACTGGCGTGTCCGTGGCTGGGCTATGAGATTATTCACGAAGAGTATGCCTGGGCGACGGGCATCCTCTTTGCTTCTGGACTCTCTGACTGGGTACGCATCCGTCAAAGCCGCTATGACTGATGCCAGCTCGACGGGTATCTCGCACGGAACTGGGGAGGGCAATCCGTCCTTGGATCAATACTCGATCCCGCTGCAGACAAGGCACTCATGACTACCCTAGTCGTAACCTTGGCATACAGCGGTTTGCTGCCGAGTCAGTTCAAGGTTTGAGGAGTTCTTCGCTGACCCCGCAGTACCCCTGGCGGTCCTCATTCTAGGTCGCGATGTCGCGCTCTCCATCTCCGCCTTCTATTTTCGGTTCATCTCTCTTCCTCGACCCGTGAGTGACGGCGTGCGTGCACACATTGATTCGGGATAGAGGACCTTGAAACGATATTTCGACCCCTCCATCCCTTCGGCAGAAGTCAAACCAACGCAGATCAGCAAGGTAAACCAGTGCCTCTAGAAGGAGCTGATACACTTCGCTAGATCAACACGGCGCTGCAGCTCTTGCTGATGGGGGTCACGACCGTGTCTCCGCTCATACATCTGCCATTAGGCACCCCTTTGACCCTTTTGCAGTCAGTATAAAGTATGAGACTGATGTGCTGATGCATGTACCAGGTGGACAGTTGCTGGGACGACCATTTGGAGTGGGTTTAGCTACCTGGGAAGGTCAGGTGTGAAGATCCTAGGCAAGCAAGGAAAGTGAATCTGGCTCTTTGTATTATACCACGTCATGCCATCTTTATCAGTCATTTCAGCTGAAACGTTAAGTCAGTCGAGTCTGAAATTCCAAGCAAACCATAGCTAAAGCCTGTAATCGCCCCGGTCTACTATCGTAGAGTCTCCCCATCGACTCTGTCCACCACGACGAGCCTTCGGACGCTGTCGTGCTCCGCACATTCCTTTGCATCCTTTGTCCGGTCGAGTCGACACTCCATTTTTGCCGGATCTGCGTATCGACTCGATCATTCTAGATTGAGGAGCACCATGGCAGCTCAAGTACAGCACGACGCCCCAGCTGGGTCCGTCGTCATCATGGAGAAGGTGAGCATTACAAATCGCTATGGCTGATCCGCGACAGACTGGCAAGCGAGACTATCTTATAGACATTGCCAAGGAGGCGCAAGCTTCCTGGCAATCCCAACATGTCTTTGAGACTGATCCCGCTCCTCTGCCCGAGGGCATCAGTTCCTACGCCGAGTTCTTCGCCAAGGGCAAATCCATGGAAGAAGTTCACGAGCAGCATCCGAAATGGTTCGGAACATTTCCTTATGCCTATATGAATGGTCAACTGCACATGGGTCACGCTTTCACCATTTCAAAGATTGAGTTTGCCGCTGGGTTTGAGAGGATGAGGGGTAAGAGAGTGCTGTTCCCTCTGGGATACCACGTCACCGGAATGCCCATCAAGGCGAGTTCAGACTGTGTGTCTGTCGGCTGATATCCTCTAGGCTGCGGCTGATAAACTCATTCGAGAGATGGAGATGTTTGGCGAAGACTTCAGCGGGTACAAGCCTGAAGAGGACCCCGCTGCCGACAAACCCGCTTCCTCATCGAAACCCGCCGAAAGCAGCGACCCCTCAAAAGGCAAAAAGGGCAAACTCACCGCCAAATCGACAGGTCTGACCTACCAATTTCAAATCCTCGAGCTCTCCGGTGTGAAGCGCGAGGAGATCCCCAAGTTCGCCGACACGCAATATTGGCTCAAATACTTTCCTCCCATTGCGAAGGATGATCTGAGTGTCCTTGGAGCGAGGATCGACTGGAGGAGACAATTCCTGACGAGTGAGTGCGTATGACTCGCCCAGCTGACAGGCAGCCGACGCGAACCCCTACTATGACTCGTTTGTGAGGTGGCAGATGAACCGACTGCACGACCAAGGCAAGATCAAGTTTGGACTGAGGTACACTATCTACTCACCAAAAGATTGTCAACCATGCATGGATCACGACCGTTCGAGCGGAGAGGCTGTCAATCCGCAGGAGTACACTGCTGTGAAGATGGAGGTGCTGGAGTGGGGTCCCAAAGCCAAGAGCGAAATGCTGCAGGCTATTGGCGGAAAAAAAGTTTGGCTGGTGGCTGCAACCCTGAGACCAGAGACAATGTGGGTTCCCGCCGTCGAACCCGCTGACGGTCAGGTACGGGCAGACAAATTGTTTTGTTGGACCCACGCTCGATTATGGCCTCTACGAGGCCGGATCTGACCTCTTCCTCATCACTGACCGTGCTGCACGAAATATGGCTTTCCAGGGAACTTTCGGAGGAGAACGCGGAGAATACAAAAAAGTAGTCGACGTCAAGGGAGAAGAGGTCATTGGAACCAAGGTTCGCCCGCCGTTCGGCCTCGTTGAGGAGGTTTATGTTTTGCCAATGGAGGGTGTCCTTGCGACCAAGGTGGGTCCACCAATCCTCGCCATTCTAACCCGCAGGGAACTGGTGTCGTCACCTCTGTGCCTTCCGACTCGCCCGACGACTACAGGACGCTCATGGATCTGCGCAAAAAGGCTGATATGTACAAAATCAAGCCTGAATGGGCCGCGGTGGACCCGATACCTGTTCTGTCCACGCCGAAATACGGTGACATGGCCGCCGAAGTCCTCTGCAAAGAGCTCAAGATCCAGAGTCAGCGTGATACCAAACTTCTAGCAGATGCCAAAGAGCTCGCATATAAGGAGGGATTCTACAATGGTGTCATGACCGTTGGAGACTTCAAGGGCGAGTCGGTGCAAGATGCTAAACCGAAGGTTCGACAGCAAATGATTGATGCTGGTGTGGCCGTGCCATATGCCGAGCCTGAGAGTGAAGTCATCTCCAGAAGTAGCGATGTCTGTGTGGTCGCTCTGATTGATCAGTGGTATCTGGATTATGGGGAGGAGAAGTGGCGGGCACAGGCGTCCAAGTGAGTACACAACGCTACCACAAGCTAACCTGTAGGGCTCTCGCTCAGATGAACACGTATTCTGCCGAGACGAGAAATGGATTCGAAGGTGTTCTCAACTGGCTGAATCAGTGGGCATGCGCTCGATCCTTTGGTCTTGGAACGAGACTGCCATGGGACCCGCAATTCCTCGTCGAATCTCTGTCCGACTCTACCATCTACATGGCGTTCTATACCGTCGCGGATCTGCTGCAAAAGGACATGTGGGGTCGCGAGCCTGGGCCTCTGGGTGTCACGGCGGAGCAAATGACGGACGAGATGTGGGACTATGTCTTTGGATCCGCGCCTTTCCCCTCGGGATCCAACGTGCCGGAGGAGAAGGCGGCTCAGCTCAAGTATCACTTCAACTACTTTTACCCTCTGGATGTGCGATCGTCCGCCAAGGATCTCATTCCGAACCACCTGACATTCTGGATTTACAATCATACTGCCCTATTCCCGGAGAAGCACTGGCCCAGAGCCGTGCGATCCAACGGTCATCTCATGCTGAACGGGAAGAAAATGTCAAAGAGTACTGGAAACTTCATGACCATGCGGGAGGCTATCGAGAAATACGGTGCGGATGCGACTCGGCTCAGTCTTGCCGATGCGGGTGACGAAATCACGGACGCCAAGTGAGCTATGAACGTGGCCTGGGCTGACGAGTAGCTTTGAGGAGACTGTTGCTAATGCCGCCATCCTCCGTCTGCACACAGCGGCCACCTGGGCAGAGGTGAGGAGACCCTCTGACATGACTGACAGACAATCAGGAAATGAAAGAAGCCTCTGTATCGCTGAGGACAGGCGAATACAATCAGTTTGACCGCGATTTCGAGGTCGAAATGAACGATCTGGTCGGTCAGACTTACCAATCGTTTGACCGGTGAGTTGCACATCCGTTTCTGGCTGACGCCCAGGATGGAATACAAGGCTGCGCTCAAGACGGGTCTGTATGACCTCGAGATAGCCCGAAACTGGTACCGAGGTGTCTGCAACCCGGAGAACGGAGGGCCAGGGATGCACAAAGACCTCGTTTTTGAATTCATCCGCAACGCAGCTCTAATGATTGCGCCGTTCACACCTCATTATTCAGAACACATTTGGCACAATGTGCTCAGCGAGACATCTTCTATACAGACCGCGCAATTCCCCAAATGGACCCCTGTTGATCCCAAATCCGTGGCCCAGCTCGACTACATGCGAAGTATCGTTGATAACATGCGAAGTGCCGAGGCGACGCTGCTCAAGCGAAACAAGAAGGGATCTCCCATGCTTTACGACCCCAACAAGCCAAAGGCTGTCAGGTTTTACGTCGCATCCGAGTTTCCCGAGTGGCAGACGCAATGCGTTGAGATTCTCAGGAGGGCCTGGAACGGCAAGGAGTTTGACGATGTCAAAATTCGAGAAGAGCTGGCCAAGGTCGGTCTTGCGCAGGATAAGAAGGACAAGAAGACGATGCCATTTGTGCAGGCGTTCAAGGTGGGTCGTCCGCGTGGGCTCGTCTGACGTGTGTAGCGAAAAGTCGCGCAATCGGGTGAATCGGCATTCGACCGAAATCTGCCATTCTCAGAATACGATGTCATTGTCCTGCTCAAGCCGTACATCCAGGGCAACCTCAAGCTCGCGGAGCTCGATGTCATCTCGACAAAGGACGCTCTGGCACGCGTGGAGAAGGAGGGAGAGTCGGAATCGCTATCACGAGAGCGGATAGAGAGCGCAGAGCCCGGCACGCCCGGCATGCAGTTCTGGAACGTGTAGATGATCGTCATTATCATTCATGAATACAATAGCTACACATTCAGTACCCTAACCTGGCGTCTGGCGCACAAAGCTGATTCCAATCGTTCGGCGTCTCGAACGCGGCAATCTCGTCCGGTAGGTCAACAATGGCGAGCAAGAGCCCGATCTCCATGTGCCATGTCTGGGGGGTCAGCAAAGATCCTACATGATTCTCTCACGATGTGGCAGTGGAAGACCCAGACACCTGGGTTGCTGGTATCTATCCGCAGGACTAGATGACCATATGCTGGGATAATGACTGTATCCCTTCGCATAGGATTGGTCATGTTGAGACTGCTCGAGTCCTCGTAGAACCCAGTCGAGCCCATCGACATGATTTGAAAGGTGTGACCGTGCAGGTGGAAGGGATGATCCCCGTCGTCCAGAGAATTGACAATCAGATCCATGTATTCTGGCTTTTCATTGATGATTGTCAACTGCGAGCCCAGTCGGCCATCCTGCAGTTGACTCATGGCACTGGCGTTTCCGCTAAAAGAGCTTGCGCCGATGCTTTTGATGGTCCCAATGGTCGATTGGCCCGGGGCCATCGGTGTCCAAGACGACGAGTTGAAGAACACTGAGAGTGAGCTGGGCAAGGGGATCTTCACTCACTGTAATGCTGCTTGTCTGTCGTGTATTGCATTCCGAACTGAACAAACACCTGTTTGCTCGGTGGCACAGCGTCGATTCTATCGGCGGGGACGAGTTGACTAGAGTCAAAGCTTGCTGTACCGTTTAATGAAGGCGCCGGGAGATTAGCAGGCATCAATGTCGGATCAACTCCTTGATATCTGAGAACACCGAGCGTCGTGGCGTTGAAATCGGGGGTCGTATATCGGAGCTGGTCGGTGGCCAAAGTGTTTCTGATCCAATAGGCACCTTTGGTCTGATTGAGAGTCACCAAGACGGAGTATCTTTGCGCGACGCCAATATCCACAGAGTTAACGGTGTAGGGTATGACGCTCGTCCCGTCCGCTTCGATGATGGTCAAAGGGTGTGAATCGATACTGAAAATGGTATTGACAAACGTGCCTGGGTTAATCAGTCGGATGCGGTAGGTGTCGCCTTGGACCCAGGTGACATTCCAGTAGTCGACATGCTCAGATCCGCAATAATTTGAGGATGGGTAGAAAGCGTATTCGCCAGCTTGGCGCTCTGACACATCTCGCCGACGTTCAGGTTCGACATCGTTTGATGCGGGTAGGTAGGCGCAGCGTGCTTGAGATACTCCATTGATCATACTATATGTCAGAAATGTAATGTCATCAGACTCACCCTCCATCTGGTGCAGGCTCGTCTCCTGGATTCCCGTCCAAGCCGGTTCCAAGCGCTTCGTATCGCCAAGTGATGGCCGACGCTTGTGTATTGTACATGTCGTTGATCATGACTGTATAGTCCTCGTCATATTTGTTGGCGGTCATGGCAGTCTCGTTTGGCGTATGAAGGACGATCGGGCCGTAGAGACCGTCAGTGTACTACCGATCAGCAAGGGCGTCTCAAGGGTACTCACCTGAGCCGCCTTGTGCGCGTGGTACCATGAGCTACCCCACTGTTGAACGGTCCAGTTATAGGTCATGGAACCACCTGGCGGAATGCCACACTGGTGGGACTTCAGCAATGAGATTTATTAATTGTGGCTCACCTGTGTGACAGAGTATGTCCCGTCCATAAAGTTTTGATTTCGCAAATACATACCGTGCCAGTGGATAGTCGTCTCATTGGTCATGTTGTTGTACACATTGATGACGAATCGATCACCGAGGTTGCCCTCCAGCATGGGTCCAGGACTCATCCCGTTGATAACGATCATCGGCTTGATCAGACCTCCAGGGGCAGCATTCACTTCAGACAGCGTCCAATTGAATGTTCGGGTCTGCGGCTCCGTGGAGATTGTAAAGTTCCGATTGGATAGGAGCCATCTATCTTGATCTCCAAGCAGTTCTTCACGGGTCAACGTCGTCTTGATGTCGGTAGCGTTCTCTGGCCCTCCCGTCCAGATGGATGGACTAGGTGTAGCTGTAGGGCTGCTCTTGGCCGAGTGATGCTTGCCCAGACCGACTCCGAGTCCAAGCGCCAGACCGATCACAATGAGCGCACCGACAGCCAAGATCCACTTTCGACCTCGAGGGGTATGCCTTGGTGGCAACTCGTCATCAAAGTCCAGCGTCTCTGGCGTGGACTCCGGCTCTAGAGGCTCCTTCTCTCCATGACGATCATCAGACATGGCGGTCAGTCAATAGTGTCAGTGGTTTGGAGGAATCTTTGGTCGTCTCAAAATTTGGCCTCGACATGGCGCACCGGACCGAGATTCTTTCCGATGTCTACGCATGTTCGTGCGCACGTCTTCAAACCCTCTCGGAGCCATCGCTTCCTCTCGTGCGCCACCATTTCAACGCCCTTGAGTCCTGTGTCCTAAACGCAGGTCCCGCATGACTCGACGCACGTTTACAATATAAAAACGTCCTTGGTGTATGATCGGAGCTGACCGATGCACGGAATGTGATTGGACTTTGAGGTCGATCACATTTTTTGGGAAGCACGTTTGACTTGGGAGATGCTAAATTTAGATCTTCAATTGCGGGACTGGCCTTGCCGCCAACCATGGCTCAATGTACGGGACAGGGCATTCCTGAGGGGCTGACGACCGCGCAATGCCGAGGGCAAAGAACCCCGGAAACCCAGGGCTCAGAGAAAATTTCCAACGAATCCAAGCGAACGAAGGCGACCTGGCGGTGAGATATAAAGGGGGAGCCTGTTAGTGCACAGAACCATTACACCCCTCCTCAGCAAGCACCATGCTCAGCCAAGTCCTCCTCGCCCCACTGTTCGCCAAGCGAGCGTCCGCGTTCACCTCGGACAGCTTTGCTCCCCCTGCTGAATGCCCCACCTGTCTCTCCGCCAATTACACGGGCATGCCCAACGGCTCCTTGCCTCTTTCTCCTTGGGTCTCTGGAGCGGGTGAGTGACCTCCACACGAGCACGAGCTGAAGCTTCAGCATATGACCAAATCATCACGATTTGGCTGGAGAACACTGATTTTGCCGCCGCTGCTGCTTCGTCAACCTTTCAAAAGCTCGCCGCGGAGGGAATCCTCTTGACCAACTACAACGGTGTCACTCACCCTTCTGAGCCAAACTACCTCGCTGCGGGTGAGTAGTCCCTTCAGGGCATACGTGCTGACCTTCAGTCGGTGGTGACTTTTGGGGAATCGGAGACGACGAGTTCTACGCCATTCCCAGCAACGCTTCCACCGTGGTTGATTTGCTTGAGGCCAAGAATGTTTCCTGGGCCACATACCGTGAGCAGGCCTCCGCGACTCGGCTGACGAACGCAGAGGAGAGTATGCCCACCGACGGCGACGGCGAATTCGCATACTATAGCCACAACTATCTCAACGCGAGTGCTCCCGACTACAGATACTACGTCCGAAAGCACAACCCCTTCGTCATCTACAACTCTATCGCCAGTATCCCGGACCGAGCGCTCAGAATCCGAAACTTTAACGACTTTGCCGTCGATGTCAACGCCTCGGCCCTCCCTCAATACGTATGGATCACTCCCAATCTTGTCAACGATGCTCACGACACCGATGTGACCTTTGTCTCGGCCTGGCTGGAATACTGGCTCGTCCCTTTGCTCCAAAACCCCAAGTTCAACACCAACAAGACATTGATTCAAGTCACCTTTGACGAGAACGAGTCGTACACCATCCAGAACACTGTCTACACTGTGCTTCTCGGTGGCGCCGTACCTAGCAACCTTAAAGGCACCAATGACTCGACGTTCTACACTCACTACTCTCTCCTCTCGTCGGTTCAAAACAACTGGGACCTTGGCAACTTGGGTCGACAGGACACCAACGCGACCGTCGCTGCCGTGTTCGACTTCCAAGCCAACATTACAAAGTATCAGAACACCAAGCCATCCTCTGACCCGATGATGAACTTGACTGGCATCTTCCCTGGACCTGGCAACACGGAAATTTGGACGCCCGTCTTGGCCCCCAACACGAGTGCCAAGGGTGCTGGCAGTGGTAAGACTTACTACAACGCCTCCGTCATCGACCTCACCCTCACCTCATACACTCACCTGAACTTGACTGCTATGAACGCCGTCAACCCAGACACCATCAACCCGAACTACACTTACAACGAGGCTGCCATTGCCAACGCCACGAACAAACCGACTTCAGTCCCAGTCTACATTGCTCCTTCTACCACCTCTGGATCCCCCAGTGGAACTGCATCTGGCTCCAAGTCAGCTTCCAGCGCTGCGACGACTTCGGGAGGTGCTGTCAAGCTCGCGACTGGTGCAGGCGGCTCCTTGGCGGTGATTGCTGCAGGTATCATTGCTCTTTTGTAAGGGTCTTAAACATTTTCCGGATGACGGGTTCTCGAATGCATCGGGTTTCTGCAGACGTATAGTCCCGTTTGGAGTCTCGCCTTCCTTTCACCGCCATTCGGAGACCGCAGAGTAGGCTAGTGTCCGTTAGAGAATGATACGCTGTCCTTCACCCTTCATCACCTCAGTCGCAGTAATGCCGGACACCACTCAAGACACCGCCAACTGGACGAATCCCTCCTGCGACTGTCCCGCTCATCGAATTTATGGCCAGTCTGATGTCCCTCGATTCACTGAACCGTTGGCTCTCTCCTCCAGATTCGACTATTCGAATGGCAAGTCCAAGCGGTATTGTTTCCCAACGTGCGCTAGGATGGCCTTCCACACTGCATTGCATACGTGGGCAGCTAGAGAGAGCACACCTTTCACCATTCCCCAGTGTTCGTTTGCCCATCCAAAAGTGCAAGAGCTCTACGAATGCTCTCCTGAAGCTATCGAGAAGGCAGTCCCGGGGTACTGGCAGGATGCGTTGTTACTAGAATCGGTCGAGACCAATACGAATGAGGGGTTTATCAACGGCGCAAAGGGGTCGATTCTGCCCCTGGACAAGACGGTGTCCGTAGAAGAGAGTCTGAGACGATGGAAAGATTTTGAGACGGACCAGGGAACCCTGTCAAGCGTGGGCTGTAATGAGACAAACAAAGCAATGTTGCACGTTTGATCGAAAGCTTCGCCTGAACCCAGTATGACCATGATTGCATACTGTACATTTGAGCGTATAACGCGATTACACCTTGCGACCAGACTTTGGGTCCATAGAATCCGCCCAGATGATCTCACCCTTTTTGGCCGCTGCCTGATCGTCAGTCATATAAGTCTTGACGCCACTCCCACCTCGAGCTTTGACACCATTTCCGCATTACCCTCTCGTCTCCGTCTCACCTCATCCATTTGTCTCTTGAGCTCTGGGGATAACTTGGCATAGAATTGCTCTTCTGTCGGTGTTGCTAATCGCATGATTCCCCAACCTCCCGTTACCACTGAGGTGGTCAGATAGGCGAATCGGCGCAAACTCACTAGCTACCGTCAAGAGCGCCCATCTGATCGTCAGCTGGATATACATGCAGGGTTCCGCCCACCTTCCCCACATAATCTGCATCTTGAATGATTAGTGCGCGGTGATCACTTAGACAGAGAGCAGAGAGCATTTGAGCTGGCCGGCTATCGAGGCGATCGGGGTGGATTATTCCACGTGGCGCAATTTCCTCTTCCGGTATATAACTCGTCATGCGTATTTAATCCCCTATGAACACATCCTAGCCGTCAGCCCTTCCATAACATCAACCTTGCTGCCGCTGTCGTCGCTTGAACGTCTGGACTTGCTGCTGTTCCCAGGAAGAGGCCGGGCGCGCGCACATCTGTGATCGGTACCCAATCAAAGTGAATATCCGAGATCAAACCTGACCTATCAGTCAACACCCCGTAACATCCTTCAACCCCCTCCCCCTTTCGTCTCACGCAGAGGCCGACTTCCTCATGCCGGCTCAGCCCCCCGCACCACCCGTGCTCTACACGTTCCCCACGAATGACGTCCTCGTCGACTCGTTGGCCAACTTTGTGGTCAAGGCTCAGAACGATGCCATTGACAAGCGGGGCAAATTCAGTATCGGACTGTCGAGAGGAAGTTTGGCGGCCAACTTGAGAGGACTGGTGGGACAACAAAATGTCCGATGGGAGAAGTGGTGAGCGTGCGTGATGTTAGCCGAGCTGAAAGGGTACCAGGGAAGTATTCTTCGTCGACGAAGCGGCCGTGCCTCTGACGTCGGAAGACTCAAATTACCATTCGAATTACCTCTCATTCCTCTCCACTGTCCCCATCCCTCCATCCCAGATCCACACCATTGATCCGTCTCTACTGGACAATATCGAAGAACTGGCCGACGAGTATGAAAAGCAGCTGATAGGTCACTTTGCCGCTTCCAACGCCGCTCGATACCCCACATTTGACCTCGTTCTCCTCGGTATGGGTCCAGATGGGGAGACGTGTAGTCTGTTCCCAGGACATGAGCTGTTGGAAGAGAAGGACGCCTGGGTGGCGTATCTCGAGGATGCACCAAGGGGACCTCCCAAGAGGATAACTATGACGTGGGTCTGCGTCCTCGTGACCGTGCTGACGCTAGGCTCCCTGTCTTGACGCACTGCTACCGTGCCGTGTTTGTGGTGTCAGGATCAGAGAAGGCGCCGATGCTGCATACAATCTTGGATGAACCGCAAGCGGGTCTGCCCTGCTCCCGAGTCCAACCGGCGTGAGTCGAAAGAGGAGAACGAGCGCTGACGTTGCAGTGCCCCCGGTTTGGTCTTTTGGTTCGCCGACGCCGAAGCCGCGTCGCAAACCCAATACCCGCCTACGACATTTAGATGGATTGACAATCAAAAGGAGGCCGAAGAGGCCGTCGAGGCGGCTCAGAAAAAGGCGGCGAGACGTGCAGCGGGTGAGCAGGAATAGAGACAAACGTCTTCTGGCAGGACCATAGAGATTCTCGCTACAGTCATGATCCATGTATTCAATAGTCCACTCTACACATCAAACGCATCGCTTCTCCATCCTTCCTCCTTTTGCTCTCTCCTCATCTCCTCCTTGCGTCTCGCATCGAGATCTGCAATCTCACCTTTGACGCCCTCTTTGACCTTGTTCGCTTCATCCTTGATGTTCTTCGCACCCTGCTTGAACTGGTCGGCAGCGCCTCGAACGGATCGCGCGGCGTGCTTGGCGTGGGCTTTGGCTCGCTGGCGTTGCGTGTTGGAGACACGGGCGGGTGGTTGATCAGGGAACAACTAGATAGGTGAGCTAAGTACACGAGGCAGACTCACGTGTTCGTCGACTCCGACATGGAGGACATACTCTCCGTACCTTCCATACTTGACCACGCCTGCTTGCCTGACCTTGACGGGGCCCATGGAAGACCGCCTGGGGAAGATGGTGTCGTTGACAATGGCAGAGATAAAGTTGCCAGGTGTGGGTCGCGCATTGGTGGCGGCTATGACTCGTTGTTGGAGGCCATACAGTCGGAGATCGGCCGTTTGCAGGTATTCGGCTACTTGAGCTTCCAATGCGTGCGTGAGGTTTCGCTGGCGTCAGCCGAGCCTACACAAGGGCTCACCTTGACAAACGCCTTGAGGATGGGCTGGGCGAACCAGCTCGCGAACCAGTGCTCGTTGTCCCGAACATGGAAGGTAAAATCGGACATGGATAGGGAGACATTCTGGACCGTGAAGAATGTCTCGCGGTCATCCTCTCCAGCATTCTCCAAAGTGACGTCAAAGGACACTCCACGAGGTCCAAAGTCGACATCAATGAGACCAGAGTCCTCAAAGTGGGGCCATCCAGACTTTTGGTTGATCCAGTAGGCAATGTTCGAGGCGGCAAAGTGGAGGCCGTCGACCTTGAGTCGGAGAGTTCCATCATAGTCGGAGGCGTCTAGAGGTCAGCAGCTTCCGAGTTGCTACTCACATGTCGCGTAACCTTGGGTGAATCGCACATCGTTTCGCTGAACAATGCGGATGGAATCGGGAATGAACGAGGCGGATTCGAGCTTGATGTCGTCAATGACGAGGTCGATTTCTGGCGTCAGCGGAGAAGAGCGCTGCAACGTACCCTCTGACTTGTACTCGACGCGAGGGACAGGGATCTCCTTGAGGAGGGAGACCACACGGGGCACAATGACGTTGACCACGTCTCGGTAGAGGCCCTTGCCGTCGAATTTGAGACTGGGCAGACCGACCTTGGAGACCGAGGCGAGGGATGTGCCGAGGTTCTCGACGGATTCGACGAGCTGCAGGGTGGTCTGATCATTGGAGATGCCTTTGATGACGGATTCAATCTCTTTTTGCAGTTTCTTTGCGTCATCTTTCCACGCTTGATTTTCTTCGAGAAGCGACTGGCCGTCGTCGTAGAGGGCGGATGCCTTACGGTACGCTGCCTGGGACATGGCATAGCCAGGGTCATTGAGGGACCGTTCAAACAGCTTTTCAAGTTCGCCAAAGTAGATGGATAGCTTTTCGTCATTTCTAATGTCTTCCGCGGCCTAAATGTCAGTGGAGAGTATAATGATACGATCGCCTACCTTTTGACCCGCGGCAGTGACATCATTCAATGACTTGTTGGCGAGTCGTTCGATGAATTGTTTGAGATCTCGACCGGCCTGTTGGGTTTTTTCATCCTCGTCAGAGACGCTGACGCTGTCCGCTGCATTCTTGGCGGCGTCAGTGGCCTTGTGGACGTATTTCTTGTAAATGTTGACAATGGCAGTGAGCGAGCGCTTGTAGTCGGGGTTCTTTTGCGCATTGGATATGACCTGGGAAATTAGCGAATGGTGCGGAAAGGTTCGTACCTGTTGGAATCGCTTGATCACTGCGTCTTTTGCCTCTTCGCCAGCGGGCAGCTTGTCGTCGAGGTACTCTTTGACCTTTTCAACGTCTTCGTAGAGCTCCTCCCGAGCGTTCTTCTGGACCTTGCCCTTTTTCACGTCGCGCATGACTTGCTTGCCCTTTTGCTGGACAGACTCAAAGTCGAGACCTTTTTCGCGTTCCGATTCGTCGGGTCGAAGCGTCGATTCAGCATTGCTGGCTTGTTCGGCGAGCACTGACGCGGCGTCTGCGAGAATGTCTCGTGTGACAAAGACGGCGTCGGAAACGATCGTTCGGAATTCGGAGCTGGTGACGATGAGCGAGGCCATGGTTTGGAAGGAATCGAGCGTTCGTCGAGCATCCTTGGAGATTTCCTTCTTGGTCGCTGGGGCCGAGGGGAGCGAGGCATCTACATTGACCTCGGCGGTGGATGCTTCCCACTGAGTGTGAGCAAGGGAAAAATCTTCGCTACACTCACAAAGAGGTTTTGCAACAGGTCGTCACCATTCTTCTCATCTCCCCAGGCTTGGACAGCATTCAACACGGCTTTGACCTTGTTCAAGATGTCTTGGCCTTGGGCGCCCATTCGGGCAGTACGGCTACCGACGCCACCGTTGACAGACAGGACATCGCTGTCGAGGACAAGCTGAATCAACTTGGAGAGTTGATCTTGGGATCTGATAGATGTCAGCAAGTTCTCAAGTCGACACTGACTCACGGCAATTTGCCAGCTTGAATCGCTCCGATAGCTTCCGCAACCTTGATTCTCGAGCCTTTGCTAGGGATGGCCCGCCTCACATCGTCACGGCTGGGCAGGTTGTTAGGGTTGAAGGGACTGGATTGTCCTCCAGTACGCTGAATCAGGGGCGATCGTTCGGAAGTCATGGCTGGAGTGAGACAGAGCTAGCTATCGCTACGACGAACGCTGCGCAGAGAGAGTGTGTAAGGCGATGGCAAGTCAAACGCTTGAATCTTTCATAAGAGGTCTGTTACAATGGAAAAGCTATGACGTAGGTGTTCACGCGTGACCCGTCATCAGTGGCAGTGTGGTAAAACCATATAATTTGGTGGGTGGACTACAGCGGGATTGGACGAGTGGATAGGCTTGAGCATGCATCAGACTTGGAGCGTGGATGATGCAGAGCTATCGATAGCGAGCCATCCCAATGTCACATCCCATGCATAGACAGCTCATGAAGCATGGGCACCATGAGGGGCAGACACCACCGTCACGTGACGATCCATGACTTTGCTTACGTTATCTGACGCGGATCTCGATCAAGTTTCAGCAAAGCTTTTGAACGCTGGAATCAGACCGCGGATAGACGGGGGACCTCGAGATCGGACGTGGTATTGAAGACGCTGGAGGACAGATTGCATAGAAGCGGGGAGGAGCTCGCATCTCTCTCAACATTGAAAAGGGGGCGGGGTCATCGCCTCGATCTTCGATCCGGTCACGGCCCTTTGAGCCACCCGTTCGTTGAGCAGCCAACGACCCGGGCTAAATAGATAGATCGTGAGGAGAAGTACGTCTCAGCACACGACCATGTCCTCTACTATCCCCCCATCCCTTCGATCGGAATTTTCTCAAAGACCTCACTCGCCCCATCGATTCCCATCCAATCGGCCGTCTTCCGCTGTTGATCTGACGGAGCTGCCCAATACACCCCCCGTTCAAGATCATCAGCACTTGGCCCCGTCACCTCCTCTTTCCAGGGTCTCGAGCCGATCACACGATGCGCCCAATCACCACTATCACCCTTATACCACTAGTCCGGGGCTTGAAGAAGATGGGGTCATGTGTTTCGGTGACATGGCTTTGTTGTTGAAGACGATAGATTTCGCGGCGATGGTAAGGGAGGAAAAGGTGCGATCTCGCGCTGACAGTTTAGAAACATTCCAGTCAGAGGAGGAAAGATGTCGATCAGACGCCATAGTGAGTTTGCCATTTCGGAATGGCCCCTCATCAACACCACCACCACAGTATCAATCATCCCATTGCATGTGCGAATTTTCTCGCTTCAACAGGCATCACGGACATCCGCGTGCTTCAGGCGGCGGTCCTTCACGACACAGTGGAGGATACCAATACGACCATACGTGGGTTCAGTAGAGGCTACAGCGCCTGACCTTCTCAGCTGAGATCGCCGAGGTGTTTGGGATCGACGTAGCGACCATTGTCGAGGTGAGCCGCTATCAGGCTCAAAGCTTATTAGACAGGAATGTACCGACAACACCGCTCTCTCGGGCCAAGAACGCAAAGCCGAGCAGGTCAGGACAGCAGGGTCAAAGTCGAAAGAAGCGCAGCAGGTCAAGCTGGCAGAGTGAGTCGTGTCTCGACGCCATCGCTGACCTGACAAAATAGCAAATTGCACAATCTCGAGAGTATTCGACGGAGTCCACCAGATGGTTGGACAGCCAGAAGGGTTCAGAACTATTTCATCTGGGCAAAGGAGGTCACCGATGGTGAGCGGATCCTGGAGGAGGACGGAGCTGACTTTCAGCTTGTGCCGAGGCTCATCCGCCGTTGGCTGATCGCCTCGAGCGATTGTACAAGACGGCATATACCAAAGTGAATGGGAAATACTATCCGTGTCATCCACAGATCTGCGGGCCTATGACCGAGGTGAGCGAGAGTGAGTTCCAGCCGAGCTGATGACAGGACGAGAAACATCGCATCGACAGTCGATGGACATGTCTCAAGCCGGGCGAGAAGCCTTCTCCGAAGCCCATCTTTTTCTAGACACCTTCAAATCACTGTAGCATAGGAGTGCATATGATAAACATATTAGTTGAATACAATGTTGGGTTCAGGCCATGATGCAACGGCTGAAAAATTGAGTCTCGACATTGATGATGATGATGGAGGGACGTGCTTTGGCTCTGGAACGTCCACCACGGGTTGGACCACGCTGGGACCCCCGACGCCATCCGTCAGACCCCTCGCCGCATCGATAAAGGGTTGCACGTCAGCCCCTTGCACTCGGCTTCCACGACACGTAGCAAGGTAGGCCAACGCCCCCCGCATCGCCACGTCGTTCGCCCGGTACACCTTGGCTATCTCGTTCGCCTCGCCAAATCGCTTGCTCATCGCCAGACGGATGATCAGCGTCGCGGCAAGTTGCGCGGTTAAAATTTGTCCGGCTCGCGTATAGGTCCAAAAGTTCTTCAAAGCTAGGTCGAGCTCTCCCGCCTGCGCCATTTCGCGAATGAGAAGCGAGGTGAACATGGGCTTTGGCACAATACATCGTTTGGTCATTTCGTCGACGAGTTGAAGGGCGAGGCTGAGGCGTTGTTTTGATTCGCCGAGGTTGCTGCTGCCTTCGACTTGGGTGGCCAAGGCTTCGATGATACGATCGGGGATTTGGTGCCAGTTTTTCATGTGGTGCGCGACGACAAGACTTCGAGCGACATTGTCGACGGTGGTATGCTTCAACAGAATGTCCATGATCCTTAACATGCGCGATGGACTGGAAAGAGGCTGTCGAAGGATCCGATGAGCAATGTAGAATGCCATCCAAGCTTCATTGGGCGAGTTGTGAGAACATAAGCCGTCTACCATGGCGTTGGCGAGATCAGGCAATGGTCCGAGGTCAAGATAGATGTAATCTTTGACGTGCCGCTCGAGCAGGATGTCTCTCGATGCGCTCGTCGATTTGGCGACCGACGAGACGAGGTCTAGGGCGTCGCGTGTGCTCGGTCGGAGATTATCGGCCATGTAGTCGGAGTAAAGTTGAGACGCAAATGCGAGGTCGGTTGGATCCTTCATACTCATGTGGAGAAACGTGGAGAATTGCTCGGCAGGCACTGTATTCCAATCGAGCCATCTTCTCCCGCGCGAGGATCGCAGGGCTTGGCGGTAGAGTCGTCTTGCGGTGAAGTAGGCGCGTGATGAGGGAAAGCAGGTGGTGAGGATCTGGAGGATTTTAGAGAGAAGAGCGGGAGACTGGCGGGAGAGAATGTCCCCTTTGGTGAGGATCTCGACGAGGCGGATGGTGCTGGCGAGTGTGGAATGCCCCAGTCTGTCTCCCTTGGCGAGAAAGTCGACGATGCGACCGGCTAGCGGAAGAGATTCCGATCGTCTGTCCCATACCACCGTATTAAGCAGTCGTAGGGCAACATTGAGGGCGGAGAGGGATTTGTGGCGGTGAAGATGGCTGATGGCTAGACTAACCAGTTGGTTTTGCGACGTTGTCGTGTTCCCCACGAATAGTTTCGCCCGTTCTTGGCGTTTAAGGAATCGAGGGCGGATCGAGGCCCATTGGGTCCGAAGATCGGCATCCACGGACTTAGCGAGACGGCTAATTCGATGATCAATGGCGATGAGCGTATGGAAGTGTGGTTTCACATGGTGGCATTGGGCCAGTCGGGCGAGGACAGAGGTGGTGATGCGTGAGAGGCGTGGAGTGTACATGGAGAGGTCTACGAGGCGCTCCAGGGAAAGGATGAGGGTATGGATGGTGTGTCGGGTTTTGGGTAGGATGATACGATGGAGCAGGTCGTCGAGACCACGGATGGCTCGGTGAGAGGCGAGAAACTTGTACGCCTCGAAGGCGTCTGAGGTGTCGACTGAGGCGAAGGAGAGTAGGTGATTCAGCCATGCTCGGCGCGAGGCGAGAGGGATGGTGGACAGATCGTGACGTCGTGCGAGGCATTTCCATATATCGAACAGAACCGGAGACAAGTCATGCCGAGGTGCAAAGTCTAGGGAGACGAGGATCTTGAGTGTGGTAATGGGTAGCCTATCGAAAGACATCTCGCATGTCCGGGCAAAGATGAGCAGATCGGCCAGACGCTGGATGACATGGTCTGATGATACCGATTCGATCACGTTCAATTGATGCTGGATAAGCGCGCAGTAAGTATCGTCCGAGACGTGCCGTTTGAGATCATCATGTAGCGATTGATAGACCCGCCATGAGGTATCTGGGTCATCTGACCCCAGGGCCAGAGACAAGGCTTGTAAGTGCCGTTTGAAAGGGATAGATTCAGGGGAATAGGGAAGAGAAGGAGGAAGATGGAGTCTAGTCCAGGTGGTCGGTGACGAGGGATCGACTCGAGACACTCGATCGGAGAAGGGTCTAGCGCCGGCCAGTCGCCTCGGTGCTTCCTGTCGACAGCAAGAACAAGTGAACCATCTCGAGCAACTAGGTCCCGCGGGTAATCCCTGAGACTGAGGCGCTTTTAATCGAGGTGGAGGATGAGCTCGTCTGCTCAGCGCAGCGAGCGGGATCTTCATCCCTCGATAGCATGTGGGGTGTGTGTGACCTGTCGATGAATTGCTCAAAACCCCTTCAAGTTCATGTTGCAATACGGACCGTACCGAAATTGATCTCCATCGGATCCGGGAATAGGCGAAGCAAATGCCCCAGTCGATTTAGGCGCGTGATCTGCGCTCGGACTACCGCGAATGACTTTTATATAATCGATCCAGTCAACCATGATACGTCTCAGTGTTCTTCCACCTTTCACAAAGTGCCATTGTTATGATGCGAAGCTCACGTCCGACTCAATCTCATGAAGCCACGGTCCACTTCCCTGACTCTGATGCCCGAAATCAAGCGATGAAGCATGTACGAGCGGTGTCGCGAAATGCTCACAAAGTCCCCAAGGTGCAAGACTCCATCATGCCTGGATTCAAACCCGCAGAAGAGCGGTCCATGAAGCATACTCAAGTCACTCATGCTGAATTCGGCACGAATGGACCAGCTCCATTCCGACCAGCCAATGGCCAGGACGTAGGAGCAAGAGCACGGGCTTGACTGATGTTCAGGCCCAGCCACTACTGAAAAAGTTAAACGTGGTTCGCTGCCGACCGGAATCCCACGACGATTTTTTCTCCCCTCTCCAAGCACCATCGCAAGACATGGCAAAGCCCTTAGCTGCGATGCCCTCCAAGCGGGCCAAGACTGAGTCTGAAGACGAATTCGACGCAGAGTTCGGCGAGTTGCCCATGCTCGATCCTTTCGACGGCGAGGACAAGGCGGATTTGGATTTATTTGGGTGATTTCCTCGCGCCGGTGAAGCTCAAGGCGAGTGCTATTCTAGGCACGGCTGATAGGCTCAAGACTCTCTTCCATTTCCCTCGCAGTTTATCACGCCGCAAGCCCTCGTTTCCGAGGTCGATCTCAAGGGGATTTTAGAGCACAATGCGCAAGTTGCATCTACGTGGGCGCCCGATGCGGAGTGGAAGGGTGTCAAGGGTGAGTGAGACGCGTTCAGTGCTGAAGTTTAGACCTCTTTGCGGCGGCACAAGACAATTCAGACGATGTTTGGTCAAAGTCGGGTCAGATTCATGAGTGTGAGAGAGTCACCTTAGGCGTGTTGCTGACTGACAGGCCTCTACGGCTTTCTCGACAAGAAGAACGACATTCTTCATGACAAGCAAAACCTCACGGTCGAGTACGAACACGCTGGTATGCGATTGGCCAGTCAAATCAAGGATCTTCATCGCAACACATCGGCGATTCCTCGAAAGCGAAAGGGAATGGAAGGGAAGTAGGTTGAGGAGGGGAGTAGTCTCTCCGTTACGGTAGCCTGATATGAAGATTTCATGTTATCAATGTGACGTGGCTTTTTTTCAAAACGTAGTAGGAGATGATTTCTGAAATGCCATCAACTGAATCCTGTGAGCTTCTCGTTGCATATACCGAGGCTTTGCAACCCCACAACACCTCACGACACCCATCCACCATGGCGCGGAACTCTGAAAAGGCTCAGTCCATGCTCTACCGATTCCGTGAATCCCAAGCCATCGAGATGGGCATGGGAAACCGGATGAAGGGAGAACGCAGACCACGTATGGCCAGTAGTGTAACATCGTTGAGGGATTGTGAGAGGTTTAGAGGGGATATTTTGAGAGAGATTAGTCGAAAGGTGTCAAAGATTCAGGATGGTGGGTCTCAAAACAGGTGAAGAGAGAATGGTTGGTGCTGATGATGATGTTTGGTTAGCGACATTGACGGACTATCAAGTCCGAGATTTGAACGATGAGATTAATGGGTTGATGCGTGAGAAGAGGCATTTTGAGAATCAGATTGTTTCTTTGGGCGGTGCAAATTACAAGCGAGGGAATCAAGCCATGTTGGACGAGGATGGGAAAGAGGTACCAGGGACGAGAGGATACAAGTTGGGTCCTCTTTAGCGAGCAATAGGGCTGACGGCAGATACTTTGGTCGAGCGAAAGATTTGCCAGGGGTCAAGGAGATGTTTACAAAAAGCGCTCAACAGGCTACGGAGGAATCTGCGAGAAACGCTTCGTTCCAAATGTTCCGGCATCAAGGACCAGATTATTACGGGGATGTGGATGATGTGGATGGAGGCTTGTTAGAAGAAGAGGACAAGCTGGCGAGGGAGGGTGAGCACACATCCCACGTGAAGGAGCTGACAAAACAAGAATGGGACGCCGCCGTGGCGAGGACATCGGCGACACTGTCTGTGGACGGGACGATACCGTACCCCTTGGATCCGACAACTAAAGCGGGGACGAAGCGGAAAGCCAAAGGCAAGCCAAAGAGTCGAAGCAAGCGCAAGACGGGAGAGAACGATGCAATAGAGGAGGACGAAGGGGAGGAGGATGGGGAGGATATCAGCGCGGCCATTTCTGCAACGTTTGGAGGCGTGCTAGATGCGCAGAGCCTGCACATGCCCGAGGTGCCGACAAGGGAGCAAATGGGAGAGATCTTACTGGAAGTGAGGAAAAAGGCATTGAGAGAGGAGTATGGTGTATAGATAGATAATAAGAGGCATTCAAATTCATGCAGTTTTGTATCGTGATTAGGGTGATGAAATGACTATTCAAGAAACCTCCAGACAAGGGAAATGAGCAAAAAGGATGGAGATGGTCGACAGGTTCGTGAGAGTCGTCGAAGGGCGGCGCAAGGCGTGATGAATGGGGCTTATTTAGAGCAGCGCGGCGATTCCACCGAAGATGGCGAGAAGAGCAGCGGGAGCCTCGTACTTCTTGAAGGCGGCTCCAGAGGTGGTGGCGGCCTTGGAAGAGGAGGAAGAAGAGCTGCTGGAAGTAGAAGAGGCCGAGGAGCCAGAAGTGGAGGATCCCATGGAGGAGCTGGCCATGCTGAAAATTGTCAGATATGCTAACAGCGGTTGCACTCACGAGGACATGGAGCTGGTCATGGATCCCATAGAGCTGCTCGTGGAGGATCCGGAAGATCCAGTCGAGGAGGAGCTAGCGGCGGAGGTGGCTCCGGTGGTGGCTCCGGCGGCTCCAGCAATGCTGGTAGCGGTCGAGTTGAGGCAGGAGCTGGATCCTCCGGACAAAATGTCCTTCTGGGAACTGTATTGGGAGACACCAGTGTTGTCAGTGACCTTGATGTTGACTTCGGTTCCAGCGGCGAGGTTGACGGTCCAGGTGTACGAAGTGTCCGAGGTGTCCGACACGAGGGTCTCAAGGGGGGCAGACGAGGTGTCTCCTCCGGGAATGATGGAGCTGGACAGAGGCGTGAGCGGGTGGCAAGGGGGCTATGCAAAAGAGCGAACGTACAGAATGTAAGGGGCAGTGCCACCGGACCAGGTGAGAAGGATAGGTTCTGGACCAACGTCAGGAAACCAGGACCCAAGCATCGCAAGAGATCTTTACTCACGACACTCGATGAGGGCAGACTAGTGTACGTTTGATCAGGGTTATTTCGGGAGAGATCGGCGCGACGCGGCAGGAGGCGAGAAATTTGAGACACAAGGAGAGAAAAGGGCAAGACGTTTGAGTCAGCGATGAAATGTTATGGACGCGCCAGTTGTCTGTCACTCACAGGTGTCGAGACGGTCAATTGGGCCGAAGCTGCAGAGGCAGCGGCCAATGCAAACAGAGCGACAGACTTGAGCATTGTGTTGCTGCGGAAAAGAACGGGTTAGCGGATGCCGCGGGAAGAGAGGGGAGACAGGTCCCTGCGCTGGGGAGATGGTTGGACAGGAGTGGAATGGGGATGAGCGTGTCAGTGGGATGGCTCACCTTCTTTTGTTCGTCAGTGAGATGATGGATGTTCAGCAGCGACTGAGACGATGCGTTGATGAAAAGAAAGAGAAAGAGAAAGGAAGAGAGAAGATGCCAGAGATTTAGTTCTTTTTATAAAGAGTCTCCCTCTCTCTCTCAAGCCACTTTTTTGAATAGCGCGTGTCGCGACGAATTACTCAAAGAGGCAAAATGTAATGGCCAAAATGCTGTGGATTGGGGTGTGAAAAAAAAAAAGGAGGCGATAGAGAGCAAAATAGGGACCGTGCGCGGTTCATTTGTATCTGGTTCTGAGGTCATATTATCATCATTATCATTATCACTACTTTGTACTGCGAGACAAAGCAGGTGAATCCATGTACAGCCATGCCATGCTGTGATATGAGTGCGCTGATTCAAGTCATGACTCAAAAAGGGGACTGCTGAGGTGACTTTGAACTGACTTGAGCGCCCGCAGCCTTCTCTGGCCCACGTCACTGTTCCAGTGCCCCAGCTGGAACTGGCATCATCGACGCCGCCCTTCCGATCGGCTTTTTGCGCAGCAGCCACCTGCGTCGGACCTCCCCGTCAGTTGGGCATATATAGAGAGCGGCACAGGCACGCCACGTGGCATGTTTGAGACAGAGAGAGGGAGAACATTAGTCAATTGGATTGGGCTAATGGGGCAATCAGTGGGCTAGAGAAGCGGAATCAAAATTGGACGACCCCCCTTGCAGGCTCTTGCCAACCCCCGTTTCCCTTTCGTCCTCTCCATCTAATTAATCTACGTTCTAGTCTCTTGAGGGAGGAAGTTGAGGGTAGTGAAGGAGTGAGTAGGAGCGTTCTCCTCGGTGCATCCAGCTGATGTGATGCCCCTCCCCCCAGAGAAAGATGTAGTAGGTGTATGACTCTGTGTCCGCAGCCTGATCATTTCCAAGCGGTGCTGCGCCAGTTCCAGGATCCAGACAGGGTTGCTTCAAGTGAGTAGTTCCAAATGTTGAATGGTTCCAGAACGCTGACGTCTCAGATGCGGGAATCGTAGGTTTCGGGACATGACGTTGTTCCACTTGACTGACGACACACGCAGTCGGACACATTGCCGAGAACTGTCAAGCTCCCGGAAGGCTCTGTTATAATTGCAGGTGGGTCATAACCTCCCCTCCCCCCCTCCCGCCGCGAAGTTTGGTCGCCAACATAAGGACAGAGAACCAGGACATGAATCTACAGCTTGTCCTCAACCCCGTTCGACGGATGGAAAGCAGTGCTATGCCTGTGGAGGTGTAGGTCACGTCAAGGCGGATTGTCCATCGGTCCGAGGCAACTTTGGCGGGTTCGGTGGTGGTTTCCCTGGAGGAGGAGGTGGTGGCGGGCAGAAATGCTATCAGTGCGGTCGAGCAGGTCACATTGCAAGAATGTGCCCTGGGCCGTCGTTTAGAGGCGGTTTCGCCGCTCGAGGAGGTGGATTCCAGCGACCTCGACCTACAGCCGGTGCGGATGGATCGCCTGTCAAGTGCTAGTGAGAAGAAAAAAAGATTAGGCACAGCGTGATGGCGCTGACGGAAACCAGTCGATGCAACGGGGAGAATCATATTGCAAGGGACTGCTTGATGCCGAGGGACGAGACGACTGTCCATGCGTCGAAAAAGTGCTACAAGTGTCAAGAGCAGGGTCACATTGCCAAGTGAGTTTGGAGGTCCGAGAAGGTCAGCTGATGTCCTAGGGACTGCCCTTCGGCAGGTGAAGAGTTGCCCACAGCAGAATAGTCAAGTCTTCATGCTACAAGTCTACGAATGATATGAGGGCGGGTTTAAGGTCTTGGACGCCTCGTCCGATGAACACGATTTTTCCTGGTGCCGCCTCGTCTGGCTCACTGCTCTGTTTGATCTCGAATATATCCATGACGCCTTGAAGCACCATCTCTCTCCCATCGTCGAGGTGGATGAGACCTTTGGTCCGGAGAACGTTGATGTCCACGCCGTCTAGTTTGCCAGTCCAGAGAACGTTTTCAAGGAACAGGTTGAGTCTGGACCACTGAGTGGGAGTCAAGCGGGGCAGAGGGATGAGCACGGTGGAGATGGAGTTGACGTGGGAGGGGTGGTCATGGACAGTGTCAAACTTGCCCTTGGAGTAGGCATGAAGGTTGAAGATTCGGTCAAGAGGCATATTGCCTTTGACTGTGTCGTGAATGCGTAGTGTAGGGTTGATAGCGGTCACTCGGGATCGGACCTTGTCGAGTTGGGCGGCGTCTACGAGGTCGACCTTGTTGAGGAGAATGACATCGGACGCCGCGAGCTGCCTAGACATTAGCTCGAGGTTGAATGAGGACCTACCGTTGCGCCTCGTTGATCTCGCCTGGGCGATTGTCATCGAGTTGCTGAGATGTCAGTCAGCGAGGGCAAGGCAGGGTTAGGATGGGGGCTGGCTGGCTGGCGTACTTTGAGAAAGTTTTTAGAATCCACGACGCACACGATCCCGTCGAGGACTAGGTCGCCCATTTCTTCGTTTTCCCAAAAGGATTTAGCAATGGGGCCTGTGAAGGGTCAGCGCGAAGATCGTAGCCAATGCGAGCGCAGCGAGTGTGCATGCCAATACGAGGTTGGCCTAATAGGTATTGGTTTGGAGCTCCAGTTGCTCGCTGGAAGAATGCAGCATCACTGCTTTTGCGCTCGACGCTCGCAAACTCGCTCACCTGGGTCCGCTACGCCCGTCAATTCCACCATGACCCAATCCACCTTGTCCCTTTGATTCACCACCATCTCCTCTATTGCTGCGATCCCCAGGTCCTTGACAGAGCAGCAGAGACATCCATTGGGAAGTGAGAGGAACGATGTGGATTGCTCTCCTGTCGAAGGGTCGCACAAGGTGAGGGATTTGGCTGGTTTGGGGGGTTCAGCTAGCTTGAGAAGCAGCCAACCAGATCACAGGACTATTTCGCTCACCCTCTATGTCCGTCGTATCGCCAAAGTCTGCGGAATCAGCAACCGTCTCTGCTCTGACTGACTAGACGCACCATTCATGCAGACGGCGATACGATATCCATGGTCCGCAGTGAGGATGTACCTTTTGGTTAGAGTAGATTGCAATTACATGGCTCACTCGAGCAGGGTAGATTTGCCAGCACCGAGATACCCAGTGAGCAGTGTCAAGGGGATACGAGGTCGAGCATATGGGTCGTCCGCCGCTGGAACGAGCCTGCCGGGGTTTCCTTTAGTATACGATCATCACCTTGACATACTCTGGGACCTCATCCATGATGTATTATTGTATACATTTAATACTTGCAATGTCCGACCCATCTCGGAAAAGCGACTACATCTTTAACATTATCTACTCCGGTGATCCAACTTATCCATCTATCCCAGCCCATGCCCCAGCCTCCGTGTGGGATCGACCCGTAGCGTCGTAGATCAGCGTACCATGCATACTCCTCACTCGGGAGGGAGGCTTCGAGGTGGGATAATCGGTGCTCCCTTAAGGATCCGCCGGCAATTTCGCCCAGAGACGGAAGGAGGAGGTCAAAGCAGGCCACGGTGTCATTGTCAGCTGGGAGCATGTAAAAGGGTTTGATAGCCGCAGGATAGTGGGTGATGAAGATGGGTCTGTCGGCGGCGAGGTGTTTTTCATGTTCGAGGGAGAGCCCATGGCCAGGGATGGGGGGGTGGTTGAAGGGTGTGACGGCGTGGTGTTTGGTTAGGATCTTGATGGCTTTGGCATAGGTCATCCGGGCGAATGGCTCGTACATGGTAGTATTCAAATCAGCCATTGTGTCCCTGACGACGTCCGAGCTCCGGATGGCGAGTAAGGCGTCGCGTAGTCGCTCCGACCTATCTGTTGTCCCTCTGAGCATTGACTTTAATGTCGACTTGATCCCATCCTCCACGACATCCATCAGTCCGTCCAGCGTATCCACCACCACCTCGCCTTCGAGCATATAGAATTCGGCGAGGTGTCGAGGAGTCGCACTGGGTTCAGCCCGGAAACAAGGTGAAAGCGTATAGGTTCGGGACACGGCGTGCGTCGGGGCTTCGAGATGGAGTTGGGAGGAGACGGTGAGGTTGACACGGTCAGGGAAGACGTTTGACGAGAGGGAAAATGTCTCGCCAGCTCCTTCACAGTCGGAAGACGTGAGAACGGGCGTGTGAATATAAGTAAAGGCGTTGGATTCGAACCAATCGTGCCAGTCGCGCAATATCCCATCCCGGAGATGCATCAATGCGGTCGTTTGAGTCGTTCGAAAGCGTAAATGGGCATGATCCCGAAGAACCTTGGTTGGGAGATTCTTCTTTTGAATGGGGTATTCCTAACAGAGCTCAGTCAGTCACTCAGTCACTCGGTCAGGCAAGATCATGTCCAGAGCCTTATAACGACTCACCATGGTGTCACAGGGGCCAAGGACGGACGACTTGGAGATGAGAAATTCTACCTCTTGACGACCACGACTCGGTTGGAGCTTGCCAGTGAGCTGGACGCTGGCTCCGATGGAGTACCTGACGAAGGATATGAGAGAGGTTTCTGGGCGTGGGGGGGGGGGGGGAGGGGTGGTCGAGCACTCACTCGGGGCCCAAAACGCCTCTGTAGACGGCCTGAAGGGGTTCGTATGTCGAGCCATCAGAGATACTGATAAAAGAGACGTTTTTGTGTCCTCGGATGGACTTGATCCAACCCTTAAGCGTGGACATTGACGCAGGATCCGACGCAGGATCCGACGCAGTCAGCCCAGACGCCGACTTGAGAACAGTACGGATGGTCGCTGGCAGCGAACATCGCGTACATGAGGGAAGCATGGCAGGTCAAATGATGAACTTGATTTACACAGTGACGGATATGGTGACTGATTTTTTCAAGCAATTTTGTCTCCCAGACCCTTTTTTGGGTTCAACTTTCTTAAATGCATCACTGTGCCCAACCTGCACTGCCTGTGCTTAAATATGATGCTCTAGACCCACGCGGACTGCGCCAACCTGATCCCTGTGAAAAATCCATCGTCGACCCGTCGACGAGCGTCTCGGCGCGCGGAACCCCTAAGGACGCTCGCTTCAGCTGCCTTGAATCCTCGTCCATCCGGCGAATCTCCCCGGAAGCCAGGGTGAATGCTTGAAACTTTGGTGATGTGAGGATTATCGGCGTCGCGGGATTGAGTGGAGACGGTGGTCGTGGGCCAGGTGGGGTAGGGCTCACTGGGGTCGTGGGTCCAGATACCAACGGCGAGTTGTATGGCTCTTTTTGAGGACTCGACATGTTCGCGGGGTGATATCCCGGTGGTGGCGTCCGCCTGCGCCTATGCCCTACACCCAGCGTATCCTTCAAGTCCCCCGCTATCCACGCCTCGCGCACAATGTCCCTATCCAGAGGCATGTACGAGGTCTTGACCGCCTTGACCAGCCAGCGTGGACCCACGGCGATGAACAGAGTGATGAGGATGATGGCCCAGAAGGAGAATGTCGTGAAGACCACTTGGGCGGTACCGTTGTATGGCCACGAGCCGAGCACCGAGTATATCGGGATCCAGAGGTAGACAGCGAGGGTTGAGCAGATGATGACGGCGGCGGTGATCCACGTCCAATAGCGCATGTTGATACCGACGTAAATGTTGGCCGCGGAGACGCCGGCCGCAGCGCAGGCTGTCCCAAAATCGTATAACCCGTTGGTATCCATACCCTGGTGAGACCACGGAACGCCAGTGCCATAGGCGAGGTAGGGGATGAAAAAGAGGATAGCTGATTGGTACAGGCCGTCACCCATGTAGAGCCAAAAGCGGGTCCGCGTGTAGTCAAGTCCGCGAATCCCGCGCTGGTAGAGCTGGGGAAAGGCGAGTGATGCCCGGGCGTTGGTATCTTGGTCGAACGCACCGAGGATGCCCACAGGGAGGGACGTGAAGACGAGATTGAAGAGGAGGACAAAGGTGTATTCGTAGAGATATGTCCCGTCAAAGCTGCCGTCAGCAAAGAAACAAACGACACCCGACTTGCCTATTGAAAATGAGGAACCAAAACATGGAGACTGTCCATATAGTGTTTTTGTAGAAAAAGCTGAAGGCGTCAGTCAGATCCAAAGAACAAACGACACCCACTTTGCATGCATGTCCGCGACACGGACGTAAGACCAACGCCCGTGAACCAGAAGGAGGCGTGTGAGGAAACGAAACTGTCCGAAGGCGTAGTCTGCCGACATGGCCGCTTGGGATCCTTCCAGGCCGAAGAGACCGACCCCCACGTTGGCTTCTTGGATCATGGCGACGTCGTTGGCTCCATCTCCAATGGACAGTGTCATGGCGTTACATCCGTCTTTCACCATCTTGACCGTCTGAGCCTTTTGGGCCGGGGACACTCGGCAGCAGATGACCGCGGCGCATTGCGTTCCGAGCGAGAGGAAAAGGCTACGGAGGCTATCTTCGAGGGCATAGCGCAGGGATTCGCCGTCAATGACGACGGCAAATGTGCCAGGAGTGGCCATCTTGCGCAATCCCGCTTCGATCTGGGCTCTGGCACCAGCTTCCGATGTCGCAGAGACGATCATGACCTCCATGTCATTGGTGAGGAGGTTGCACGAGTAGCCGATTTCGATGGCGGTCTGGAGCTTGTCCCCGGTGAGAATCCACAATTTGATGCCCGCCTTGTGGAGCGTGGCTATGGCCTCCGGGACGCCCTCCTGGAGCTTATCTTCGAGTGCCGTGGCACCGAGGATGATAAGAGAGTGTTCGACGAGTTCGCAAGCCTTGTCGATCTCACCGTCGCGGTCCACGATAGCGGCGCAAGCGTCGTCGTAGCGTTTAGACCACTCGCTGTACTCCTCTTCGGATAGGTAGCGATGAGCGACGCAGAGGGTCCGGAGGCCTCCATTGGCGAAGGCTTCGAGATGGCCGAGGGTCTGCTCGCGAAGTGGCGATTGGTCCCTGGCCAGGCGTTCGTAGATGACTGAATCGGCGCCTTTGCAAAACAGAACGATGCGTCCGGATGGATCGCGCACGACGACCGACATGCGCTTGCGAGTCGAGTTGAACTCGAGCACTTTCAGCGGGGTCCAGTGTTCCACGGTGCCGAGGACGTCGATATCGATGCGAGAGTTGGACCGGGCGAGGAAGGTGAATCCGACGTCTCGTGCTGCGGCGACGAGGGCAGCCTCGTCGGGTGACTCGGCTTTGTAATCGATCATGTACGGCTTTTGGACGTCGGCGAGGACAGTGTGGCAGATGGCGATGGCGCGCCAGAAGGCGTGCAGATGCGGGCGGATCGGGTCAGTGCGGTCGGTGAGGCAACGGGGTAGCATCGGGGAAATGAGAGTGAGTTTGTCTTCGCGGAGGTAAGGAGCACGAGCGGAGCCGGTAGAACGAGCTTCGGCAAGCTTGCTCGCTGGATTTTGTGCTGACTCCTGCGTCGACTCCATCGCCCCCTCCGGCGCTACTTCGCTCGCTCCCGCGCGCATCGCCGACACCATGGCCCGCTTCATCATCGCCAACTCCTCCTCTTGATCCAGCACCTCCCTCCCCTCCCTTTTTGCCGCGCCCATCATCGCTTCCGTCATGCCCTCGCCGAAGCTGACCCCGGCAACGGAAAACTTTTTGAACTCCATGATATTTTGCGTCAACGTCCCCGTCTTGTCACTGAACACATATTCAATCTGCCCCAGGTCGTCGGAGATATTCCACGTCTTTGGCACGCACGGCGTGTCGTCTGGAGTCAGCGACGCACCTCGCCCCACTCACATGCATCGTAGTACATCTCGACGTCTTGAAAGATGAAGAACGCTTGTATAGTCTTGACGATCTCAATGGTGATGTAGAGGGAGATTGGGACGATGTTTTGAAACAGGATGAGGCATGACCTGAGGTCAGCGAAGAACACGGGAGAACTCACGCAACGATGACCAACGAATCGAGGTAAATGTTGCTAGACACCGCGGCGCCGATCTCGTAGTAGTTCGCACTAGTCCCCGAAAGTGACTGGTACCATCCATGAAAGATGCCCGTGGTGACGCAGAGAATCGTGAGGAGGCAAAAGTTCATGATGACGTTAAAATTCGTCTCCTTTTCAATCTTGCTGCGTTTGGACGGTGTCTCACCCCCGTTGAGCATGATCTTCGTGTCGGCGCCAGTGAACAGGACGACCCCAATGACCCATTTGGTGTTGCGCAGGGTGCATCCCCGAAGGAGCATCTCGTTGATGGTAATGGCCTCTTTGTGGTTGTTCCAATGAAGCACCCCATTGTAGGTGTAGAGATTGGCATGAGGTGGTTCCGAGTCGAGCACGAACTGTGCGTGCTCGAGCTCGCGTCGTAGGTCGATGGTGGCTTTGAGAGATTTGCGGATTTTGAGGTTGGTCTCTCCGTCGAGATTTTTGGTCTCCACAAAGGCGAGACCGTCGGGGTTAGAGGTGGACAGAACGATGATGTCGGCCGGGATTTGATCGTCTTCTTGAAGGAAGACGAGATCGCCGACCTCGAGTTTCTTCCACAGGGTACGTTCCCACTGGGCCGTTGAGGGAAGGTCTTTGTAATCGCTCGAGTCGAGCGACTCCATCTTTATTCCATCGACGGCCGCCTCGCGCTCTCGCAACTTGCGTACACCCTTGGACGGACCGTCTGGCATCAGCACCGCTGACGCCTCTTTGCTCACCCTTCTTGAACATTTTCTCCAGCCAGGTCCTCGGATCCTCTGGCTGATTCACATTCCTCCAGCCACCCAGCTTTGTCGTTGCGGAATTGTTCACCTCCATGTCGAGCTGAGCCCGGCGCCAATCCTCTATCCCGTCCTTTATCGCGGTCATGCCGAGGATCGTGATCAGCGGGAGCATACCGATTTGGGGCATAGAGGCCCCAAATATGGAGATGGATTGGAGAATGACACAGATGAGGAAGAAAATGTTGGCGACACGGCGAAATTGTTCAAACAGATTCTTTGGAATGAATGTGAGGATGGTGTATTTGGATGTCCTGACCTTGTTCCGGACGTAGCGGATGAGCGGGTCACCAGACTTGGTCAACAGGTCTGGCGGTAGTGGAGTGTTGATGTAGACCTTGCGTCGGGCGCCGGCGGGTTCAGGGGTGACCGTGGTCGTGGTCGTGGTGACCGCTGTGACCGCTGTGACATCGCTGTCTGCGCGTTTTCTGTTACGTTTACGAGTGAGGGAGCGGAAGAGTGTCCGCCTGCGTTGGTGTTTTTCGCGATCACGGTCGGCGTGGATGGATTCAGCGAGAACAGAGTGGGCTGTCTTGACCGTTCGCAAGCGGTATGTCGGATCGAGGGCAAAGGGGTCAAATAGGTCGTCGTCCTCTTCCAGCTCTGGTTTGAGTGGGCTGGTGGTGTCCATCGAGAGCTGACGACGAAAGGAGGAGGAGGAGGCAGCGGCGGCGCCGGGAGGGTACAAGCTAGAGGTGGATGTGGGAGAGGGTGGAGCCCTGGAGTCAGCGATACAGCAGCGTGGTGCTCACTCACCAGGACATTTTTGGCGAACAATCTATGAGGTCAATTTCGTTACAAGTTTCAGGCTAACTCTGTTATATCGCCCAAAACCTGGATTGACCTTAGAGGCTACCTTGAGCAGCATACACAAAGGTGCCGAGACATTGGAGGCGAGACGGGATGGTGATATGAAAGGACAGGTTAAAGCTTGGCCGGCCAGGTTCCCTTTCGAGGTGCGGGTCCGAGCGTGGCACGCGTCGTGAGATGGGTGTGCGGTGGTGGTGGTGGTGGTTCGAATCCAGTCCGAGACCTGTGTATGTGATGTATACAAGTGATAGTGATGATGATGTTGGTGGTGATGTGTCCGAGGATGGGACAGATGAGTCAGAATCTGTTGTCATACACGACAAGGATGTGTCAAGCCAAAGGTCAAAAAGGTCACACAGCAGCAAGCAAGCAAGCCAGGGAAGGGAGGCCAAGGGGACATTGAAAAATCATTTTTTCTTTTAAAAAAAAATCCAGGGACAACGAGAGGCACAAAGAACAGTCGCGCCGCGCAACGCAGCTTGTTGGGGCTATACGTGGACAGGTATAGAAACATTGGTAAGGGGGCATAAGCAGTCTAGTAGCACAGGGCGCCGCTATTGCTCCTGGCTTACATGGGGGCAGACAGCGGTGGGCGCCACAGTCGACGCTCGCTCACTATTCATGCCGTTGCTCGGCTTGACCTAACGCCACAATTCCGAATGCTGACGTGCGTGCGTCGCGATAAGCACTGATACCCAGAGTTTACTTGCGGAGATCCTGGAGACGACTACGACGCACACGAGACAGTTTCCTACTGTCGACTGCATCTCCGGGTAAGCATTCAGGGTCTACATGACTTTCCAGCTTGACCTATTCTGCTGCTTCATGTGTCAAGCACAGTATCCTTGTCGTTTCAAAAATTTGCGACTATTCGCGGACCTTGTTCCTCCTGAACAACATGTCTGCCACACGTTGGGCAGTCGGTGTCACGAGCACAGGAAGGGTCACAATAGTCCCTATTCGCTCTGTTTGATGTAGGACCAAGCCTTTCATTCGCTCTCAGGTGGCAGTGCCACTTTCCAATAACACGTCTGGACTTCTCCTGGAGGAATGCTTGGAAGGTCTCATAAGCCTGACATTTGGATCAAATCCGCTCTCCATCACCATCACATGCACTGAGACAAGCCTAATAGCGTCTCATGGTCCACCGACGTGCTCAGATGCGTCTTGATGTTCACGACCGGCAAGCCGCGGTCTCACTCTCCATTCAGATCCTGAGTGAAGGACGGAACCAAATGTTCGCCATCCGGATGCTGGCGCTTGAGTATATCAGACGGAGAGCTGTTGATGTAGATCCTCATGGAAACGCATCTTCTTTATCTATGAGCTACCCAGTCTGATATTCTGTCCTAGATGATTGATCTCCGAGCAGGATCCTCGAGTCGGAAAGATATGCTCTTGACAGAGGGCATCAGAGGCGATTTGCTCACACATTTGTTTCGCCACACTGGTCCGAAATTTGTTTCCGTCGCGTCAGCAGCAACCCCCATCTTTGATCTTGCATCCTTACCACGCACCATGGAAGCCGATCCTCTGTTCCACGTCAAGCAGCTCTTCTACCAAGGTGAGTCACGCCGTATTGCTCCGCTCATGTCTAGCCGCCTACAAGGGTGAATTTCTTGCCACGTCGTTCCCACTGACCCTCAGCGTGCATCGCTGAGGCCTCGTCCCAGTCCCTCACTCCATCTGAATCCAGCTCTGAACCCCTCCTCCGATCCCTTTATATCGCCAGATCCCATCTTGCCCTCTCACCTCCTGCTACATCCTCTGCTCTCTCCACCCTCAAGCCATTTGACGCGCCATCTGCCAAAGCCGTCTCCGCCCTGGCAGAATACCTCGCGAAATCCGACAGCTCTCACGTTGATGCCGTCCGTGACTTGGTCATCGAGTGTGAGGGCGGCGAGGAGAGTCAAGACGAGGGTGTAGTCCGGGTCATCGCAGGTACCATTTTTATCCTCGAAGGGGAGAATGAAGAGGCAGTGGCAACATTGACCGAGGGCGCAGGAAAGACTGATCTCGAATGGTGAGGTCACTTCCCGACCTTTTCTGATCACAGCAACGCGCTCCTTGTACAACTCTTGCTCTCACTCAATCGACGTGATCTCGCTCTGTCCACATACAATGCTGCGAAGAGAATTGGCAACGACTCGCTCCTCGTACAAGCGATGGAAGCGTGGATAGGCCTAAAAGCAGTGGGTCAAGCTTCCCGCCGCTCCGCTCACACTTCAGGGTGCCCGACCGCTTCACCAATCTTACTACTTCTACGAGGAGCTGTATCAGCTCCCTAACGGGCGAACTCCAGCCGTCGTGGCCTCTCATGCGGCGTCTCATCTGCTTCTTGGGCACCTCGAGGAAGCCAAGGCGGACATCCAAAATCTCGAGGACGCATCTCCCGAGGTCCTCGCCGTGGCAAAGACACTGGGCTTGGCTGCAACGTACGTCACACCGCCTCCCAAGCTGACGACAGGCTCACAAACCACCCCTTCGCCCTCGATCTTGAATCCAAATCGGCCGCCTTTGACTCTGCCGCGGCCAATTTCATACCCGCCTAGAATGCATGTCATAACCTTGCCCGATGACTCAAAAACCTTCTGAGACATTCGGCAACAGCTACAGGATCCTCCTGTACGAGCAAATGCCCAGCCCCGTCCACGACCTCAGCGACGGACCCTGGTGGCCTCAGTACCAGCTCACTCGCTTCCCCCAACGTTCCCAAGGCCTGAGAATCTTTCCCGATGACCGATCCCACGGGCACACGCAGCTGACCGAGCTTGTCCCATCCTACGCCCCGAGCAAATGGCTCGGCGAAGACGGCCGCCTCTGCCCAGGCAGGTGTCGCCAGTGTTACCCCGTTGTCCGTTTTGACGAATCCATGCCGTGCCCACACCTCGTTGATCTCCGGATGCCACCGTCCGAGCACCGGCGATTTGGCAAACGCTGTTTGGGCCTCGGCCAGTGAACCCCACTGGGTCCTCCGTTTCATGGCGTTCATGCCGAGGGAGAAGTCAGGCAAGAGGGGCTCCATGTGTTGTACGTTTGACGGTACACACATCGGTTCGACCAGGAACAGCGCCTCAAAGAGGTCCGGTCGGGCGTGGGCTGCTTGAACGCTGGCGTGAGCGAAGTCAATACGCCACTCACAGTGCATTGGCTCCAAATGAGTGACCCACGCCAATGACTCGGCGTTTCTGCTCCTTGTGCCATGGCAAGACCTCGCCCATACCCCATTCGGACGGCAAGACGTGTGCCACAAAGTTGACCACGTCTCTGCCTCCGTCCTCCCAATTGTGTAGAATCCCCAGTCGACCGGCATTGAGGTCGACCGAGGCGCCATGCCGCGTATCATCCAGCAACCACACCTCATCTATCGGCGCATCCACCAACCGCTTGATCACTGGAAACCAGCTCTGTCCATCAGCCGATTCCCATTCCAACCCACCTCTTTGTTCATCCCATTAGCGTGCGTGCAGACCAGTACAGCCCCTCCGCCTGGATCCGGTCGCCTCCAGCCCTCTACGGCCATGTATAAGCCCTTTTCTCCCCCTGTCTTCCCCTCGTACCGCTTGCGCAATAGCTCTCGAAAGTCTCGCGCACACCTCTGCACTCTCTCTTCCTTTGTCTCGTTCGCCGGGCCAGGTGGGAACGGTCCATGCTCCCGAGAGTATCCTCCGACCGATTCCTCAAAGCTCCTTGGATACGCAGCGGGAGCGACGCAGTCCCATCGTTGCCATGCTCCCGACTTGCCCTCCAACTTCCGGCCATCATGTCTTCGCTCGGGCAGTGAGGGCGGTTCTGACAACGGCGGTTCGAGACATGGTCCAAATGGTGGATGGGAGTGGATCACGGGGTCGGGCACCTTGGATGGTCTCCTGGGTCGCTCCACTCTGTGTATGCCACGGAACTGGGTCATGAGTCGTCTCAGCATGGTAGGTGAGGAGAAGTGGGCGGAGACCCCGGCTATCGTCGGGGTTCATGAATACCACGTGGTAGGCCGCGAGGCCATCCTACCGACGCATCGATGAACCACAATACGCGGTGCCTCATCTGCGGAAATCTACAGACTCTCTTCTGTCGCCAGCCATACGTACACATCGCTCAACTGATGACCGTCGAATAGAAGGACACCCTGGTCAGTGAAGTCTCAGTTTCCATGTGGTTCAAGAGCCCACCGGCCGAACACGGCCGCCGCCCCGCACTACGTACTGACGCTCGGTAGCTCTCACTATAAATCGACCTTGATCGGCGAACACGACCAACACGACCGACGAATCGCAAGAGCTGCTCAGATTGACTTCAATCCCCAAGGCGTCATGGAAGAAGCAGGACAGTAAAAAATCCATAGGCTATCCTCCCACCTGAGGTGACCCCTGTCCTCTCGCGATGGGTCCCTCCGGGACACGCGGGAGCATTCAGTCAATGACATGACCAAGCGCTGTTGAGCTTCGCCGGATAGCACCTCCCTTGTCAGCTCCATCTAGCTGGGCAGGTTGGCAACTCCGGTCCGGGATCGCGAGTTAGCCCATCTCACACGGCCCACGCAACCAATTCGGGTCCTTTTGCAAAGAGCTTCATCCGCCCAGTCTTGATCTGATAACCCCCGTCCCATCTGCCCATCGCCAGTCTTGCCGCGCTCGATCGTCTGCTGGATGTGTGTGCTTGGTCTTTCCGACCGTGCGGCGACGGGGAGCAGATACGTCAATCGGCAAGCTATTTAGCAGTGTTTGGAGGGTTTGAGGAACAAGAGCCCCAATTCAGACCCTCAAGTCGGAGCAAGATCACTCAAAGTAAGCCAAGTGGCGCACCTCTGTTGTTGTCAATCCAGTAAGCCGTGAGACACTCTTGGACCTCGAGATCAGAACCCTCGACGCCACTCGGGATCTCCTGCACTCTGCCCGTGAATGCAGGAGGTGACTCTCCGTATCCAGGGATGACAGCGGCCACGATGCGATGGTGTCTCTTGCTCGGTCACGGGGCTCCTCTGCAAGGGTCGCGTACATTTTGGGAGCGAATCACCCAGTCATGGCTGAGGCGAAGAACCCGGAAGATGCGACGTCTGACCCGAGACGGAACCAATCCTGAGGTTTTCAGGGCCGTTCGTCAATTACAGCCGAGGTGGAGGTGATCGATGGGTGGAGGCGACTGATGAGTGGAGGCGATTGATGGGTGCGAAATCGACCTTTAGAGATGACTATCACGACATGCAAGACGGCATCACGACCAGTTGACGACGAGCATGACGGGTATCACATGATCCAGCCTGATTCGAACGGTCTCGGTGGTATGTGGATGGCTGCCTTTCCTAAAGCAGTCAGGTCTCGTAACATCTTTCGACCCATGGAAACGATAAGACCACCACGGCCGGCTCATGCGATGGTGGAGATCATTCAAGCCCCGAGAAGGTTTGCATATCAATCAATATCCGCAGGATTAAGTTGGAACAGATAACGTCCGTATTCTATTTAGAGAATGTCGCGGCGATATCCTCACTACATGATAACGACAACTCCCTCAACGATAGCAAGGTCCGTCCAGGACACGGGCGAAGAGTGGCCTGCCTCGGAGCGCCAGATACCAGAGCTCTTTGTGGCAATCATGGCAGCCCCCGCATCCCTTGCTTTTTTCCCGTCCTGCGCCATTCAGGTTTATAAGTTTCTTTGCTATATTAAGCGAAAAGGAACGGAACCAGGGTTTCGTTCATACTCATATCAGCCTCTTCACACAAACCCTGTGGTTGTTCGCCGAAGCCGCCACTTTTCCAGAAGGATTATTCTTATTATTTTGACTTCGCAGCAGATCAGAGTTACGACAATCTCAGATCCATGGGACCGTGGCGGAAAGAGGATTCCTCCCTGTGTCAAAGCTGAGATTGGAGATATGCCGGCTTTTCAGGGGCGATCACCAGTGGCACGTAATCCTCTCACATCAGGCCAGAACCTGGGGAGAAACAGTTCCCCGCTTTTTGATGTCTATTTTGGACGTTTCACGTGAGCAATTAGAGAAAATGATCACCAGGAATAGATCCAATCTTGCTCATTCGAACGACCCATTTTCCATTCTGAGATTTTGAGTGTACTCCCGGGTCAATTGTGGCGTAAGACGTGCGATAACGACGGCCGAGGATGTGCCAGTGTCCCGTCAGCTGCACACGGCTATTTTCAGTGATCGCAAGTCCCCCTCCTTTCTGAGTGGCCGCAGAGATCCAGTCACATAAGACAAGGGTTGCTCAAAAGACCCCTTCTCGTTCTGCAACCCCCCCTTTCTTCTATTTCTTCACCATTCACATTCAAGATGGGTGCAAACGATATTGCTCCTGCCTACGGACAGGTGGAGGACAAGAAAATCAACGACACTGATGTGGAGACTGAAAAGGTCGCGGTCACTGCCGCCCCTGACCTGGACTCCCTCAGTATCGGCGAGGAGGTCGAGCTCAAGAAGTAAGTGGACGATACTACCCATTGAGAGGGTCATCGCTGACCCCGACCTTGTAGGGAGCTGGAACTCTTCGACAATGAGATCACTGACCTCGAGGAGAAACTCGTCGACTTGAGTGTGGCACAGGCTTATTCGGTTGCGAAAGAGCTCTTTGACATGCACAAGCACGATCAGCTCTTCCCCCTCGACATTCTCGAGAAGCTCGAAGAATTCTCCAAGAATTACGAAGAGATCGCTGCCAACCCCGGACCTCACGCTACCCTCATCCGAGATGTCAAGATCGAGGTCTTGCTGGCCACTGAGAACTCGCCCTACCTCGAGGTCAGAGCCAATACCGAGACTACCGACGATCCAACCATGCCGGTCATGACGTTCCGATCGTTCCTCATCGGCACCATTTTCGCAGTGGTCGGTTCCTTCATCGACACATTGTTCTCGTTCCGTCAGCCTGCTATCGGTATCGGTACCAGTGTTGCCCAGCTTTTGGCTTATCCCTTCGGCAACTTTTTGGCGAGGGTTCTGCCTCGCGGTCAGTTCCGTATTTTCGGTCACACTTGCTCTCTGAACCCTGGACCTTTCAACAAGAAGGAACACATGCTCATCACCATCATGTGCAATGTCAGTATGACTTCCCCCTACACCGTCTACATTGTTCCCGTGCAGTACCTCCCAGGCTACTTTGACGAATCTTTCGCTCACAGCCGAGGCTACCAATACTTGAACACTCTCGGTACCAACATGGTTGGTTACGGTATGGCTGGCCTCTTGCGACGATTCTTGGTCTGGCCCTCGTTTGCAGTCTGGCCTGGAACTTTCAACAACATGGCTTTGATCAAGGCGTTCCACACCGAAAAGAATGAGCCCGTGCGCGGACCTTTCGGCAAAATGTACACTTGGTCTCGGGAGAAATTCTTCTTGATCACCTTTATCGCCATGTTTGTTTACTACTGGTTCCCCGGTTTCATCTGGACCTCGCTCTCTTACTTCAGTTGGATCACTTGGATCGCTCCTAACAACCTCAACCTCGATGCTGTGACAGGTTTCAATGGAGGAATGGGATTCAACCCGTGGCCATCATGGGATTGGAACATTGCAGGTGCTTGGTTCACTCCATTGACCGTGCCCCTCTTCAGTGTTGTCAACATCGCCATCTCGGCCGTGATCATCAACATTGCCACCCTTGCCATTTGGTACACCAACAAGTGGAACACCGGGTACCTGCCAATCAACCAGCCCGGAACCTACGACAACACCGGTAACTCTTACAACGTATCTAGGATCTTGAAGAACGGCAGACTTGACCTGGACCTCTATCAATCCTACTCTGAACCATGGATGACCGCTGGATTCATCACTGCTTACATTGGCTACTTTGTCATGTACGGAGCGACCTTGGTCTACATTCCTCTCTTCCACAGACACCAGGTTGCTCGGGCTTTCAAAGGATTTGCAAAAGCGGTCAAAGCATCTTTCCGACGAGGCAGCGACGGCGAACAAGACCTCCTCGACGAAGACATCCATGCAAAGCTCATGAAAGAATACAAAGACGTGCCCGAGTGGGCCTACATGATTCTGCTCGTCGTCTTTGCGGCCATCGGAATGATTGGAGTTGCCATCTACCCCGATGACACCTCACCCGTCGTTATGGTCTTCGGTATCATTCTCTGCCTCCTCACCATGATCCCAGTTGGATTGATCACCGCCACCACTGGAGTTTCTGTTCCGACCAATGTCATTTCAGAATTCATCGGAGGTTCACTGGTTTCCGGAAATGCCAACGCTCTCATGTACTTCAAAACATATGGTTACATCTCCGCCGCTCAAGCCGTCAGCTTCTCAAACGACCTCAAATTGGCTCACTACTTCAAGCTCCCCCCGTGGCACACTTTCACCGCCCAAGTCTGGGCAACATTGCTTTACTGTATCGTTAGCGCCAGTATTTTCAACTATGCCATGGGCTTCAGGGACATTTGCACGGAAGGAGCGGCTTTCCATCTCACCTGTCCCGGTCAGACCACCTACTTCACTGCATCTGTCTTCTGGGGAACTCTATCGCCTAAGCGATTGTTTGGACCAGGCAAGAGATACACCACCGCTTTGTTGGGCTTCCCAGTTGGCGCTGCGATGGTCTTTGGTAAGTCGACACCCGATCGCTGAGTAATACATAACTGACATCGCTCAAAGTGTACTGGGGTCTGAAGCGTGCCTTCCCGAGGAGCAGCCTGATCCGAGGTCTCCACCCGGTCATGCTCGCTCAAGGTGGTGTCTACTTCTTGGCACCGTACAACATCTCCTACATGTTGCCTCTGCTCTACGTCACCGTCTTCTCCTTCAAGATCGTCCGACCGCGATACACCCAATTCTGGGCGAAGTGAGTGGCAAATTCCCGGGTAAAGAAGAAACACCACTGACGCTGTGCAACTAGGTACAACTATGTCCTCGCTGCATCTTTCCCGACAGGTATTGCCATCGCTGGAGTCATCATCTTCTTTGCTCTCGAGGTTCCTCATGGCGGATACTCTCTCAATTGGTGGGGTAACAATGTTTTAAATGAGGGTTACGAGGGATCTTTCGGAGCTCCTCGTCTCGCCGTGCCTACCGACCCAGGTTACTTTGGACCGCCTCAAGGCTCTTTCACCTAAACGGTGTGTGTAGGCTGTGAATGGAGGAAGTTTTAATGCAGCGAAGCAGATCTGTACGCAGAGTGAGGTCATCCATGCATAATCATCTATTGCAATCGGTCTACGATCATTATGTCTGCGTCACGTAGTCATTTGACTGCTTTCACCTGGCGTTCTGAGTCGCCTTTGTAGGGTACTTCCAAGCAGGGCCTATAGCAGTGGTTTGGCAATGTACTTACTTCGCTCGTCGAGACAATTCTGCGCGAAGTCCATTTCTTCTGACGTTCCCGCACATCCGAGCCTAGGATATTGTAAATATTGATACAGATTGAGTTCGATGATATCAGAGGAAGTAAATTGTGACGTCGAGTCCCGGCACAAACCGCTGAGCCCAGAGTAATCTCACAGAAGGCTTTCGAATCGAACCAATGAGACCTCTGTGTGAGCGATGTATGCGGATAGCAGGGAAGTTGATAGGATAGACTGGCCTGACAAACGTGTCACAAGAACGATACTGAATAACCGCCACATCAATTGGTCGCAGACTAAGCTGTTTGCTACGCTTTATACTGATGCGAAGGGGATCCTTATGCATAGAACATAGCTGTGATCCATTCCCGCCCGCCCTTGGTCAAATCATCCTCGTCTCAGCTCTTCCGCTCGAATACGGCACACCAGACTGGCATAGTCGCGGTCTTGCGCGAGGTAGCCCGGAGAGATGTCAATGAGGTCGCTGTAGAGTTCTGGAACGCCTCCAAAGCCGAGGCAGCGGATTTTCGGGTCTGATTGCCCTCGCCTCTTATGTCCAATTCCCAGGACTTGTCACCGACCGTCTGCGCTTCCCAAGATCCATCTTGTAGGTCTGCATCGGGTGTGAAGGTCGCTTCATGACTTGAGCCATCGTCCTTGGTGCAAAGCTTCCATCCGGCTTCAGTTGCGAGCTCGATGATCCTCCCGGGACCGACGACGGTCCTGACGTTGCTCGACGGGGACTTGTTCGTAGCTTTGTCGTCAGAATGAAGAGCATGAACAGCGGCTTGAGCGAGAACGGAGAGAAGATGTGGGACCTGTTCCACAATATCTGCTCTAAGGGCGTATTCTGCCAAGCAGAGGTATTTGATGGCTGGTGTGTTTGTCGCCAAGCGCCGGAAGGTTTCCAGCAGGACGGCTTCGGATTCAAAGTAGTACAGCGAGTGAACGAGGACAGCGTGGGTATAGGACGCCTCGCTGGTCAAGACAGTGTCGATAGGGCTGTCGATGACAAATTTGAGGTTGTCCAGCTCTTTGTTCGATGTCAAAGTCTCGTGAGCCTCAGACATGGTCAATGGTGCTCCTGCCATGCATTAGATCATCTTCCAGGTGCCGCAGAGCGTCACACTCACCGTACGATCCAGGCGCGGGGTCCCACGCAGTGATCTGGCCAGCCCCTGCAGACCCGACCGCCGTAGCAATCACTGTGCTCATGTCTCCTTGACCGCAGCCAATCTCCAACACCTTCGCTCCATTGAAGAATTGCGATCCGCCCCAGTGATCGACAATATTGACTCGATGACGGGTTTGAACACGTTGGACCTTGGCGAGCCCATCACGGAGCTTTTCAGTGATCTTGCCGCCGACCGCGGGGATATGCAGGGCCGAAATGGCCTCTGCGTCGAGCTCAATTGAGGACATTGTAATGTGTAGAGAAGTTTACACAAATTCGAATCGACCACAGAGTAAAGATCTGTGACTGAATCTTTCGGATCCGAACAGTCCTATCGGACCTGGAACCGGGCCGATCAGAGCCGGGGCATAAAGCCTTACCGGGTCATTGATCACGCCGTACCCACACGAATTTGCCGACACCTTTGATAGTACTGGAGCGCTCATCGATAGGATCGGGTATCAGTACCGGTCTTACCTCACGAAGGTCATAAGAACGCGAATCCTTCGGTCGATAACAATCGCACCTCGGTCCCAAACCGATCATCCGACGGGTTTCTGGCGGTAGGCGGTTGATCTCGGAAGGTACGTAGCAATCTATTCGCTCCTTCACGCTTGATACCAAGTTGGCGGATGAGGGACCAGCTTGTTGTATGCGTGACAGCGCTTCGTCGGTAACGCTGATCACCTCGCTGGCTTGACACGCTCGTAGAATTCTGCCTTTGATGTCCGGCTTGATTGGGGCGGATGTTCGCTGTAGCGAGGTGGACGTGTGACCTGACGCTTCAGTCCGTCTAGACTCGCCTGACCCGACGATGACAAGTCTGGTACCTTGCATACCATTGAGTTCCTCCAACGCGCCTTGCACCGCGCTAACTCTGTCGTTGCTGAAATCCTCGCCCCTCCCACTGCTGACGTAGTGCAAGACCACCCTTTTGCAGTCGTCTGCGCAGATCATCCATTCGTTGGTCAACCCATGAAATACCAGTTTGTCCAGTTTCCAGCTATTAAAGAGTCTCTTCAGAAGCTTTTTGCCGCTTCGGACAAATGAGTCAAGATCCTGGCTTGTCAGCCGCCTGCCAAGCGAAGCTGTCGCCCATATTCCACTTGTAATCTCCACATGTCCGGGCTTGACGATTCTCTTGAGAGCTCCAAGGAACGGATGAGACGTGTTTGTAGCTATCGTAGGACCGACCATCTCCCAATGTATACATGCCATGAGAGTCTCGGCTGAAATGAATAGGCTTTTCGCTTGTGGAAAGAGGATGGTCCCGGGATGGAGAGCGGTCACGGACTCAGAGTGCCAGATGTCAGGGACAAATCCTTCCACTACGACCGTTTCGACGAGCCGGAAAGCCTCGGTACGTCGCTTGAGAGTGTCTGACGGGATGAATTCTGGGGGCAGAGTACCATCCAGTCGGAATGAGAGCAGGTTAGGCGGGCTGGGAAGGTGGACGCCATGTAGTAGCTTTGGGAACGAACTGCGATCGATGCGTATGGTGTGGTACAGATGTGGGAGGACTACTTGATATATCCTTTTGCATGTCAGAGAGAGGCACACCAGGAGGGAAGGACATCTCTCGGTCAGATATCGACACAACAGCGTCAAGACTTCGAAGGGGATCCCTCGGCTATGAGAGACGATGCGATGTCGAGGAGTGAGCCGGGGGTCTGTGCGATATCGCTGTCGAGCGGCCGGGGAAGGCACATCAGCGCTGTACGGCGGAGGAGGGTCTGTCGGCACATGCTGCCAGTCTGACATGGTGAGTCAAGTGGTCAGAAAGAGTTGATCGATAATACGTGTCGCATTGGCTGCCAAGAGTACGCATCGGCGGGCCGGGGATCCGCGCAATCTGACAGCATGCAATGCAAACTACTACAGCTCCTCATGGATTGGAGTATCTATTGTCGGAATCGCAGTTTCACTCGACGCGGTCTCTGTCGGAGAGGCCAAAATCGTACTCTCAGCGTCTTCCTCTCCAGTGACTTTGGACGAGCTGGCACTGCTACTCTTGACGGGCTTAGGCGCACGAGGTGCTTTCTTTTTCTCTAGACGTAGAACCTGGATCCGCTACGTCAGCACAGGAAAGCGCAAACCGGGAACGCTCGCTCACTGTCGACTGCAGTCTCTTTCCTCTGCTGTCCAGATCCTCTGTCAAGATCTCTGGATCCTTCGTCTTGTCCGTCTCAATTTTGACTTGTTTCTGCATTCTAGTGTCCATCCACACTTCATTGTCCTTGAGCATATCCTCGACAGTCTTCAACTCCTCGTCAGTGTATTTTGGCGGGGCCACAGGATTCTCAGGTGTCGCCGCCTCGGCCGCCTCCTTGGCCGCTGTCACGTTCTTGTGAGCCTCGACGAAAAAGGCTCGAGCCGCAAACATGGCTTGTTGAAAGTCTTCGATAGCCTTGCCACGTGTCTGGGCCTCTTTGAATCGGGTGATGATCGGTTGTTCGAGCTTACTACAGGAGGGTCGAATCAGATTTGTTCATGAAATCGAGTTCCTAACTCACGTCAGAGTACTGCGCTTTTCCACAAGAGTTTTTTCCTCTGCCTTTTCGGCGTGATCTCCCAGCCACTCAAAGGTCTCCTCCATGAGCTTCTGTAATCCCTCTCGCTCCTTTTGCGTGCCGTATTCCCACAATGCCCGGTTCTCGGCATCAGGACTGAGGAGGCCAGACAGCCGGTAGAGATACCCTTCAAGCAAGTTTCGTGCCTCCTCACGAGCAAATTTGGCTTTTTCGTACGCAGCAATGGAAGTGAGCCTTGTCAATTGTCAGCCACTTCTCTTCATGGTATACGTTACAACTCACCTTGCCATCGTGACTCGCTTCTCCTCTCCCGTCATGGGCCTGATTCCCAACTGTTTCTCTCGGAATTTGAGGGCGACCTTTTCCAATTTTGCCTTTTTGCTCTTCTTCTCCGACTGCTCTGGCGTGGAGCCATCCTCAGCTTCCTTAGTCACCGCGTCTTCACCCTCCTCAACGTTCTCGTCTTCATTGCCCGTCTCATCCTTGTCTTTCTTGCTGCCAAATAGACCCTTAAGTGCGCCCGCGACTCCACCAGATACTTCGGGCTCAGTCAAGTTCGATACGAGGACGGCGTTTGAGGTGGCCAAATACCCTCGTGAGTCGAGACGAATTGTGAGGTTGACCGCTGGCTCGGGTGACGTGAAATTTGCGAGCGCTTGCTCCAGCTCCAGAATTTCGAGATGCAGAACGGGTCTCCTGGAGTCACAATCAGCTAGGCCGCACACAAAGTCCCGCAGACTCACGCTCCCTGAGAGAAATCAAACTCCATAATGCCCTTTGGGTCTAGGGACAGAGCTTTTTTCTCTCCCAACCGCGACCCCTTTGGGAACAATACCTGTCCGTTCATCAAGTACTCCTCGAAGCTCGTCTCCTGGACGTCAATCTTTTTCATTTTGAATACTTTGCTCAGAGCCGCAGCATAGTAGGCTGCGCCGAGCACAGCTGCCTCATCGGTATTGACGTTTTGAGCGATCTTGTCTTGATCTGAGGGGTCCAATGCGGCTTTGAGAGCACTCTGGACCAGTGGGACTCGAGTATTGCCTCCAAAGAGGATGACCGAATTGACGGATGACATGTTGATGCCTGCTGAGCTTAATGCAGCGGCAACGGGAGAAGCGAAAAGATCGGCACTGTCTGCCAGTGTGGACTCAAGCTCGGCTCGAGAGATTTTGGACCGGAAATCGATGTCATTGTATAATGACTCGACCTGCCCGACGATGAGCGAGACCTCCGAGCTTGCAACATGATCACTCACGTTGACGTTACTTTCCTGGTTCGCACTGAGTATATGTTTGACCCTAACAGCCTCCTTCATGATCTTGGCCATGGCCCGTTTGTCCTCCTTGATGCCGTCCGCCTTGGACCCCGCCTTCTTGATGAAGTCCTCGACCAGGAGTTCTTGCAGAGTCAGGTCCAGCAAGAGGCCACCCACGGGGGAATAGCCAGTACCAATGGTATCGATGTGGGTGGTGGCGATTGGTGTCTTTGATTTAGGAGTGAGCAGTTCTGAGGTTTGGTAGAACGCCACGACGGTTGCAGTGGTCGACAGGGAGCCAGAGTCGTAAATGACATGGTACTCCTTCTCGCCTTGTCCTGTCGATAAATCGAAATCTGGAAACGTCCTTGTCATGGCATAGTTGAGAGCGACACCTGTGCCTTCTCCAATCATAGCTAGGCAAGTCAGTCCCTGAAGCTCCAGCGCATCCTTGTATGCTTTCCGCTGATAATGATTCCACCATGCGGGAACAGTGACGACAGCTTGAGAGACCGTATCGGAGGCTGACATCTCCTGGGCCAATCCTCTAAAGTATGATATCTGATGCGCCAGTAGAGCAGTAGGGGTCCAGACAGAATCTTGAGATTCAGGAGCTGGTGAGATGTGGGAGGGGTGATTCGGATGTGGGAAGATGAGCGCCCCATCGGATGTGAGCTTCGGAGAGGAGGGATATATGGGGAGGGAAGTGAGTGCATTGGCGCCTATCAGAGGCTTGATGTACGGGAAGTGAGCGTCCGGGAAACGTGTGGCCTAAGGCAGAATGAGCTGGACTTCAGAATCCGCAGGACTACGAGCTCACGGTCATCTTGCCCTCCTGACCAAATACTCTGTCATCCCTCTTCCATCCTACTACGCTCTGTATCTTTCTCTTACTATCTCTGTCCAAGATGACATCGAATGGCACACCTGGCTTCACCAAGGACAGTTTTGTGAACTCGGCACCATAATCGATGGCCAGGATGGCAGCATGGATGGCGGGTGCCAGAAGAATGAGACAGAGGGAGATCAAGCTTTGTATACGCATGTTGGTGGAGTCCAGAGAGCTGATCGCAACCTCTCTCTCTCTCTCAAGAAGTGCTGCCTCGACGCTGTATACAAAATCCACTTGGACAACAGTTCCACGTCGGACCGAAGATTCTCTGAGACGTGGTTGGATTTCAAAGCCACGTGGTAAGATTACGGCATAGAGTTGGGGACTGACGGCAACTTTTTGGGAATAGCACATCATCATTTCATTCTCTTATAAAGCATTCTGGGAACAGAGGAAGCAATGGACATGCATCTTGTGAACTGACACTCACACGCAGTAAACAATGACATCGCAGGATCAAGCTGGTGGCTCATCTCGGTCTGATATCCTCACCCCTCAGTACAACGAGCAAGAGATTGCAGCGTTCAATGCTGAACTGGAGGGTAAATCGCCACAGGAAATATTGATATGGGCCGTAGACCACCTCGATGGGTTGTATCAGACCACGGCGTTTGGTCTGTGAGTGGATGTTCTTGTGAGCGTGGACGGCAAAACTCACATGTTCTGCTAGGACAGGTACGGCCGCTCTTGACATGATCTCAAAGATATCGTTAGATAGGCATGAGATTCACCTCGTCCCTCTGGTATGAACTACAGTGCAGCACCGTATCTGACGCCTGCTAGATCTTCCTCGACACCCTTCATCACTTTCCCGAGACACTCGCCCTCGCCCAGACCGCCTCAGACCATTACCTAGCGCCATTGCATACCTATGCTCCTCAGGTTGAACCACTGAATGCAGAAGGCTTCGCCGCAAAGTACGGATCAAGCCTTTGGGAGACGGACGAAGCGGCGTATGATTATTTGGTCAAGGTGGAACCTGCTGCGAGAGCGTATAGGGAGCTCGGAGTCAGAGCTGTCATCACGGGCAGAAGGAGGAGCCAAGGTGCAGAAAGGGAAGGGTTGAAAGTGCTGGAGGTGGATGAGAGGGGGTTAATAAAGGTCAACCCCTTGATTTCGTGGACGTTCAAAGAGGTCAAGGCGTACATTGACAAGGAGTGAGCACAGAAATGAGACTCAATATGCTGGACCCGGCTGATGTATGCCTAGGGATGTGCCGTATAACACGCTCTTGGACCAAGGATATCGGTCTATTGGAGATGTCCACTCCACTGCTCCCCCGGATCCATCGCTTGCGGACTCTGATGCCGCTGAGAGATCCGGGAGATGGGCTGGAAAGGCAAAGTCAGAGTGTGGCCTGCATGTGAACTACTTTGACATGAAAGCGAGATTTGAGAACAAGTCGAATGGGACGGAGAACGCAACAGCTACGGGAGCATGATCAGTCCAATTTAGACCAAGTGTAGCCATTACATTGCATAGATTCTACAAGTGAACACAATACCCATGATCATCATCACGGCTCAGCAGCAGCCGCTTCCATGCTCTTGATTGCTGAAAGTAGCTTGTCTCGATTCACGAGCACCAGTCGTCCGAATTGCTCCACTCCGAACGCGTCTTCGTCACGTTGCTGAGCGGACTGAAAGGGGTAGGTGTGGACTTCTTCTGCGACCTGATTTAGCCGGTCAGCGAAGCCGACGACCATGCTCTCGAACCACTCGCCTTGTCGATAAACTCTTCCTCCGGATGATAGGCAAAGCTACCCGCAGCAAGTGCAGGAGCCGACGACGTAGCTTTCCCAGCCTTTTTCTTCTTCTTACCTCGGCTATGATATGTCAGGGGGGAGATCCAGTAAACGTTTACCCCTACATACCTCTGATCGTGCAAGTCCAACCCCATACCCTCTTCACTCCCTTCTAAGCGGTATCCTCTGCCCCAGAGAATGAAATGGTCGAATTCCGCGCCGTTGTCTGTGAGCTCAGACAGAAGCATCTTGTACATGGGCGGGATGAGTGGTAAGGGTAGATTCAGCATTCGGAGGGAGAAAATGAGAGCGGTTTTGGAAGGCTCGAGCAGCTGGGATGAAATGGAGGTTGCGGATTTGGATCGGCCGGCGAGGTATGAAACGAAAGGCTTGAGAGCAGGGTCATCCTGGGAAAAAACATCAGCGGAAGCTTCAGACAGCGTCAGGAGGGGATTCGATTCTCATCGCGCCCGCCTGAACCAACCCACCTTGTTCCTGTCCAGGTCGACGGCTGCGAGTATAGCCCAAGGATCGCTCTCCTCTCCATCTGTTTTGATACTGCTCCCTGCGCCAAGTCTAGAGCTCTCCGCCAGTATCAAGGAGGCTAGTGGATGAACATCCACTAGCTCCTCGTCATGAGAGAGATGCTGTCGCAGCAATCGCTTTGCGGCGATCCTGCGAGAGGTGTCAGTCAGTGCCGGATCACTGGCGTAGACGAGAGCAGTCCGGCTGAAACATCGAGCCGTAGCAGCGTACTCACTGGTCTACATCCTCATTCAGATTGTAGAAATCAAAGTCGACATTGATCATGCTCTATACCCAGTCAGTCCAGCTCCATATACATAAGAGCCTCTAGATTACGACCCACTACATCGCTCCCATCATCAGAGCTTGAATCATCTTCATCCTCCTTTGGAGCATTCTTTCGCTTCGCATTTGAGCTCTCAGCAGCTTTAGAGGCTGATACTGCGCTCAGTGAGGGATTAGACGCTGTCATGGCTGAATTAGTCCGTAGATCTAAGTCGCGGAGCGGTCAAGTGGGTTGCAGAGGTAGGTGGTCGACGATGGATTTAAATTTTGAATATGCTGGATTTCTTATCCCGTCGGAATTGGCTGCGTAATGTCGATCGTCATGTATTAGCTGCCATTGTCAGTGACGTTGGATCCTATACATCCTCGAGTCGATGTCAAACGTCGACGAGTTCAACAACCGATATGAAGACTCAACAGTCACTCCTTGGCTTCTTCAAGCCCGAATCGAGCATATCTCATAACAAGAGACGGCTGTCTTCGACGTCGATCGAAGCGATCAATAAGCCAAAGGTGGCCAAAGTTGAATCAGTCGCAGCGGACAAGTTGAAGACCGAGGGCGAAGCAGCACATCCCGAGATAACGGAAAGCAATGAGGCCTTCAAAGACTATCCTCCGCCAGATCACCCTTCTTATCATCTTCCACCTAGCCCCACTTACAACCACCCCATCAGTATCGCTCCTCCTCCATCGAGCCTGAATCTCCGATTCAATACGGCTTCCGAAGCGATCGTCAAACAGGAATACGGTCTCGATCTACTCTACCTCAAACATTTCATCGATACGTCGTGTTCTCGTCAGCTGAAAAACTATCTTCTGGAGGCATTACCATGGTATCGAGTCACTTATACCTCTATGGGAATGGAGCACCATACACCTCGATGGACCACGGTCTTCGGCAAGGACTCAACGAGCACACCCTGGCACGGGTACGATAAGGCGAGACCGAGGGCTATCCCTGAGATCCTCCTGAGGCTGATGCGACAGGGTAAGTACATAGTCATCGGAAGACTGCTGACGAGCCCTCGCAGTCGAAGAAGTCACAGGGGAGACGTACAACTTCGCCCTCGTCAATTACTATGCCACTGGAAGCGACTCCATCTCGTACCATTCCGACTCTGAATCTTTCCTCGGCAAGAATCCCTGCATCGCCTCCATCTCTCTCGGTGGATCCCGCGGCTTTCTGATGCGTCACATCAATTACAAGAACACTGCTCAGCACGAAAAGTTTCTGCTTGAGGATGGTGACATGGTCGTGATGCGAGGCCAGACGCAGCATCAGTGGCAACATTCGATACCGAAAAGGAAGAGTGCCGAAGGTCGAATCAATATCACTTTTAGGAAAGGCGTCGTCAAGTATGCGACTCAGAACTACAATCAATACAATGTCGGCAAAGGCCCGATGTATCGATGGGAGAGTGGGCAAATGGTGGAGAAGTCGTGAAGCCGATCGTGGCCGCATACGATAAATGGTTGACATGGGATCATTCGGCCTTTTCTAAATGGTCCAAAAATCCATCGGCAAATCTCACACACTGCTCGTACGCTTCTTCAAACCCACGTCGACCACCGTAGTATGGATCGTCAATTGTCCTGGATCTGCCCGCGGAGCTATCATAAGATCCAAAGAGAGAGATGGAGCATTTGGATGAAGGGGGCTTCCGCTGACGGATCGTGTCGAGACTGAAATGGGGTCAGCTCGACGACGTCGCATGCACTCACTTGGACTCATCCATCGCCAATATGTAGTCAAATTTGGCGTAGTCTTCTGGGGTCAGTCGTCTGGCGATGGATGTCACAGGAACGCCATGCTGTGTGGTGTTAAGAGAAGAGTAGAATCAAGCAATTTTTACCTTCTGGCATGTGGTTATCGTTCTGTGATGCCTCAGGTCCTCCTCACAGCGGTATACAGTTGATAGAAGGCTCACCTCTCGTCTGCGGGTTCTCCTGCGTGATACGCTCCTGTGCCTGCGGAATCGACCGTAATATCGAGTATTTTCGACGCAGAGCCGCGTTTTGAGAGGCGATCTATCAGAATAGCCTCCGCCATGGGAGAGCGACTGAAGCTGATTAGTCTGGCTTGGGATATAGGTCACACCCACCATATGCTACGGGTAGGACGGCCGGTGTCAGTCTCAGATCCAAGCGTGGGCGTTGGGTGTACGCTCACTTCCTGTGTGGCGTGAGAGACTCGTCTTCCGGAGATATCACTTACCCAAGACAGACCATCAAGACGCTGACCTTGCGTCGGTCCCCTGCGCCGTTCGACATCCTGGCCTCACCAGATTCAGTTCCTCGTCACCATTCAGACTGTCTGAATTCGTATCATATCTGATGCGGACCAGATTACCGGCGATCGCCGCCTTCTATCCCGCGGCTGAGTCCCTCGACGTCCACTCTTTTGATACCCTGCCCCCTTGATAGTCTGAGATTGACCATGGTCTAGCAATATTCCAAGTACAAAGCAGCGTCTATGAGAGGCTGACGGATATATGACCATGGATGCGTTCTGTCCGTCTCCCTCGTCGGACCATCGTTCGAGCCTGCCGTCCAGTCCCATCCTTCTCGCTTAGAGCGCTTCATACGACAAAGCTCTGCAAGATGAGCATCGCTCAGATGACGCACATGGAGAACAAGCTGGAGAGGCTGAGTGATACCATGAAGGTGATTCAAAGCTGCTTGGACCACCTTGCTGAACTCCTCTAGCTCTCCGCTCACGTCACTCGGATCCTGGGCCAGAATCCCGGTATGATGACACTTCAAGGGACTAATTGTTACCTTCTTCAACCCCCTTCGAACCCTCTAGCCCCGATCATCCTCATCGACACGTCTTCTCCGCACACTGCTCAACAATATGTCGACCTTGTCATGCTCCACTTGCAACATCTCGGACTTCAATCGGGGACCCGAGAGACTCACTTCGAGTCCCCATTTTCCAAGGCCTCATTGGACAATTTCCCGCCTGAGAAACATGAAGAGCTCAAAGCCAAAGTCATCGGTGAACGACTCGAGGCTCCTCATGGACCAGACGATCAGCTCACAGAGTATGGTGGCACGACTCAAACGGGACAGTGGGCACCTAACGCGACCAAGGCAAGACGACTCCCTCCTATCGAGCACATCATCCTGACGCATCGACATCTGGATCATGTCGGTGCCCTACCGACCTTGCTCAAGACGTTGCAAGAGCATGAATTGCCACCGCCAAAGCTTTGGAAACTTCCTTCTCCCGATGAAGCGGAACTGCAACTGTCTGAACGAGATAGACCGACTACTGACGCTGCCATATGGCAAACCCTCCCTCAAGGCACCTACCAGTCGTTTTCACCCTTTCAACCCATGCATCCCATCATGCCTGGTCTCATGATCTCTATCCTTGATCCAGTCTACAAGCACCTTCTCAAACACGACAAGGACGGGAAGCCGAAATGGAACGACGTACCAGAAGTGGCTCGAGTCTCGCTTCGATGTCTCAGAACACCAGGACACACTGCGGATTCTGTCAGTTTGGTTATGTGTGAAGGGGAGAAGGGGGTGTTCACTGGCGACACAGTTCTGGGGGAGGGCACCACAGTATTCACAGATCTCGCGTCGTGTGAGTGGACCGAGAAATTCCTTTTCATCACTGATAACCTTCCAGACATGGTTTCGCTCAAAACCCTCTTGGCGATCAAGCCGTCGACAATGTATCCCGCTCACGGCCCTCACATCGTCGGTCAGGAAGACTGCACGACCCATTTGTCCAACTATATCTCTCATCGGATGGAACGAGAGGGCCAGATTGTTCAGCTCCTCCAGTACATCGCGTCTGACCCTGCAAACGTGCGGACTCTTGTGGACACCCTCATGCAAGGGTTCGAAGCAGAAAAGGCTGCCGAGACCAAGTTCAATCACGAATTTCTCTCTGGTAAACCGTTCGTGCCAAAGAAGAAGAAGCCCGACGATGCGAAGGATGAGGAGACTCAGGAGCCCGATCCACCCACAGCCGGCTCCAAATTCCCCTCGGATGAACGCGCTCTGCCTATACCCTTGATCTGCCGATTCCTCTACAAATCCAACAATGACGCTCTCATATTTGCCGCGTCAAAGAGCATCGGCGCGCATCTTGTCAAGCTCGAGGAAGAAGGCAAAGTCAAGCGAAAGGCGGTACACATGCCAAAGATCGTACAAGGTAAAGTTGGCGATTCAGAGGATCAGGAAGGGTGGGAATGGGTAGGAGTGACACAGGCCGAGTAAAACATCCTGTAACCATATACACATGCATTGACCATTTTGGATTCCCCCCTGATCAGCCCTTTCGTCCAGCGAGTTTACTGGCCAATTCTGACCTGAGCATTTCTTCTGCTGATTTCGCTTGTAGCCCACTTTGACTGCGCAGCTCATTGATGACATCTTTCGTCTTGCCAAAGTAAACCGAGGAGAGCAGATTGCGCATCTTGATTCTGGGTATTGTCAGTGCGGTACCTACATGGTCGACTCACTCCATGTCCTCGACCATGCGGCCGATGCTCGGTATGTGTGCAGCAGCATTTGGCAACGGGTAGTCGGTCTCGGCCTGCAAGATGGAGCTTTAGCGTCTCGCTTGGCGCTGCGCCTCACCTGCCTCGTCATGCTCCCGCTGAGAGTCACCTCACTATCCCCTTTGGCGTCCTCCAGGCCCTTGACCTCAATCTTGGACGGCATCTGGGTGCCCAATGACAGCATGACGGTCGAAGTCAATTTATACTTTGCCGATCGACCCCGTTCATGACATTCAAATACGTGTAGAGAATCCCACGAACCGGTCGGTGCTCCCGAAGTACCAGAGGACGAGAGGACTGGGACATGATCAGGTCTGGTTCCAATTGAGTCCTTCCTCACCCTTTTTCAACAAAACCACACCCGCAAAGGACATCTCCTTCCCGTCCTGTGACATCTCATCCAGATCCCATAGGTACACTGAGCTGACACCTCCTTCAAAGTACATCTCGCGATAGGTGTCAAAAGCCGAATTGAGGGATGTCTCAATTTGTCTCAGTCTTGAAGAGGGCGTCGGTCCACCAGTCGCCTCGGGAATGTAGGTGTTGGACCAAGGGGATCTTAATGAGTCGTCAGGGATCATTTTAGCGCAGAGACGACCACCCACCTGAAACTATCTCCATCCCGGTTGTAATCGCAACATAGGAAATCACGTCCATTCTCCTCATCCTTCATAACTTGCAGTGGCTGATCGACATTGCCCCATAGATCATCTGCATACTCTGGACAAACATCACAAAGAGTATTGAGGTTCTCTTCCACTTTGTTAGGCGGTAATCTTCGGAAGAGATCCAGTAGCGCTTCAAAGGTTTTTAAGGCGATACAGTGGTCAGCTGGCGATCAAACTTCAGGAAAGTAGTCGGGTGAGAGGCGCAACACTCACGCTCGGATTCTGCCATGTCGCCGGCCCTGCCACTGATGGCGTCCTATGTGATACGGAATGCTCAATGCTCAAATCAAGTTGTGGATAAATCGACCAACGTCATTTCAGGTCGCGCATGTGGCACGTGGCATACTATGAGCCTGTGCAATTCTTTCTGCTTTGTGTCTTTGGAAGCTGCAGTTCATGTTTCGAGGCTCGGAACCTCCTCTGAGGAGATGGGAGAAATGGCAGAGACACCTTGCGAGGGGCACTGGATCGCTCAGGGTCACCAGATACCACGGACAGGATATTCCCATCTCCCAAAAAGAGCTGTGCCATTCCCGCATTCGGGTGGGGATGCCGTTCTTGTACATCCTAGCCCTTGGCCTTGATCTGCATTATGAGATTCAAGAAGCTATCTCGAGCCTACAGAATTCCAAATTGCCCGTTCCACGATATTCATACGCATGCTGCCAATGTCTCGTTCAGAAATACATTTGGTCTGCCTTACTATACTTCGTTTCAGCTCATAAAGTACTCTCCGCTCAGTGCCCCTAGTTTCCGCTATTATTGGCACATGAGAATGGTGATGTCTTGTTACCCGCGCCGACATCGGCCTTGATCTGCATGACAGCGGCGTATGTTCCGGCACCCATGATGAACCACCCAATGAGATTGAAGATAATGTTCATGGCCATGAGAAGGTACCAGTTACGAGTTCGTTGATTGCGCACATTGTCGTAGATCCACATAAAGGTTTCTGTTTGGCTTGAGGATGTTAACAGCTGGTCAAAAAGGCAACACTTACATGCAAAGGAAAGTTCCGAGGATGGCACCGATAATCGACAGAAGATCGCTAAAGACCGGGATCGCTTCGGCGATAACGAAAGCTATGACACAGTTGGCAGCGACGGTCCCACTGAGGTACAGGCAGTCAGCGTGATGGTCTGATAGTGTTGACAGCTGTCGGGTGACTCACTACCAGACAATGTTATGGGTCTTTGTGTTACTGGACAAGTGGCGCGTACCTCCCAAAGCTCGGACAAACACTAGAACATCTTTACTTCAGCTCCAGGACAATACACAGAGCTCGGAAGACTTGCAAAACTTGCTCCCAAGGTGGCTATTGAGAAGACTGCCGACCAAAAGTCCTGGTATGGCGATTCCGTAGCATACCTGAGGGCAAAGTAATCAGAAACTGGGCATACTTTGACAAGATGGGTCGGAGAAAGAGATTCTCCGTGTCGAGGTCCTGGCGACGAAACCTACCTTCTTGAGCAAAGGTCCAGCAGATCCTAGGGCGGGCGACGCGATGTATCTGTGACGGTGTGATCAGCTTACTGTCTCCACATGGCGTCAGGGTGGCTCACTTTCCCGTGTAGTGATACGTGACTCCTCCAATGACCTGGAGGGGAAGGGCATTCAGCATCCCCTTCGATTCAACTGAGCTGGAGGCTCACGCAATATACGACTGTCACGAATGTCTGACATAGAATGACCGACTTTGAGTAATCGGTAGGCTTTGTCAATTTCATCTCGGACACGATCGGCATGAAATTTGGAGCTGGCGAATTTTTTCCATCAGCACGTCGTTTAATTACGGAAGCGTATGCTTGGAACTCACTACCAGCGTATGCGAACAGCACAGTGTTGACCGCGTTCATGAAGTCGATGAAGGTTGGGTGGCCTACAGTCTGGACATCCTTGAAGAATGGGCCGTTTTGAGGTGCAGCTGATGGTCTATCCTGCACTCCGACGGAGATGGCAAGCGTGATGACCGCGGACAGGATCGAGACCAGTCCCACCCAGCCAAGCCACGAGATCTTGCTAAGGGTTTGGATGGAAGCGACGAGGAACACGACGATAGCAGCGACAGCGACAAAGACAACGGTACATGTGCCGTGACTGGGGTATTAGCACTGGTCCTGAAGGACACACCCACGAGGAAACAGCGTTCAAGGCGATGGAGAAACTGAGAAATCCACTTGCCGCGATGGCCGTCAACATGAGCTGGGTGGGATCAGTATTTGGCGAATAAAGGAGTCGCGTACCCAATAACTGAATCCCCAGATCTCTCGTCCTACTCGGCCGAAGAAGATTTCTCCGACATCTCCCAAGGAGTAGACATGAGGGTGATTCAATTTGAAGGTGCCGATTACATAGTCGGTCCCTAGATGGCGAGTTAGAAGATGAAAGAAAATTCGCTCGAAAAGGCTCACAAGTAATGATCACAGCCATGGCGATGATAACAATCATGCCAGGTACGAATCCCAAGGTATCGAGAACTGCTGGCTATAGCGGAGACATCAGCGCCACCTCATTCCTCAAACACCTGGTCGCGTGCTCACCAGACCGAGTACCCCGAGACCGATCTGGGTCTTCGTCTCCAAAACAGCTGCTCTGATCCATCCCAATGATCGATAATTTGGCCCACCTTCACCGACATCACCCCATACGGCGTCTGCATTGCCTTTGTTTTGACCAGATGCCTCGAATTCCGACCCTTGCTCGGTGGCCGGAGTGACGGTCTGGGTACCGTAAGTCTTCTCGCCTTTGACCTCTGCGCTCGGTTGCTGTCGACCGCTGACGGCCGTTGCGGTGTCCGAGTCGGAAGAGTGTTTCCTTGACCACTTCATGGTGTATGGGTGCGTGCGAGAGCTAAGGTGGAATGCGAAGAGCAGTAGTGCAGGAGTGGAATCAAGATATTAAGATACGATATGGGATGATGATGACGATGATCTGCTTCTTAAAAAAGAAAACCTCTTTGAAAACTATGAAGCGCCCCCTCGGTCTCTCCACAGTCTCCACAAAGTAGGATAGTGCTTATCTCACCGCTCGCCCGTAATGTTAGCTACTTCCTCAGCTCGCCCGTTCCCTATTATGCTCTTTTGCCTGTCGTTTTTTTCTCACCGTCTTCACTTGAGGTTAGCTTGGGAGCGGAGATTAGAATTGACCGGGCGATAGTAGCCACTGAGGTCATCAGCCCAAGGAAGCGACGGCTAAATACAGAAGATCCGCCCATATGAGTGATAGGCATCTTTGTAGGTTAAAGTCATTTGATTAGATGAGCCATGCCGATGCTTGAGTTCCGAACTGAGATCCCACAAATGATGCCCAATGTCAACCTTGTGCATGTGCCAGAGTTGACTTGCTTGGCGGACAAGGCATCAAGATCGACTTCACCCAATTGTTGTACACGTCATTTGAACCTTATCAATTCTGCTGATTCTCCCACGGTCACTGTGTCGATAGCGGCGGTCTCCGCCATCTCCAGGCCAATTAAGCTAGATCCCCTCAGCATGCTAACAGCTTCTACTCGGTAGACACGACCATGCTGGGCCTGTCCAAGGGTCAGCGAGATCTTTTTGTGGCCTCTACAGTGCTGAAAGTGCTATTTTATCCTGCTTAGTGGGTACGGACCGCATCGTGAGCTGACCCCGTCAGCCGCAGTACAGACTTTGAGGTGATCTACTGATGTTCAATCCTCGCTCACAAACAGGTACACCGTAATTGGTTAGCTATAACGCATCAGCTCCCGCTCAAGCAATGGTACTACGATGTAGGTGAAATTATAGCAAACAGCACTGACGACTGTCTAGACTACGTCGGAATGGAGTAAGGAAGCTGCAGTCGTCACTGATCTAAGACCGCAGCTCTCGATTACCCACCATTCTTCGCTTGTTTCTCGTACCTCTTGACTCTGCCTGCTCGACTGCTCCCGAGATCAGCCCAAGATCATCTACTACAGCTATCGCCCACGCCTGTTGACTCATGGCTCATCACGGGATATATGAGGACCACAGTGCTGGTTTCAGAGCTGGTCCTCCTTTTAGGATTACAGAGGTAAGTGTGACGAGAGGGGACCTGGCTCATGACTAGGCTGTGTAGAGGCTCCGAAGCTCAAAGTATCATCTCATTTGGTCTCCTTCTTCATCCTGGATTCTTGATTCTCGACTCGATACACTTCCAGTATAACGGATTCCTGTTCGGCATTCTCGTCTGGAGTCTGGTAGGCGCAAAGGAGGTGAGTCAAGACTTGCCTGCGACCGCTAAGACCTCGCAGGGCAGGCCGATAATGTGCGCTGGCTTCTTTGCCGCGCTTCTCAACTTCAAGTGGGTGCCACAAGTGATATCGCTTATCATCAGGCACATCTACATGTACCTCGCACCCGCATGGTTCATCTACCTCTTCAGGGCATACTGTCTACCGTCATCAGGCAGGTTCCCCCTGGTGACTCAGCTGACCTGCAGGCTACATCCTGCATCTCCGACCCCTCGCTCAAATTGGCTTTGTCACCGTCCTCGTCTCTGCCATGTCTCTGGGTCCCTTTCTGGCACTAGGACAGGGTCCGCAGCTGCTTTCTAGGCTGTTTCCTTTCACTCGGGGTCTCAACCACGCTTACTGGGCTCCAAAGTGAGTTACGAGGTGCTGCATTTGCTGATCATCAGTGCCTGGGCTGACATTACTCTTGTCGACCGCGTCCTCTACCAGGGTCAGCTATGACGCAGCTGGAATTGAATCACACTGAATGTTGCAGCGTCTCGCCGATTCGGGCTTGACATGTCTGTCTCCGCTGCAGGAATCAAATCGTCCTCGCGTGGCCTCGTCGGAGATACCAATTTTGCCGTACTCCCGGACATCAAGCCGTTCCACTGCTTTGTTATCACCTTGGTGATTCAATGTGTGAGTCTGCTCTCGAGGCATAGACTGAGCGCCCCTAGATCTCACTCATCTCGCTATGGCTGAAACCTACCTATCGGTCGTTCCTTCAAAGCATCACCGCATGTGGATTCGCGAGCTTCATGTTCGGATGGCACGTTCATGAGAAAGCCGTCATGTTACTACTTGTGCCTCTGAGGTGGGCCAATGCTTATGAAATTACTCATCGACAGTCTTATGTCAACGGATGACTGGAATCACTATCAGGCGTTCAAAGTGGCTAGTGTGTCTGGTTTGGTATCTTTATTCCCACTATTATTCCACGCCGCAGGTGAGTGTGTTCCGACGTCTTAGCTGACATCAGAAACACCCATCAAGATGGGCTACACTTTCATATGGCTCGTCATCGTCTTGTCCAGTCTCAGGCAATCTGTGTCAAAGTCAGTTAAAGTGGATGATGGAGCTGACTCGCAGGACTCCTCCATCCATCTCGTCATACCTCGCAGACAACATCCAGTCCCTCTATCTTTACACCGCGCTGCCCCTGCTCCTATTCACCTCAATCATCCACCCGTACCTCACCTTGACTGGGGCAGTGATTCATGCCGAATTTCTCCCCCTGATGACCACGAGCATATGGTGCAGCACCGGCATGTGGATCGCTTGGGGCAGGGTCCTCGTGGGTCTCTTTACTGGTCATTCCAAAAGGACAATATGATCATCACTCGTGAGAATGCATTATTCGCTCCATGATATGAAGCTTTTGTCTAAGATCTAATGTCCTAGTGCTACAACGATGAAGGCCCAAAAAAACAATACTCTAATATTCTAGCTCCTCCTGGAGGTCGTACCGTACGAGTTGCAACAGATCGCGTCCGCGGCGGCGGGCACGTATGGTGCCCAGTCGGAGCATTGACCGATGAGGTCAAGGTACATGGTGGTTGTGATGCCTTCCGGCTGCGGCAAGAAGTTGCCCGAGGAGACTTTGTAGCCCTTAAGGTAGGACGGACCACCCTCAATGATGACGGCACCGGCGCAATCTGTCGAAAGGTGATCAGCACAAGTGGCAGCGTCATGAGAGTGTTAGTAGACTTACTCGAGTTGTCATTGCACAAAGCGATAGAGTCTGCCTCTGTTCTGGTTTTGGTGTAATGTGGGTTTCCCGCGAGATCGTCGTTGTAAAGGTCCCTGAGAACTGGTAAGCGATTGACATGCATGATTATGGGGAAATCGTCTCACCATCCGACGTATCTTGCGTACCCGTTGACCCCAGCTACATTGCAAGTAGGATAGGTCTTTGTGGCCCCGTTGGAAACTTTTGGCTGAGGTGCCAGACGCTTCGTCTTTGACATGGCTAGACCTGAAGCGAGATCCTCTTCCTTCATTCGGTTGAGTTTGGCTCGCTGGAATTTGATGATCTGACGTGTGATGATCTGCTCCGCGGTAGCCTGGCGCAGGGTGAAGGCCTCGGTAGAGGATGTGGCCATGGGCATGGCCAGGGTGTGTGCCACGAATGACGTCTGGATAAGGATGACAATGGTAGCGACAAAGGTTGAGAAGCGCATGGTGCAGGGAGAATAGGGATTGACTGTGTCTTGTCAAGTTTTGATGATGATTAGAGATTGAGGTTGAGGGGATTGTTGGATGCATACACAAAGTAGGTGGTTCTTATACATGACTGAACGACTACGAGGCCACACACGGACCTGAGTGACAGATCTACCACAGGTTTCTCCGCCACGGGTGGAGAGTCTTCTGTGTCAGATGTCATCCTGATGTGCGCCTTCGGACTCGGTGATCAGGGCACGTTGCCGTCTCTGCTCACTCGCGCTAGTTGGCCGACCCACTAGTTGGGTGACGTTTTGGCGGGGGTACAAAGTCCATGGAAAAAAAGATCAACCGGATCATGTAATGTCTCGCAAGATTACTGCTACCCTGTCCATGTGTGATACCCCGTTGCTCTGGCCTCCTGCCGACCCGTACCTATCGGCAGTGGATCTTCAGGGCGGATGTGAGTCATCCGCAGTGGAAGACGAGAGGATGTCTGCCCATCAGACAGAGACATTGAAACCAGGGCAGCGAGGGATCAGGCACGCCGGTACCAGACTTTGGAGGACTGGAAAAGCAGATCAAGGCCTTCAGGTCTTGGACCGGCATGCAAGAGCAGAGTCATGGTGCAAGAAAAGTACAATGTCTCGGAAGTGTCATGATTCACTCGATGCGGCAACAAGTGAGGACCTTTCTCGGCAGATTCGGTACAAAAATGGACAATTGAAGCACGATGACGAGGTGCCGAGGGGGGAGAGGGGGAGGGGGGGGGGAGGGGGGGTAGCGGAGTTGCTACTCTGCCCCGAGACTTTGTCCGTGTCTCAATTTCTCAGTGAACAATTTACATCTCCATGACATGTCTTAGATCCCAACGAGAGGTGATAGAGCATTTGTGAGACTCTAGAAAAGAAAATATATTATCGGGGGTTTTGACGCATTTGGTAATTGGGTAGGAGCAGATTCTTACTATATCTTCATTACACAATTGAAGTCACCGACGTCGAGGACGATCAACACCAAGCTTGAAACCTGTGTCTCACGGACCTTGATGGATGTCTCGGAATATGGATATATACATGTATTGTATCGGCCAGTAGACTACCATCCTCACGGCCGGGCATACGGATTCCAGCTGCCACAGATAGGAGGTGCCACATAGGCGGTGACCTCCGCCATCCGCCCAACCGGCCGGCCGGTCCAGTCAACTGTGTCAGGAATCAACGGTATCGTGATGCATCGCGTCGCGTTGTCTGCGCGCTTCCTGATGCGATGAGACGGCGGATACTTGTACATCATGCCAACGCCACTGTCTCCATCGTCTTCTCAAGAGATCATATCCATCTCACCTCCACCCGAAGCGTCCAGCTCTAGATCACAGAAGCGAAAGTTTGTTGATCCGCTTGCAACAACCTTGCCTCGACCCGAAACGTTCATACCTCGAGGAGAGCTCAAAGATGATATTGCAAGGCATATTGAGGAGCAGGAGAAGAGGATAGATATACAAAATGGGAAGCGACGGGTGAAGAGGGAGGCGAGCGGTTCCAAACGAGTCAAGGTTGAAGATGGCGTTGAGATGTCTAGGACTCAAGTGACCAATAGGATGGTGATTGAGGGTTCTGGCACGTGAGATGGTGTGCTGAGACGGCGTAGATGGCAACTCTTGGGAAGGATGATAATCCAATTACCAACTCAGACCTGTACTCAAGGTGAGCTGTCGGCCTGCAGCGCATCTCACCTTGTGTCTAGGACAGACCATTTTGTCTCCGCGTCAACGGGTCATCAACAATCTAATCGAGGAGGAGGCAGCTCCGGCGCAGCGACATATTGGGCAGTCCGGACTGCCAAGATGGAAGATCAAGCCAGAGAGAAGGTGGGTATGATTCGCTGAGCTTGAGACTGACTTGGTTCAGAAAAGCGACCTATTCAAAGGCTGTGTGTTTTATCTGAACGGATCAACAGGTCCAAAGGTGTCAAATCTTCAAGCCCAACATATGATCACGGCGAATGGAGGTCGCTTCTTGTGAGCTGAGGCTTCTCACTGGGTGAAGCTCACCGTCACAGGGCCATGTGCAACGCGTCGTGTACTCATATCATTGCATCGGGCGGATTGTCCGGGTCAAAAACCCAAAAGTGGATCGACGGGCAAGCGGGACGAGGCGCCTCCAAGCGTACCAAAGTGGTCCGTGTGGACTGTGAGTCAATTCCAAACCACTCGCCACTGATCCCGTCAGGGTTGCTTGACTGCGTCGAGAGAGGACGAAGGATAAATGAAGCAGATTATGGGGTCATCAAGGATTCAGTGAGTCGGAAAATCTCTGCAGTTGAGCTCATTGCTATCTAGAGCCAGAAGAGCCTCCTTGGAGTATTCAGTAAATCATCATCGTCACCGTCAAGGTAGTAACTTTGTTGTATGTGATCGTATCCCATCTGTACACCAATTGGCATTATGCACTTTCCATGTTTCCATGAAGGACTATGACTCAAATACAACAAGGGGCTAATCGCTGTCATCTTCGCTATCTAAATCCGCTCGCCGTCGCTTGTCTCCTCGCTCATCATCCACATCGTCCACATCATCCTCATCATCATCATCGTAATCGGCTGGAGCTCGACGAGCAGGAGCAGCGTTGTTTTTTGAGACAGGTCGATCATCCACATCATCCTCCTCGTCCTCGTCTCCTTCAGCGTCCTCATCCTCGTCTTCAGCGTCTTTGTTCGCAGCCAGACGCCGTCGAGATTCAAAGTCCATACTGACTGGACCGACCTCGGTAGGACCAGGCCCGCGAATGGGTCTGAGCGAGTCAGCTGTAGGTTTGACGAGGTGTCAGGAACTCACCTCTGTTTCGGTGGTTGTCTTGCCCTAGCTTCTTCACACGCATCAACCCAGCTGGTCATACATCAGCGTCACCGTCCAGGTGAAAATCGAGCCCAACTCACTCATAATAGACATCCACAGCGGCTGAAAGGTCTTCCATGGATGAGCTGCTGCTGCGTGCAAGTGTTCCTTCCAGGCTCACTATTTATCGGTGTTTGGAAATACTGCCTGCAATTCTTACAATCTAGCTTTCCGAACATTGTCTGTTTGTCCCTATCCGTTGTGAGCCAGAGCGGTCCGATGTCATACCAGACGTAGCTCACAGCTTGACGGAGACGACCTTTTCATGATTACAAAATAGGCATTTGAAGGTCGTAGCTTGGTCATTTGTCAGTGGAGCTCTCTCAGTATTTGCACGTCCTCCTACCCAGCGGTTCTGACTTCTTCTTTGTTGGCTGCTTCGACGCTGCTTTCCGCTTACCCATCGTGCGAGGGTCAGAGGTTGGAAGGTTGCAAATGGTCCACAGAGAAGCCATACCCATATTGAAATACTTCCGCGCCACCCACTCGTCAACCCTCGCGCGCCGTCCTTCGTCAGCTTTGATCTGTCTGTACTTGTACTTCACGTTCATCCTCCATCATGCAGGAGATTGGAATCGACTTGAAGCTGGAGGTGAGTTGAAGTCGGTCTAGTCAGATCGCATGAAAGCTGACAAAGTGACTAGGAGCCCACACTCCAGTCCCAAGTCTCAGAGAAGCAGGCATTACTCAACAGTCTTCCCCAGGGTGACGAGGACTTATACAGTACATGGAGGCGTTTAGAAGCCCACCAGGACTTCTTGACACTCCAAGAGGTCAGCTATGCTCTTTCTATCTGCGAGGATCGAGCTGACAGAACATCTCAGCAATACATCCGAAATGAAACTCAGAACCTCCGGAGCGAGCTATTGCGAGCACAAGAGGAAGTCAAGCGAATCCAATCGGTGCCCTTGGTCATTGGACAGTTCCTCGAAGCTGTAGATGACAAGCGTGGGATCGTAGGAAGCACCACGGGTGAGCATAATCCAAACGAAATCCTGCGCCTAGCTTACATCGTCAAGGCTCAAACTATGTCGTTCGGATCCTCTCGACGCTCGATCGCGAGCTTCTCAAGCCATCCTCATCCATCGCGTTACAACGTCACTCCAACGCGCTCGTCGATATTCTCCCTCCTGAGGCTGATTCTTCCATCTCGATGCTTGGGGCGGACCAGAAACCCGACGTCAAGTACAGCGATGTTGGCGGACTTGATACGCAGAAACAGGAGATCAGAGAGGCGGTTGAATTACCCTTGGAGCAGGTGAGCTCCTTTTGAACTGTCGTATGAGCTCACACTTTACAGATGGATCTGTATAGGAAGATTGGTATTGATCCTCCTCGTGGAGTGCTGCTTTATGGACCGCCGGGTGAGCCCCTTTTTTCACCCTGATGGACTTGGGCTTATTTTCTCAGGAACGGGAAAGACCATGCTCGTCAAAGCTGTCGCCAATGCAACAAAAGCATCCTTCATCCGGGTGGTGGGATCCGAATTCGTGCAGAAATACCTTGGAGAAGTAAGTCCAATCCCGCAAAGAGAATGAGGCTGACCCTCGCAGGGCCCGCGAATGGTTCGAGACGTATTCCGTCTGGCTCGAGAAAACTCTCCCTGTATCATTTTCATCGATGAAGTGGATGCCATTGCTACGAAACGTTTCGATGCTCAAACTGGATCAGATCGAGAAGTTCAACGTATCTTGTTGGAGCTGTTGAACCAGATGGATGGATTCGACCAGCAGACGACCGTCAAGGTGGGCTAAGCCTAGCCTTCGATATTGCATAGCTTACACGCTCAGGTCATCATGGCGACGAACCGTCAAGACACGCTTGACCCGGCGCTTCTGCGACCCGGTCGATTAGATCGAAAGATTGAATTCCCGCTACCGTCTCGTCGAGAGAGACGTTTGATCTTCCAAACGGTCACATCCAAGATGAATCTGGGACCAGATGTGGATCTCGAGGACTGTGAGTAGACTGAGACCGCTCGCGCGTAAATTGACACTTCGTCGCAGACATATCTCGACCCGATCGGATCAGTTCAGCAGAGATCTCCTCAATCTGTCAAGCGGCCGGTCTACAAGGTATGTCCATGCATCGTACATCGACATCGTACTGACAGTCGTCTCAGCCGTCAGAAAGAACCGATACGTCATCCTCCCTGTGGACTTTGAAGAAGCATGGAAGGTAGGTCCGGGGTCGCATCACTTCCGCCACTTCGGCTACCGCCGGCAATATCCCGCAAGCTTGAAATTTGGCTGGAAGAAACGCTGACGCTTTCTTTCCTTCTTCAGACTACAGTCAATAAGGGCGTGGAGACGCACGAGTTCTGTGAGACCTACTGTACTCCAGTTGAGGTGTACCAGCTGACTTCCGAGCAGACCGTTGATGGACTCTGCGAGGAAAGTGTAAGTCCTCCTCGCTGTTTTTCAGAATTTCGCTGATGTCCATCCAGTTCGCATTATGCATTGCGTGCATCACGCATTGAATCTGTTGGTTCTGCCTGCTGTTTGCCTAAGCCGCAACTAGGCAGTTACGAGCTTGTGCAAGCGACTGGCTAGTCTCTGTCGCAGCGCATCCCCTCTATCCCTCACTATCAGGGGCAGGCATCTGCCAGCATAAGCGGACCTACAGCGCGATTCTCACGCATCCTTACAACTAACCTATCCGACCTCCTTCCTACCTCTCGCCATTACGGTGTCTAACACTCTGCGGACGAACTCTACACCGTGTCGTTTTGCGATTTTCATGTCACCAAAAGCATATGCCTAATACTCACCAGCTCGGCTTCCAAATTGTGCCGTGACATGGTCCATTGAATGGCTACATTCGTCTGATATAGAGAGATATGCATTAGAATTTGAAAGCACAGTACACGAGCCGTATGTTGTCACCGTGGCCAACGCTTGCCGCCAGAGATGCGATCGGATCCGTTGCAATGTTGATGAGATGTTCGGTGGCCACTCGGGTCCGCGTCTCGAACGTGCATTTTGGGCAATTTTGAGAATGTAAGGGATCTCATGTCTTCACCTCCCCGACATTCAACTGTAGTATACGCTTAGCCGAGCTTTCACCTTGCAGCGCAGAGTTTGGATTGCCTTAGTTTCAACGCATAGACCGTCAGACATCGTTATCCTACTCCCGGTTAGTTTCAGCCCAGCAGCTGTTCTGACTCGAATCCGATCCATCGGTTATCGCTGTCTAATCCCAGCGGGACCTTTCGATCGATTCCGACTCGGACCTCTCTCTTGCGTAGAGTAGAAGACTGACCGAGGCCACCTTCCTCTGGTCCGTCTACTTCTCACGCTGAGATAGCCGAGCGTCCCCTGCGACTCGCGAATGGGAAACCTTCACGTTCATTTCTATCATGGTAATTTCAAAGCATTCCGGCAAGAGCTGGATGGAACAGGAGGTGGATCGGGGATGGGCGGATCGGGAGCGAACGGCGTAGGAGGGTCGGGCGTAGGATCCGGGAAAGGTGGTGGAGCGGGAAGCATTGGCAAGAGCTGGTCTGGAGGTGGTGGTGTCAATGGTGGGGGCCAAGCTCGAGCTGATCCCAACGAGCGAGATCAATTTGGACGAACGTGAGTCTGGCGTGGAGAACGGGGCATCAGTAATGGTCTGTGTGACTGATTTGAATCGTCCACGTCTAGCGTGCTTCACCTCGCTGCGTCATCCAATACCCAACAAGCCTATACATTCCTCTCGATGTTATTGAAGAATCCACACATCTCGATCAATCTTCAAGATTACGAATCTGGATACACTGCTCTTCACCGAGCTTTGTTCGTTGGCAACCTGCGTGCTGCAAGAGATATTCTCACGAGAGGGGACGTGGACCTGGGCATCAAAGATGCCGAGGGCCTGACTGCTTTTGATCTGTACAACGGGACTGTGGATGGAGTGAGTCACCTTGCACAGTGGATCGTTGCTGACTTTGCAGACCAACCCTGATCAAGTGGACATCGGGACTGATCTTTACGTTTGGGGTGTCAATCGTGCGTTTGGACTTGATTGGATCTCGCTCACGTTCAGGCAACTTCGCCCTCGGCACTGGTGACAGTTCGGATAAGGCTTACCCTGACCGAGTCAAGCTCTTAACTCAGAGTCAAGCCAGTGGCCATCCCGACCCTGCACAGCGATTCGTCAACGTCGGAGTGCGGCACGCTGTGATGGGCAAGCTGCACACCGGAGTCATCACCACGGAGAAACGGGGCAATCTCAGTCTCTGTGGTTTCGGCACAAATGGAAGGTGAGTCGAACTCGGGTCACTCGTTCTGACATGGTTATAGACTCGGCAAAAGTATCCATTCGCAGATATCCCTACAGCCGCTTTCAGATTTTCCTCATACAATCGTCGGACTCGCCCTCGCCCAAGATCACACCCTCGCACTTACGAAGGGGGGATACATACTCTCTTGGGGCCATAACCGCTTTGCCCAATTGGGCTATGTGATCGAATCGTCGGACGAGCTATCCATTGGCAGAGCGAAGGAAGAAGATTTGGTCCAAGTTTCTCCTAAACGAATTGTAGGACCACTCAAGAAAGAGTGGGTCATGGGCGTAGCCGCCGGCAGGATGAGCAGTGCTTGTTGGACCAGTACGGCTGTTTGGACTTGGGGAACCAATGCTGGGCACCTCGGTGAGGCTCAGAGCGATGCGGTTGCCTGACCTCTCAGGATACGACAAAGCCGCCAATCCCGTCCAGATCCTGCCTCGTAGAGTCACGGCCATCTCCCAGCCTGTTCTTGATGTTGCTCTGTCTGTGAGTACTATCGCCCGCTTCGCCACTGATGCTCTAGGATTTCGCCATGATCTGCTTGCTGGACTCGTACGAGGTGGTCTGCTTCCATCACGATGTCAACTTCCGAATCACGTGAGTGACTACCCCCAAGGCAAGGACGATAACACTGACTCGGCGCAGATTCAGCACTCCTCGCATCCTATCTGATGCTTTCCCTTTCCGCCCTCCCCAATCGACCATCAAGCCAATGATCAAAAAGGTCACGAGCTGTGGCACAATGTTTGGGGCTCTGTCATCTATTGGAGATGTCTTCACCTTTTCACTGCCCAACCCAGCGGAGGATGTCTCCAAGGATATCCGCGATCGGCATGTCAACGTCAAGCCTCAACTCATCTGGGCGTTGCGCAAGAGTTTCACCGCTGTCAAGGTGGGCCGCACTCTTTGGTAGACATCTGACGAGATTCAGGATGTCGCACTGGGCTCAGACGGGACTGTCATCATTTGCACCCACTCTGGTCATGTCTTTGTCCGTCAACGGGTCAAGATCGGAGCCGGCCAGCTAAAGTTCAAACGAGTCTCATACTTGCAGCGAGTGATCGGTGTCGCCTGCAACGAGTCGGGAGCTTTCGCAGCCATTCGGGTGGATGCGAAACCCCGTCCTATCACACTTAAGGGACGAACCCTGGAAGAGGACATGGCCCTGTTACAGCCTCATTTCAGACGATTTGAACACCAAATGACGGCTGAGGATTTTGACCGCGAACGCAAAGGGGTCAAAATGGATGACGAAGAGGAGGACGAGTCGAACAACTCTATCACCAAGGATCTGGCGATTGCAACTCGATTATGTACGATTCTCAGGCGCTGGCGAGTGGATGATACCGATTCCTTGTTCTCTTGGAGCGAACCGCTGCTCGGTAGCGATATACAGCTCTCTGTGGGAGATGTGGCGGTTCCTGCACATCGACTGGTGCTTTCCCAAAGAGTTCCAAAACTGCAAAGCCTGCTGGCGGGCAGTGATTCGCTGCCCGGATTCGACTTTGACTCTGATCGATCCATTATTCGCGTCGCTGCATGCCATCCCCTGGTGGTCCTGCTCCTGCTGCAATACATCTATGCAGACGACGTAGCGGCAGTATGGGATGCGCGCGTTGCTAGAGCTCTGCAGGCGTCCTTCAAGGATCTCGACCTACAGATCTCAGACATCAAATCAGACCTCTTGTCGCTTGCCAGTACTTTGGACCTCCAGCCTCTCGTCACAGTGCTTGGCTCAACGGCCAGAGTCGGGATCCCAAGCAAGACATTAGCTAGGGATGTCCAATCGTTCTTCAGTCGGACTTCGTCCTCACCCTCTTCATACTGCGATGTTACCCTTGTCCTGGCTGACAAGGAGGTTCACTGCTCATCTATCATTCTCCGCGCCCGCTGTCCATTCTTCGAGGCCATGTTTGAGGATCGCGATTGGACAGCCACACGATTCGACACGGAAAAAGACAACATTGTCATCGTTATGGATCATCTCAAATGGCGACCGATGAAGCTAGTTTTCAAGTACCTACATCAAGGTCTGGAGGACGACTTGTTTGACTACCTGCATCAGGAGACCCTGGACGAATTCCTAGACTTTGTCTTCGAGGTCTTGGCAGCTGCAACTGAGTTGTTGCTTGACAGGCTGGTCCTCGTGTGCTCAAGAGTCATCACTCGACACTGCAATGTCTACAATGCCGCGGCTCTAGCATGTGAAGCGTCATTTTACCAGGCAGACACGCTCAAGTTCAGCGTGTTCGACTACATCATCGCGAGTATGGAGACCATGCTGGAATCTGGGCTCTTGGATGAGATGCACGAAGACGTCTTGCTGGAATTAAGCGAGGTGATCGCTCAGAAACAAGCGAGGAAGCTATCTGTCTCACGGACAGGCGAGCTCGTCAGTGAGGCTATGAAACGGCAAAAGGAGTGGCTGGCAATGCAGGATATACCCGCTCCTCGTGTACGCATTCCTTGGAAGAAAAGAGTTCGAGCCAGTCCCGTGATCGCTCCTGTCGATATGAGCAAGGTCATCTCTCCGGCTCTCAGTCCTGTCCACGGGCCGATAGAGGGCAACACCGAGGAGATCTTTGTGATGGACGATGAAGTAAACACCCCATCAACAGGAACGAAGACACCAAAAATGTCATCTCGACCTATGACACCTCTTGATCTCTCAGGTGGGTTGTCTAGGACCAGCGGACCGGTCTGGAGATCAAAAGCCGTTGAAGCTGAAAAGTGAGTCATGATGATATCCTTGTGCTGACCTCCTAGGGTCGATTTGCGCAGTATCATGGCGGAGGCTGCTGCTTCCAAAACGCCAGGACCGAGCAAAACACCGTCCAAGCCTTCGGCCAACTCAGTCAACACGACCCCGCTCTCCACGCCATCGCGAGCACTCGGCACCGCGACAAGTCCGCCGTCCGCTGGCGCTTGGCGTAGCATGACTCCGGGATCTTCTTCCACTCCAGCACCGACTCCGCGCATGACGACTCCGAAGACCGGTCCTCAGACTCAATTTGGATTCCCGAGTCTTGGACAGTCTTCCACACCTTCCAGGCCTGCGGCAGCGAGGGCAGAGTCCAGTAGGGTTATAACACCCATCAAGCTCCAAGCTGCGCCACCAGGTGTACAGCGCAAGCCGTCTGGCGGCCCTGCATGGTCAGTTCCAACGACGTTCGCGCCTGCGCCAACAGTTTTGCCTGGGACCTCACCGGATTCTCGATCGTTCTCTCTGCTTGCGATTCAGCAAGAGGAGCAGGACTTTGCAGAGCGCTCTGGACGACCCAAAGCTGTCAAGAGTTTTGCAGAAATCCAAGCCGAGGAAAAAGTCGCAGAAGAAAAGCGAAGGGAGGAGCAAGAATTCATGAAATGGTGGGAAGAGGAGCAGGCCAGATCCACAGCTGCAGACCCGAGTGGCGGCGGCAGTGGTAGAGGCAGAGGAGGTCGAGGAGGTGGTGGCAATAGGGGTAAGGGAGGAGGCAGAGGTGGCGGAAACATTGGGACGTCCCAGGAGCCAGGCAACAATGATGGCGGTAGGACTCGCCGCAAGGTACCCCCTCAACGTGCTCGTGGCGGCGCACGAGGAGGTCGAGGCGGCGGCAGCGGTCCACCTGGAGGGAGGGCAGGGGGTCCTGGGCCCATATGACATCAGGCAGTATCGGTCAAGCATAGAATCTTTTGCCCTGAGTCAGGTTATCCCAGCTCTTGTATTGACTCATCATGTTGTATGAATTTAGTGGACAGATGATATCGATCAGATGGGAGAACGGACTGTTGATCGGTTGTTGCCGATCATGCGCCGAGGTCGGGAATTTTCGATTCGAGATTGTAGGAACGTCAAGTTGGTACATACCTATCCTGTTCTCTTTGAGCCAACTCGCAGCATGTCTCGCCCAAGCATCGCCGGCAGGCTATTCCGATGTGCTCCGTCGACACGAGCTGGACCATCGACCGCTACATTATGCTCACCTCGCCGGAAGCCTTTTGCCGCTTTGCATCGTCATCTGAATACCAATCACAACCCTCTCGAAACATCTTTCTACGCGCCTTCTTACCCTCCTCGTCCTGTACCATCTAATCTTGTACCGAGTGCGGACTCGGCGGAGGCGCAAAATGCCTCGCATGATGAAGAAGGCTCACAGTGCGATCATCGGATCAAGAAAACATGGCGACATCTGGATAGTCTGATGGACAAGGCTGGCGAACTAAGTCTGCGATGTGGGTGGATTAACAAGCCAGCGAGCTTTTACTGAGCTGTCCGATTCAGGTTCTATACTCGATTCTGAGGGAAATTGGACGGCTGAAGAAGGAAGATACAAAAAGACTGAACTTTGTAGGGAATACGACCTCGATGTGAGTTCACCATCGTTTAGCGTCTCCCCTGACCCTCTACACAGCCACGGGATCTCCGTAAACTCGACTCCCTCTCACCAAATCTCGTACCCTTGATTCTATCACGGAAAAAGTGTATCCTCATATCGATGCTGCACATTCGGGCACTGGTGAAACCCGATAGAGTCATCGTTTTCGATACCGCTGGAACAGTTGAAAGCGAAGTTCAAAAACGGTTCAAATGGCATCTTGAGCGTAACATCAAGGCGGGACTGAGAGCCCAAGATGAAGGGGAGGAAGTAGGACTAGTGTACGAGCATCGGTAAGCATCAGCAATTCCGACACGATGACTTTTGACTGATACATCCCAGTGCCTTGGAGTCTATCCTCCTAGCAACCGCAAACGCCCTCGAGGAGGAGATGGTCTTCACTCGGCAGCTGGTTCAGCAACTCCTGGCCGATCTCGAAGGCGATATCAATCGGGACAACCTGAAGAGACTACTACACTACTCTCGACGTATGGTCGGCTTTCAGAGCCGAGCCCGATATGTCAAACGGGCTGTGGACGAAGTCCTCGAGTCTGGTGAGCTCGACGATGCAGCTTGACAATCAGCTAATGTCTTGCAGACGAGGACTTATCGGCCATGTACTTGACATCTCGGGCTCGAGGTCAACCTCGTGCTCTGCATGATCATGAACAGCTGGAACTGCTCTTCGAGAGTTTCGTTAAGCAGGTCGAAGAAATCGTCAGTGAAGTGGATACGACTGTCGTGCGTAGCAGCTTCACCGAGTCTCATCATTGTGCTCATTTCTCTAGGCGAATATGCAATCTACCCAAGAGATCGCCGAGTTGATGCTCGACTCTGGTCGGAACGCGCTGTTGGCACTAGACGTCAAGCTGTCCATTGCGACTCTCGGCATAGGAACCGGCGCTCTAGTGGCTGGTATTTTCGGAATGAACGTGAGTTCAAGGTTCTGCTCGTCCGTGCTCACAGTTCCAGCTGCATTCCCAATTGGAGAATCACCCCTCCGCCTTTTACATCATCTCGGGCGGGGCGGGCTTCGTTGCATTCATGATCATGAGCGTTGGTATGCGAAAGCTGAGGAAGATTCGACGCATAGCGTTATCAGACACGCCTCAGTCGGCTCTCGATCGCTTGATGAGCGCTCAAGCGTATGATCAGGCTCTGGCGTCACTGGCACATGGCCCGCCTTCGCTTCCTACGCCTGCACCTAAAATTAGCATGACCAACCTCCCATTATGGACGCGACTGTTCAAGCGACGGATTTGGGCAGCTAGAGAGGAGCTCAAAGGTCCAGAACCGGTATGGATCAACAAAAAGGCCGATATGGCTAGGGCTCGAGATGCCTGGAGGGCGCATGAATTGGCAATGAAGGAGGCGCAGAGGATGGCGAGACGCAACAAGGATCATGACTGGCAGCATGGAGGTGATGATCCTTGGAAGTGGCCCCACAAAGATAAGAGGTTCGCAAAGCACTATTGAGCACATCTGTAGCGATAGATCTGTAAATGTTGTCACATGGATGATCATGAATGTAATAATAGTGGAGGTTGCCGATGATCAATCTCGATCATATACCAAGTCCGAATCCGATGGACCGAATTGATTGTTTTCAACAACGATGACCATGGATGATAATGGTAAGGCTGGTTCAGAGCGCTCGTCCTTCACCGGAAGCGAAATGGTATCGACAGCACCAGACTGATAGACCTCCTACACTATGACTACGCAAGAGGATCCGGAGGCGAATGCCCTGTTGCGCCTCCGGATCACTCACATCACCTCGACCATGTCGCCCTCGCTGCCGACATTAGCTCAGTACTACTGTCCACCGCATTTGGCCACGGCTATACCTGCTGGCGCTCTTCCTCACCACTTGCCAGTACTGAGAATCTTTGGAACGACTCCCGCTCTACAGAAGATATGCGCCAACATTCACTTGTGCTATCCTTACTTCTTCGTTCCCTTCCCGATGGACTCGAATGATCCTCTGCGACCGGAAAGAGTCATCAAGCTTTGCCAGCGATTCGCCGTATCACTGAATCATGCAATATGTCTCGCCATGCGGCAAAACCCCACTGGCACAAGCTCGTCAACCAAATACGGTGGTGGACCGGATCCTAGGCATTTACATGTTGCATCCGTCATGCTCGTTAAAGGCGTCCCATTCTACGGATACCATATCGGTTACAGCTACTTTCTTAAAGTCAGCCTGGTCAATCCTTCCCGCATGTACGTCGCCATGGAGCAGCTGAGAAAGCCAGTCGTCCTCGGGAGGGAATGGCAACCTCACGAGGCTCACATGAACCACGTGCTGCAGTTCATGTGCGACTTTGACCTGTACGGATGTGGATGGTTGGATTTGGGAGGCGGGACATTTCGAGAGCCTCTCCCTGGTGAGTCAAGCCATGGATTCTTTGCTGACAGGACCAGAGGGCGATCCCTACACCTCACCGCCTCGTACGAGAGGTCCGCCAAAGATCTTCGACACTCTGAGCGTACCTGCGGATATGCTCTACTCTACAGCTCTGAGTCCTCCGAAGGATACTTTCACGCCCTTGGAGATCGACGTTCTCCCACACCACATCCTAAATCGTAACAGACTCAAACCTCGGTACCTTCACCACGACCTCATTGAGCTGTTGCATAAGCCTTTGGACCCCGACGAAAAGCTCGTACCTGCGGTGGCCGAATTGTGGGAGGATGAGCGACGCAGGCGATCGACCAGAGGCCTGAGTCTGAGTGAGAGAGCCATGATGCCAGGAAGTGGAGGAATGGGCGGACGCACAAAGGCAGAGCTAGGCTACTTGGATGAGACACAGGAAAGACCCGAAAACAAGGGTGGCAATTGGAAGATCTCTACAGAGCTCTGGGACATGATCGAGGAACGAATGGAGGTCGAGAGACGTAAAAGGGGCAAGTTGACATACGAAAAGTTCTCTGGAGATATCTCTGGAGGCAGTGGCGGCGAGAAACGAAGGTACGACAAGGTGGGCGGGATATTCTTGAATGCACCTGACATCACTAGTGGATTATGACGACATTCCAAGCTGTATCTGCTCACTGGCCTAGAGCCCCTCGGGCACCCAAGTCTACCCAGCGCTCGAAGAAGTCTCGAATCAGCAACGGCTTACCATCCTCGCCGACTAAGCTCGCGTCTTCGACACCCGTCAAATTCGAGGAGTCTTCACCTCTCAAGCGGCCCGAGGCCGATGTCAAACCAGACTTAGGGCTCATTGATCAGCCTGACCCAATCAACATGGCAATCGAAGAATCAGAGTCGGAGGATGAAATCGACTTTTCCGATTCTGATGAGGAGAATCCTTTCGAGGCCCTCGTCATAACTCAGCTGTCTCAAGGTGATCAACAGGTCAAAGTTGAAGTGGACGACACGCGTGTGACACGTGGTGGCCCTGAGGACATGGACTATTTTGCAGACGACCTTGATGAAGAGCAGCTCAACCAGATGATGCACGAGCGGGACGCCAGACAGCATGCTGAAGAAAGTGCCAAGATTCACGCGACTCAAGCGGCTGGCAGACAACCTGAAGGGGACGAGTATGACGACGAAGAGCTGGACGAACTGTTCAGGAATACTGTAGGACAGAGCTGGGTAGGTTGGCAAACGCCACGGCGCCGCGGAATGAACGGTTCCGTCACGCCCAGTAGTGCGTCGAAAACCGCCACAACTACTGGGGGACTGGATAGTCGTCGAGCTATGCGAGATCGGAGGATACGCGAGATGGCAGGTCTTGGGGATCTTAGTACCATTATGGATCGCTCGTCGATGAGCCTCTCTTCCCCTGGGCAGACTCCTGTGCCTCAAACCCCGACTAAGACCGGGACTGGCAGTACCAAGACGACGCCCACATCACTCTCTCGCAATATCTTTGCAAAGCATCGTCCGACTCCCGTTGCCGTTCCGAAACAGCCGAGAAGCAATGGGTCGATTCTCACAAACACCGTGGTACTCGCTGAACCAAAGAAGATCCTCGGAGCCATGTCAAGCTCCCCTGAGGAGGATCGACACCCCGAAACACCTACTCGTGTGAAGCCAAGGCACAGCAGAATCGAGATGCAAGACGTCAAGCCCGACGTGCATGATCATAAAAGTACGAAGCGAGCCAACACAGGCGTTCAACTACCCCCGGCTCGGCAGCCGCGGCGACCAACACCTGAAATCGCGCTCCCTAGCTCGATTCCAAGGCGAAAAAGAGTACGATTACCGAGCCCGACCCTGAAGAATCCTGATTCTCAGACCGATGTGTCGAATTCTGGTGAAATCACAGATCAAACTCCCAATCAGGGCAAACGCGTCCGCTTGGCTAGCCCAGAGAGTGGTCTGCAGCCCACTCCACAGCGTCCCGGATCACTCGACCGGTCTATACATAGTCAAGAGTCACCTGGGGCCAGTGGCGAGACTCGGACCTCCACGAGTACTGATCAGACCCAAGTAGGGCTCGTCGAGGGATCCAGCTCGACCGTGCAGCCCGACCTCTCTAGCACAGCTTGGCAGTTCCAGTTGAAACCTCCGGATGCACTCATTGTCAGGGAGTCTGTGGATCCCGAGGTGGTGTACCAGGATCCTTACTACTCAAATCCGTCAGATGTCCCTTCTCGACCCAAAATGTTTGCGGGTCGGATGTTCGCGCTCAAGTCCAATGGCGTCAACGATCTTGCCGATTTTGAATCCTCCATTTATGGTCCGATATCTTGGATGAAGACCCGCCAGGAGCATACAGTGAAAGGCAAGTATGGGTGGGCGTTTACCAATGTTCCGCCGCGACGGAACGAGGTCACAAACTGGTGCTCCAAGGAAGACGAGACTATCCTCGCTCAATCTCAAAGAAAAGCTGCCTTGACCTCTCAACTCCGCAAGCCTACTCAGAAGAGTAGATACGGTTTCAAATTCTCCCAGAGGAAGAAGACGAAGGATTCTGAGCGTGAACATCAAAACATGTCTGTACTGGCTGTCGAGGTCTTTGGTGAGCTTCCATAGTCGTTCGTGGCTGAACCAGAGCAAAATCTCGTCATCAACTCTTGCCTGATCCTGAGAAAGATGAGATTGTCGCCGTCTTTTTCTGTTACCAGAACGAGGACGAGACTTTGCCAGACACCACGATTCATCCTGGGTATCACGCCGGCTACGTGATTGTAGAGTCTGCTCAGACCAGGGCGGGTCGAGTGAAGCTTGAAGATGTACCCTGCCATTACGTCGCGAGCGAGCTTGACCTCATCAACTGGGTCATCGATACGGTCAAATTTTGGGATCCAGATGTCTTGGCCGGATGGGAGCTGCACAACTCTTCTTGGGGATACATCGCTTCCAGAGCCAACGAAGCGTTCAGTGAGTCAGTTCCTGAAGTCTTCGCTGATACAGTCAGGCATCGATTTGATGGAACAATTGTCTCGTGTGGTGTCGGGTCACTCTGCTCCAAGAAAGGACTTTTACTCCGCTACTCACGCTTCCACGTTCAAGGTATCTGGACGCCATGTGCTCAACATTTGGCGGATCTGTAGGTCGGAGATTACTCTCATCCAGTACACATTCGAGAATGTCGTCTTTCATCTCATGCACCAACGGTGGGTATTCTATGAAGGGTCTGTCTCATTCCTCACAGAATTCCACATTATCCTCCGGCGTCTCTTACAGCTCTTTGGAAGAGCAAGACACCTGAGCATGCCACTCGCGTGTTGAAATACTTCTTCCAACGAGCTGTTCTCGACATTGAGATCGTCGACGCTGCTGAGATCATCACCAAGAATGCGTGAGTCCTTGAATTATACGGTGCTCACCGACAGCGAATTCGCTCGTGTCTTTGGTGTGGACTTCGCCTCGGTCATGTTCCGAGGCTCGCAGTACAAGGTGGAGTCTTTCATGTTTCGGATAGCCAAACCCGAATCATTTGTGCTGGTCTCCCCTTCCAAACAGCAGGTGAGTCGGTCCTGCTGCACTGAACCTAAACATGCCAGGTCGGCTTGCAGAACGCACCATTTGCCGTGCCACTCATCGCGGAGCCAGAGTCGAAATACTACAATCACCCCATCTTGGTACTGGACTTTCAATCTCTGTACCCATCCGTCATGATCGCATACAACATCTGCTTCTCAACTTGCCTAGGAAGAGTGGAGAAGTTCAAAGGCACTGATAAATTCGGTTTCACAGAGCTGAAGGTCGCGGATGGGCTTCTCGAGCTACTGAAAGACTATCTCACCGGTGAGGACCGTAGTGGAGAACCATACTGATGCCGGAGTGACACCAAATGGAATGATCTTCGTCAAACCGGCTGTGCGGAAGAGCCTTTTGGCGAAAATGCTAGGTGAAATCTTGGACACTCGAGTCATGGTCAAACATGCGATGAAGGGAGCTAGAGGGGACAAGGTGAGCAGCAACTCCTGATCTTGAAGAGAAGCTGACTGTCAGCAGTCATTGACTCAGCTTCTGAATGCCCGACAACTCGGTCTTAAGCTCATGGCCGTGAGTGGCTCCTGTGTTTCCTCAGAAAGGTTTTGACGGTGTAAGAATGTCACTTACGGATATACTTCCGCCACGTACTCTGGTCGGATGCCCTGCATCGAAGTGGCCGACTCAATCGTCCAGACCGGACGTGAGACACTCGAAAAGGCTCAAGAGATGATTCACTCGCGTGCAGACTGGCGGGCGCAAGTTGTCTATGGCGATACCGACTCGCTCTTTGTTGCCCTCCCTGGAAGATCCAAAGACCAGGCGTTCCGAATCGGTAATGAGATTGCAGACGCAGTCACTGCAGTCAATCCGAAACCAGTCAAACTTAAGTTCGAAAAGGTGTATATGGGGTCCGTCCTCATGGCGAAGAAGCGATATGTGGGCTTCAAATACGAGCATCCCGACGAGATCGAGCCGGTCTTTGATGCCAAGGGTATCGAGACGATCCGGCGAGATGGCTTTCCGGCTCAATCAAAGATTGAAGAAGTTTGCCTAAAAATGCTGTTCCGGAATCAAGATCTCTCAGAGATCAAGGAATTTTGTCGTCAGGAGTGGACAAAAATCCTTCAGGGCCGGGTAAGCATGCAAGACTTTATCGTCGCAAAGGAGGTCCGCTTGGGGTCTTACTCGTGAGTGCAGGACGACAGATCAACCGCTGACGTTTCGCGCAGAGATAAAGGTGTCCCTCCTCCAGGTGCAGCCGTGGCGTATCGTCGAATCCTGAAGGACCCCCGAGACGAGCCTCAGTATGCCGAAAGAGTGCCGTACATCGTCTCTAATACCGAAGGGCGACGATTGATCGACCGGGCTCGAATGCCGGAAGAAATGCTGGCGAACAGGTGAGGCGCGCTGTCAGACCTCACATCTGATACCAGGTCCCTCGGTATCGATGCAGAATATTACATCCGAAATCTCCTCATTCCCCCTCTCTCTCGTATCTTCAATCTTGTCGGCGCCGATGTCGAGCACTGGTATGAGTCCATGCCGCGAACAAAGCGGGCGTCAAAGTACGACACTCGGCACACTGGTAAGATGAGGATTGATTCACATTTCAAGTCGAGCCACTGCATCGTATGTGGTGGGGAGTCGTCCCACAGTGAGAGTTCCTGAAAATACTTCCTAGACATAATTCTGATGTTCTTTTCCAGGAATTTGCAGTATCTGCCGCACAGAACCGTCTACAACGACACACGCACTCTTGTCCCGGCAGCATCTTGCTCAACAGCGACTTCTGGACACCCACAAGATTTGTGCCTCATGTTCATCAACGCCTGTCGGCGAAAGGATCCTGTGCGATTCAATCGATTGTCCAGTCACCTATGCGAGAGTCACAGCGACACGGGACGTCGATGATCTGGCGGACGTGCCTGACATACTAGAAGAATTCAACGCATCTGCTCATCACGAAGAGATCGTCACAAGTGCCGTTCTCGCTGGTCCGCTGGATTGGTGATACCTTATACCCTGCATTTCTTCCATACCATCTTGGAATGTGCCTCATGGTCCTTATAGTTGTAAGATTGCCCCTTGGGCCCCTCGGTGTGCATCATGACATGACGTCTTACGCGTCATACTGTAGAACTCCAGCATAAGACATATGTTCGAATGACAAGCTACAGTGTGACAAGAATTGATGAAAATCATGAATTGAGAAAGACACGTCGCCCACAGGAATTAAAGCAAGGACCACGTCTTAAGCCACTTGCCAGGTTGCGCTCTCCCCTCCACCTAACCTCCTCATGTCCCATTCAACAACAGTGCGCTCTGTTCCAGAGTATAGCCAGTCTCCACTGGGGTCAAAAGCAATCCCGGCAATACCCGTCACTCCATTCTCTACGCCCTTCCGATCAGTCCTCTGGGTGTCGGTAGCTGAAGAGGCCGGTCGCCATGGCACCGGGACAACGACATGTGTATGAAAAGTCCTCGCATCGACAATGTGGATGTTGGAGTTCTCCTGTCCATCAAGGCGTCAGACCCAATCGCCCGGACTACAACATTGGACTTGCCTCTGAGAACACCATGAGATCTCTACAGCTTCCTTCGGGAGAGAACTTGACGACTCTTGCAGCTTCTCTGCCGGAAGTACTTGCGCCTGTACTCGGAGCTCCAGTCACAGGATCAACGAGCATCACATTCGTGTGGTTGGCTTGGTAACGAAGGTCCAATTGTTCAGCTGTAACGGCAGCATTGTCAGAGCCGGTTTGGTCCCAGGAGTAGGGGAGTGAGCCTGTGGAGCTGCTGTGCGATGTAAAGAAAGTCGCAAGCGGCTTGGAAGACCGATGGTCCCATACTGTCACTTGGCCATCTGTAGAGATTCAGCGAAGATACGGATTTGTTGCGAACCTTGACTGGCCACAGCAAATTTTCTACCATCTTTGCTCCAAGACGTTGAAAAGCCAGAATCAGTCGCCGCTGTCATGTCATTAATGAGGGCACGAACTGAGGAAGCCTTTACACACACCGTTATAGGTTCCTATGCGCTTGAATTCGCGTCCACCATCGATCACCTCGAAAAGAAACACTTCAGACGAATCTCCCACCGAAACCATAGTCTTGAGATCAGGCGAGATGGAGGCTGTCGGAGAGTCAAAACAAATGCCTCTGATAGACACGACTCACAATGATTTACAGCACATTTGAGTCTCGCCCCTCCAATTTTCGCCAATTTCCGCTCTTCTGTCTCACCAGACCTGTCCGCAACGGCAACCGGTCGAGCTCTCCAATCATCTTCTCCAGGACTCCGATGACCGGGCCGACTGGAGGAGATATACGACGTCGCCGCACCTGATCCCAGACCAACTCTCATTCCAACCACCCTTTCGAACTCTTCCCTTGTCTGACGCCTCGACTCGCGCTCGAGCTGAAGATGAGCTCGAGCTCTCTCGATCTCCCGCTGTAGCTCTGCGCTGTCGTAATCTTGGGTTCGTCTCAAACCCTCGTTGGCGCTGATGGAGTCCCAACCTATGCTTGACCCGAATCTCGGACGTGGGGGCGCCACTGGCGCATGAAGTCGAGGCAGATGTACAAAAGGCGCGTGTTCTTGATTCCTCCCAGTCTCGTTTCCTGACACTGTCCGACGCATTGCAGATGTCACGGGAATCTGGGCCGACCGTACATATTGCCCAGCGGGAAGGCTTGAGAGTTGAGGGGCTGCCGTGAGAGCTGAGCGTGAATTGGTCTTCTCCGTGGTAGGTAGCGAGAACATTTTCACGGTCTGATCATTATTGGAAATAAGTAGTCGAGGTTCATCAATGGCCATGGGCCTGTTCTGCTCTCGTGAGGAGGTAGTCTTTCCACTCGCCATTGAGAGACGTCGACCCGCACCTGTGGAGGAGATGAATGAAGGTGACCTGGACGACACGTATTGGATCCCTGGAACCCCGGGCCGTTCAACAGACGAAAGAAATGATGCGCGAGACCCTCTGCCAGGTCGGTAGCCAGTACTGAAAGAAGCGGCACGGCGGGAGGAGCCGGGAATGTCCATCGAATTAGTCGTGGGACTGAGATGAGGGAGCCGAGGTGGATTCAGGAATGGGACCGTGTTGGGGTACGTTGCAAAGCTAGAGCTTCCAGATTCCAGATGAGACTCTTCATCGTCGTCCATGTCCATAGCTTCTTCATCAATATCCTCCTCGGCAAACGTGTCCACTGGAGCGTAAGATTCCTCCTCACTCTCCTCTTCTTCATCGACCGGACCGTGCCGGCGCAGGAAGCTCGCTTTTCTCTCCCTCTCTTTCCGATGCCATTCCGCTGGCCAACCGGGAAGAATGATCATGGAGTTGTTGATGGACATGGTAGGTAATACCACGGATATGAAGAAGGGTCTAATTGGAGGCGGTGTCGAGGGGAACCTAGCGTTCAGTGACGCTGTCGAAGCCGTACGAGAGGGAAGATTCGTCATGTAGAGTTCGCCGTGCTGCCCTCCACACGCCATGATAGGGCCGCTAGTTCGGCAGCATTTAATTAGAATCTGGTTTACCCCCTTGCTGGGCGTTGCTCACGTTGCAGTTAGACAATTCGGAGTAAATGTGAGCCTTGCAAACGTTCTCGTTGTACCATTGCGCTGTAAGATAGAGGATCAGCTGATGGGCTGAAGATGACAGCTCATGATGCTAACGACGCCTTTGGACGGGCCGGGCTCATTATCCTCCGGCGGCGACCACCTCTGCTCTTCTATGATGGTCCCTCTAGGGTACAGGACATGAGCTCTGTCCAACGGTAGGACCAGATCACGAAGCTGAGGGTGGATGATGCTGATGTGAGCGGGCCGTACATCTGTAGGTTCGAGGGACAGGTCTCTTAATTCCGAGGAAGACACAATAGGCGGTGGATCCCTAAGCAATCCTCAGCTAAGGTCTGACTCTGGTCTGCGAGGCATGTACACTTGGACTCACCTAGCCATTGTGACGAGCTGTGTCGGAGCTCGTGCGCTATCTACAAGCTGTCAAGACAATCACAAAGCGGAGAAAAACAGTCAAGTTGTAAGATGCAAGAGATGGGCACAGTATAACAGAGCAGATCGACCGATGCGGTCATAATCATTCCAGCCGAGTTCGTGAGGTGGCACAAATAGCAAGCGTGGGGCGTTCATTTGGCCTGGCATGAGGTCTTTCGCCTCTGTCACACGCTTATCCGTCTGGACGACAAATGAATGCATGTCTGAATACATCTGGTTGAGCAGTAGATGGGGCATGTATCATACTGTGTGGCCTGTGTGGATTGTATACTTCATATTGGCTGTCTGTCAGCTTTCAATTCGTGCAACAAACTCACGATCCATTGCCCCATGATGGCTACAGGGACACCCCAGCTGGCGCAGAATATCAGCTGGAACCTGACGCAAGGATGTCGACTCACGCATCGCGGCGGATGGTCACGCTGAAACAGCACTTGATCAACCTGTAATCCTCAATTCCCGTATCCGATGCCACCCCGGACCCCACATCCCCACCAGGCCGATCGCTAATCATTGGTTGAGGCAGAGCAAAGTCTACATTGGTCGATGCTGCCAACTTGCCATTGTGAGATAATGGAGTCGCACTGGATCTAACCCAACGAGACCGAGTGAGTGACACTGGAATTTTGAGGATACAGCTGGTGGTAAGGGATCGTTGACCTGCAACAGGTGAGCGCCATAATCAGCGAGGGTCTTGAGGCCCACCCGAATCAAAGGCAATCTTCGCGTATCTTTCCCAGTACCGTACCGCAGAATCCTCATCCATTAGCTCGTATACGCAAAGCTGGCCGCCTCTGAACATGCTCGCTGGAATGCCGGTCACATTGGCAAATTCTTGATTGGCCTTCTGAATCTCGCCTGTCCGGCGCCATATGCAAGAAGGTGTGTGTATCGCTTAAGAGACGTCAGCAAGAGCTGAGATCGAGCATTGCTGAACTCACACGCGAAAAGCCTGTCGTACTCCAGCATCCATCTCTCCATTGCCTCTTCCACAAACACAAGATCAACATCCGTCAGAGTTTGAGCGATTTGCCTGAATTTTGGTCTGAAACCATTCAATGCGGTCAAGATACGACGTCTGGATTCAGCAGATATGCTGCTGCCATATTTTGGACCCAGGATGGGCGTGACGGCTGTAATCGGAATCAGCATCATCCCGAGAAGACCGGCGGGCAGGGCGTACATGGTCTATTGCGCGATCCTCCATTCTTTTGCGGACTGCTCGGCGCTGAGCCAGCCACGCTGTCCGCTTTAGGTGCCGCACGCCCAGAGTCCATCCACTTGTTCATCCGTTCGTATCCTTTGATGTAGTCATACGGCTTTAGCAGCCCAGCGTCGTATTTAGCCTTGATGACCTGAGCAAGTCTAGACGCTCTTGGACCGGATGGTTGATCTGCAGCGGCCAGGAAGTATCGCTCCCTTTGCAAGGATCAGATTGATACACTGAGAATCCTCACATTCTACTTATGCCAGCCAAAGGCGTATTCGTCTCCTTGCCCTTGCCCTTCCCGCTATTGTTGCCTGATCTCGACAACGGCTCCGATCGAGGCAAGTTGAACGGTGCATAGGTTTCACGTGATGTCACGCCTGTAGATGGTCCGGACTCCACTTGCGGTGTCTCGATAGGCTCCTCCAAGGCTCCGTCACTGAAAGTGTTGTTATTATTCAGACTACCGCCTCGAGAGATGAATGCCAGCATGTCGAGCAATCCTCCAGGTACATGAGGCGCCCCGAGATCTCCCATGAATTTGCTGTAGATCGATCAGTCGAGGCTGCAAGTAGCTAGACTCACGTCAAGGCCCCAAACTCTGTCATGTCATCATTTCTAGCGCTGTAGGGCCCACTGCTCGTCTTTTCTACAGTGTTCCCATTTGCCTGGGTTCCAAAGCTGACGGGTCCGGCCGTATCTGGTAGGAGAGGCCATGCAGGAGGAAAATTGGGATCAGAGTAGAGTGTGTTTGGTAGAGATGTGACTGGTTCACTTTGTTGCGATGGTGTATCAGCAGGAGGTTGATGCTGAGGGGATACAGTCCGATCTTGAGAAGGCGAGGATGGTCTTCGCGCTTGAGGAGATACATCTCGACAGAGATGCGCAATCTCTCTGCGGATGCTGTCACACGATCAGCAATGGATCAGACTCACCAACGAAGCGACTCTACTCACCATCTCTCACAAGGCCTACCTCCTTCGCACACCATATGACTAAAGGAAGGGTTTTGTTTAGCATGATGCAGCCCTTCTCAGAATGGATGGGCCGCTGACCTCCGTCGACAATATACACACGCCTTGCCCGATGACCTCTTGGTCCTTTTCTTCCGGTGCCCATCCTCTCCATCATGTCCTCTGCCATTTGCTCTCCTCGATCCTTCTCCCTCTGACTCTCCACTATGTCCGTCGTCAAGATGCTCGATCTTCATATCCTCGGTTGACCAAAAGAGGGCAATATGAGATAAAAGAGTCCGTAGTGGTCCTGCAATTAAGGGACTTGATTAGGGCCGATGGCCAGGACCCAATTTGTCAAAGGTATAGGTCACTGCGTTGAGAGGTGCATTGGATTCCGGACCGCGTCAGAAGAACGATGCTTCGAGATGAAGAGCAGATGTTTGTTGTTGATGTTCACGAGGTGACTATGTGGTATGTAGATAAATGGTGGATGATGATGAACTATCTGAATGTGGCAGTGTAAGGTGGCGGATCACACATGAAGCTGCCTTGCGTGCGCTCTGAGCAGCATCAAGAAAAGTTAACCTGACGCTAGAGTCAGGTACCCAAGACAGCGAGCTCCGCTTGGACCATGTATAGGAGCCAAGAGCTGATCCGAGCGACAAAGCAGTCGCGAATGATCTCGAATCTCACCCAACTCAGCAATACTTGTCTGAGCCTCACACGACGTCCAATCAGTATGGAGGTCAATAGCTGCGGGAAGGCGCCCTCAAGCAAGCCAGCGGGGGTAAGTCCACATCGTGATCATCAACGCTCAAATCTCCTAACAGACATCGAAGGCCATACGTAGGAAGCCTCTGGTTCAGCGCGACGCGTCGCTGAACGATCTCCTCCTTCAACACCATGAGCGTAAATTGAACCTCGGGAGCTCTGCGCGTCGCCATCCATATCCGCATCAGCCTAAACCCTTGACAAACAACGAGGACGAGGTCTTGGGAGATCTCATATTGGATCTGTCAACGCTACCGCACAGATGGACTGAATGGCAGAGGAGACACCTGGCAGAAGTCGAATCGCTGAAAAGGGCCAACGCGGCTGTGCGACACAGCAGGGACGAGGCGGAAGCGCTGCTGGACCACAACTTAGCATTGACCAGAGAGCTCCAATTGGACTGGACCAATATACGAGAAGGTCACCGGGAGTTGGAGGCTCGATTGCTGCGAGCTGATTCTGAGAGGGTCCGGCTCGAAATGTTGGTGGAGGAGAAGGACACGCGGATCGAAGAGCAAAACAAACTCATCATTGGGTTCGAGAAGAGAATTGAGGAGCGAGGGAAGGATCTTCAGCTATCGCACGAGTGTCGGCAAGGTCTCGAAATTGAGCTGTACTACTTGGGAAAGGAGTTTTGCCAGGTCAACCTCGGTCAGTATGCTCAGATCAGTGGAGGACCATGGGGAACATCTGATCAAGAGCTGGAGACGCTCGAGCAGTTGAAGGACCGCATCGTTGAACTGAAACTCCTGAACAAAGAACAAGCTGGAGATATCCGGGTTTTGAAGCAACGACTTGGAGAGTCAGTGACATCTGGGAGGGATGAGAGCTGCCAACCTGTCAAGGAAGAATGAGCATCCATAACATGTGAGAGGCTATGTAGGAAGATTCTACGCACATTTCGATGCTATGTACAAAGCTCGTACAGACGTCATCAAGGTATCTCTCTTGACGCCAGACCTCTCTCATCTTCTGAAGGGAGATGAAGCGACCCATCTCCTCTGAGCTGCCTGGTCCCAGCTGGGACCAGGCTCACGCCATCCACTTATCGATTCTGTAGTCGCGCAGACAACGTCGACAGGACCTCCCATAACTTCTGGCCCCCTACACTCTCCTCGAAAAGTCAGTATTATTAAGCAGTCATTTAGCAGGCTTTTTGAGCCATACTGACAACCTTCCATGTACTCCTGTCAGGCTAGTCTCGTTCCATCTTACACTCATCCTGACATCTCACCACCTGGTGTACCATCGTCAAAGCTACACAGACTGGATCTGAACATGTTCTAAGCGTAAAAGTGATCTGAGATCTGAGATGCACTGTGTCAGAACGCTGCCTCCATCCGCCATACTGTATGTATGACCGCGACTGATTTTTCCAATCATTAAATTGGGGTTGACCGAGGGGATGGATCCCTTTCACTCAACCATGATCCAAATGGAATCATCCGATGCAGAGACTCACTCTTGACTTCTCTGACCTCTTACATCGACATGATGGTCTTGCCAGAACCTCCTCATTCCGCTCATTCAGGACACTCTGGACACAGCTTTCCCCGCTCGGCATTCGAGGACATAGAGGTGAGGATTCGGTCAAGGTCTTCTCTGACACAAGTTAGAACAAGTTGGATGACTTGCTCGGTTCGTTCCCTGATCCTCAGATCTTAAGCAATCCTGTGCATTTGAATCATTCGGAAAGCAGCTCTAAGAGCTCGGTGGGTCCATGCTCTGGCTTGGTTGCTTAAACCATATGTAGTACCACTCTCATACCAGTCAAGACTACGAGGATCATGACAAGACTATACGACCGAAGACAGAACCTGACCATGTACCGCCTTCAGTGAGTTCTCGCTTTCCTGTCCGTAGAACGAGCTGACTGCTACCCACGAACACAGCGATCAGCTAGCTCAGCGTCAAAACGCGAGAATGAGCCTGCCACTGACTCACCTTCCAGACCGTTCAAAAGGATTCGAGAGGCGTTCTCACGATCGCCGAAAGCAAAAGCTTTGCTGTCCTCATCTGGCATTCGTCCTTCCTCCCCTTCCAAGCGAAGAGCTTTGCATCCTTCTCGAGAATTCGTCCAACCTTGTCCATCTTTGGAAACGATTGTCCAGAGTCCAACACCTCCACGCCAGCACGCCGCCCGGTCCCCTTCCAGAATCCCTCTGCCTCAATCCCCCCGTGCCAAATCTCTTCCGGAGCCTCCGACGCCTGTGCCACTTGAGCTTCCGGATATTCTCAGCTCCTTCCGATACGCTCGCACCGAGCTGGACAGATCCATCACAGCCTTGGAGACGATCCGCTTAGATCTGATGACGGAGAAAAGGACTAGTCAGGATCTCTTGGCAGAACTAGAGAAGACCAAGCGGGACAAGCGAAAGAAGGACCAAGCTCTGCTTGAGGCTTGGGGAGAGGCCGAGGACCTCCGTTCAGCCGTCCTGTTGGCACAACAGCAGAAAGATGATGCAATATCCAATGCGAGTCGAGAAGCAGACGACCTTCACGCGACTATTCAGCGAGTCAGGGAGGAGAAGAGCAAGGCGATAGCTGAGGGGCAAGGCCTGAATCAACGGCTCGAAGAACGGCTCAAAGAAACCAATGGGTTCGTTTCGCGGTTGCAAGCTCAACTGGCATTGCTTGAGCATTCGAGTGATAAAAGTATCTTCGACCTTCGTCAACAGCTAGACATGGCTCAGCAAGAGGAAGCTCGAGCCAAGGAAGAGATGGAAAGCATGAGGGGCAGACTCGACGAAGCGGAGTTCGCTCACCGAGCTCTGAAGGAGGGTGGTGCCAGATTAGCTAGAGACCTTGGAGAAAAGGAACGGAGAATCATTGAGCTGGAGAAGGCCATGGGCTTGAGGAGGGGAGGCAAGGTGTAGGCTGAGCAGTTATTCAAGCGCAAATCTACCCTATAATCGACTTGGCCATACAGATATCTTCGAAGAGCCGGATGCAGAATCTCTTTTCCGTTCACAACTACCTCCGAGGTCGATGATGATGTACTTCACTAGAAGAAGGTCTAGGGTTCTTGTACCATCAGCGAGCACTTATCGGTGCTCGCTGATAATCGCATAGTAGGAGGGGACTCGGGTGCGTTGGGCAATGGGGTTCGCGCCAGAATACGCAGAGCCTCACTACCGTCTCTTAGCCTGCGACTCTTTTTCGACATCACTTGTTGTGCCTCTGCAAATACAACGATGAGTTTTGGTTATTTGGGACTCGGATATAGCTCATGTGTCACAGATCGGAAGTCGTGGACGATTTCGCTGATGCTGGCGGAGCGCGAAAGCTGAGACTGTCGTAAGATCCGAGTCAGCTGTGCAACGAAGAACTATACACCCATGTAGTCGGTATCAATGACGTTTTCTTGTTATCCTTGATCGACTGGCATGATACGCCTGTAAACGTCGCGAATTGGCAGAGCCCCCAAGGGACATGGTCCGGACAATCCATGAGCCAGTCTAAAGATGCTGACTGCTTCTTCAACCTTTCAGCCAGACAGAAAGCAGCAGCTCATTGGAACACGCCAATCAGCTTCTTACCTATTGCCGTGGTGTCAAGGACCATTAAAAGGGATCAGGCATGGCTGCACGTTCCTCAATTTCAGCCGCTTACATGTGTCATGCATGGGATGCAACATAAGGTCCTGCTGAAAGCTGCTCCCACAGTCATCCTTCACGCACGCTTGGCTGTAGATGAAGCTCTTCACGTTTCGCTCCCTACTTCGCATTGGCCTTCATCTTCTCAGCTAGTTTGTCCTGTTCACCGTCAGCAAGTCCAAGTCATGAGCCGTCCAGCAACTCACATTGACAGCCTTCATGTAGACGTCTGTCGTTACCCAGTCCTCTCGTTTCATGTTCTTTCCCTTCATTGCCAAAGCCAGATCCTTGGTCATGACTCCGTCCTTGTCTATGCACTCTACGCAAGCTTCCTCGAGGTATTTGGCGAAATCAGCGAGCTCAGGCGTGTTGTCAAGCTTGGCTCGGAAGGCAAGTCCCCGCGTCCATGCGAAAATCGAAGCAACCGGGTTAGTAGAAGTCTCTTGTCCTTGTTGATATTGTCGGTAATGGCGTGTCACCTGAGAAGCCGGTCAGAGCAGATTCGAGACTCGACTGACTGTTCCATGAGCTGCCTCTGATTCCATCGTCTTGCCATCTGGAGTGATCAATTCCGAGGTCATCATTCCGAGGGATCCAAAACCTTGTGCCAAAATGTCGGACTGTGATGTCAGTCGAGTGATATGGGGTGAGACCCACCTGGACATCTCCATCGTAATTTTTGCAGGCCCATACAAAGCCTCCGGAGGATTTGAGTGCTTGAGCGACCATGTCGTCTGGGCTCGTCAGCTCCTTGCACCGTGATGAGACCTACCGATCAATCGGTGCTCGTAATAAATTCCCTTCTTCTCGAATTCCTTGGCGTATTTTCTGGAGATCAGCAAGATCGCCTAGAGATCTCTCACGTGTCGTAGATCTCTTGGAAGATATCTTTGAATCTTCCATCGTATTTTTTGAGAATAGTGCTGAAGGTCAGCGACTGTACGAGAGCAGGTCCCCTCACTTTTTTGTCGACATGAACAAGGGCATGCCCTTCGACAAGGCCATCTTGAAAGAAGCCTCTGCGAATCCTTCGATACTTGAGGTGATGTTGTACATTGACATGGCCACCCCCGACTCTTTGAAATCATAAACATTCATCTCCGTAGGCTTGGATCCGTCGGCAGGGGTAAAAGTAAGGGTCAATTTTCCGGGGCCAGGTACGACATAGTCTGTTGAGCGGTACTTTATTGGTGTCAGTAGCCGGACACCGTGGGTAGCTCACCTGATCGCCAAAGGCGTGACGACCGATAACGATGGGTTTGGTCCATCCGGGCACTGGCTTTGGGATCTTGTCCAAAATGATGGGTTCCCGAAATACGGTGCCTCCAAGAATATTTCGGATCTACGCCATTTCAGTTCAGCGGGACTGGCATGGTCTCACCGTTCCATTGGGACTCCTCCACATCTCTTTGAGCTTAAACTCTTTGACACGAGCCTCGTCGGGGGTAATAGTAGCACATTTGACACCGACAGAGTATTTCAGGATCGCCTCGGCCGAATCCACGGTGATTTGGTCGTTGGTCTGTCAAGGCTCAGACATGACCTTTGGTCAACACCCACGGCATCTCGACTCTCCATTCCAAGGTCATAGTATTTGAGATCAATGTCGAGATAAGGCAAGATCAACTGTTTCATGCGCGTCTGTCAGTGGAAACATCAACATGTCATGTCGGCCGACTCGCCTCCTCCCGGATCTTCTGCCAGATGATTCGTGTCATTTCATCTCCGTCGAGTTCTACCACTGGATTCTTCACTTTGATCTTCTTTGAGGGCGTCGCATATCCTCGCTGGGCCATGATAGGCAGGTATGCAAGTGGACGAGCAGGTCGAGCACCGGCGGCTCGTGATAATCGGACAAGCTGACATTGCAGCTGAGTGGGGGAATTCCACCTGCAATTGAGGGATGCGTGCAACTCACCATTGACAGCAAGGTACAAGGTACAGGACGTCACGGTCAAGACACTGGCACACACACACAGAGTTCAGAAGCTGGATAGTCGTCTACACGGTCTATACAAAAGATCAATAATGTACGATTGTGACAGTGATGGCCCAATTTCAGGGTCTCATAAGAGAGGGGCCCTTTTGGGTCGACGCGGCGGTCGGACCGGGCCGCAAGGAGACGCCGAAGCTGGACTGGGCTGGATAATTACCATTGATTCCTGCGATGAGCAGCATACTTATCGGGTCGTTGGCGACAGCAATGATAGCTTGACGAGGTCATTTGCAGTACGGAGGCTTGCTCCTCGCAGCACAATGAGCAGTCGGCTTCAACGAGAGCATCCGTAGGCCAATCAACCACCCTCTGGTCACATTCGGTAGAGTCCATCACGCTCCGGAAAGGATCCGGACAACCAATGGTAGAGAGTCCTTCAACATCTAATAGTAGGCCAGAGCCCGTACATCGCCGAGCCTGACCCCTGAATTCGCTCGTTCTCGCCATCGACCTGGCCCGAAGACGATGCCATAGTCAGACCCGTCCACCTCGGTCAAATCATCTCCTACAAGCCGATCCGATGTGGCGAAATGTCCATCGCTGGCCATCGGTCCCGGTGTACATATAGAGCGCGGTGCCTCCTCGCCATTCATCTCGACCGACCGAAGCTGTATCACAGTGTCCTCTGTGACACGAAGCATGCGGTTGAGCGATCTAGCTTCCAGTTCGGTCACAGACTTCCCCTCCACTTTTTTTTTTGCTTTCGCTCCCGAGCCGCGTAAAATATCAGCATCCCCGAAGAACCGGATATGAACGACATAGGGTATGCGACATGGTATGTCAGGATATAAATAGGATGAACATACAGAGGCTCTGTCTTGACCGTCTCAGCATCAGCATAGGAACAGACGAATCACATCTCTCTCTCTCTACTTCAGTCACTTGCCGTCGCTCGCTTGACCCGCCACCTGCCTCACTATGAAAGTTTTTGTCACCGGAGCCACTGGCCGTCTCGGCGCCTTGGTCACTCAACACCTCGTCGAACGCGGACACACTGTCGGTGGTTTGGTTCGGTCAGAGGCTTCTGCAGCAAAGATCAAGGGGCCGTCCGTTGAACCCATCATTGGCTCTCTCCAAGACCTCGAGCTCTTGACCCGCATGGCTCAATCTCACGACGCAGTGATCAATTGTGCCTTTGACCACTCGGGAGATTTCGACAAGGCGTCAAAAGAGGAAGCCGCCTCAGCCCAGGCGATCATCAAAGGTCTTGAAGGGAGCGGAAAGAAATTCATCTTCACCTCTGGATTCATGATTGGCCAAGATTGGAGCTCAGCCGAACGAGACGAGACATTTATGTCAAATCCCTCGGGACTCGCACGAACAGATACAGAGCGTATGGTTCTCGATTCGCAAAAAGCTGGTGTCACGCCCATCATTATGCGACTCTCAGCGGTGACTCACACCGCTAAACCTCCCCATTGGTTCCTCTACGCCATTCATGGCATCTCCCAAAGCTTCGGATTCCTCCCTTACATCGGTGACGGGTCGCAACGGTGGACGACTTGCAATGCCGAAGACGCGTCCTTACTCTACGCGCTTGCTCTAGAGACGGCCGAAGCCGGGACTCACGTACATGCGGTCCAAGAAACCATCACCGTCAAAGATCTGGTCGAAGCTGTAGGCAGGAAGACTGGTCAAAAGACCGGTTCGATTACCGCTGAGCAAGCTGGCCCCATGGGACTGGTCGGAATGCTCATGTCGGTGGATCAGAATATCTCCAGCAAGTGGACAAGGGAGCACTTCGGATGGACACCAAAAGGTCAGACCTTGCTCGAGGAAATAGCCAATGCTCAAGAAGGATTTCTCTCAAACGGCGGGCACTAGATCTCCGTATTCCTGTTCGAATCAAGATTGTGCATGCAAATTTACAGATTGTGTGGTGGATGCAACGGTTCAGCTTGTTCAGAATACCTTCTTCAGCTGCTCAAAGAAAGTGAATGTCAACATGGTAGTCGGGCTCATCCGCAACCATGCCGGCAGCCAGCCTCTGAAAAGGACTCTGAGTCCCTCGCGGCGTAACGACTTGGTAATGATGCTCATGGCCGTCTGTGACACATCAGCGATGCTTTGATCGAGCGAACTTACGACGCCAGCAGGAGCGGACTGTATCCTGGACTTGAAGACATCTATAGGTGCACAAGCGGTGACCGCAATGGTCCCCCCGAGTATCGACGTCAAGAGATGAGTTGGGACAGTGTCCGTGAAGTTGAACCGCGTTATCAACTGCTGCTTGATCATGTCGTAGCTGGTTATCAGCACAGTGAGAGGTAGGAATTGCTCACCAAGACAGCTGGGACCCATTCATCACTACACTCCTCGCGACTGTCGCGCCCATTCCCTTGAACATTGTACGCGGTCCTTCATCCTTGTATATCCGATACAGACCCTGCAGAGCGTTCTTGTAATTATATCTTGATTCTGGCGGCTTGACACCGTCTGAGGATATCCTGACCATGACCAGTTCTGCACGATCGATCATCAGTCATGCTGGATGCCGCACAAAACCCACCCGCTGGCGAGCCTACGAGACCTGCAAGCGCTCCTGCCAGAGCACCATTGGCAACTAAACGCAGTTTGCCTCCCTTTTTACCCATCTTTCGATCCCTGTCCTTGAGGTAATTGTATGCACCGAACCTCATGGTAGAGTACGTCGCCTGTCGAAGTAGGCTTCCAGAAAGACCAGTCCACAGACCCAGTACACCAGACGAGCGAACGGTGTTCTTGACTGTTGCAATCATGTTCTGTTGAGGACGCTGGACCTGTGTTCTGATCTTAGTCTGGTCGATGGGGTGAGTGATGACTACTGCCATTGAAGCCGCGGCACCTGGCCTCCTATCAGTCAAGCTCGGACAAGAGGGAGGGTGCAGCTCACCCCCGAGCCATAATGGATGTTCCTTGGGAAGCTTGCTCGGACCAGCTACTGCAGTCTCCATAGCTCTCTCTCTCTCTTGAGAGTGCACAGCCAGATGTTGAATGCATACGGTCTTGCGAGATCTACAAAAGTCTTCAGAATACAAACGGATCTTTCGGCCGTCTTCGGACATTTGTCGGATTTATTGGGAGCAGGGAATAACGAGTGGATTATTACGTACGCACCAATCTGAAACACATCACATTCAGCCGATCGTCAATCCTTCATATATCTGCTATCACGTTAACTCACCCATCGTCTAGCCTCCACGATGAGACCATCTTTGCTTCGTAGAGCAGCAGCGACGTTGCCCATTCCTCCAACTCTTGCAGAGGCCTCTATGCAGTTGATTCCACCTATACCGTGAGCTCTTCGTATAGGCGTTTGACTTATACCTTCACTTTCAGCCTCTATCGACGGCTTCTTCGAGCCCATCGAGGACTGCCAGACGACATGCGATTCATGGGTGACGCATATATCAAATCAGAGTTCAGAGCTACACGGACATCCGACAATCCGATACACATCATCGCCTTCCTCTCACAGTGGAAGTTGTATCTTGAAGAAGTGGAGCAGTCGGCCACGGAGGCGGGAAAAGCGGCACCATTTAAGGGCAGACGCCTCGAGGTGGACAAGATCGAACAGCTCAGCGAGGAGCAAATTGGTCAGCTCTATGAACTGATGCATGCTACAAAAGATGTATGGAAATCGTGAGTACTTCTGCCAGTCATTAGTCATGGCTGACGATACAACGTCAGTCCCGAGGATCTCACTGCTCAAGCAGGCGGCGGCCCGTCGGGTTCGCTGAATCCATCAGCTCCGGAGGATGATACGAAGGACAAATGATAGTTCCACGGCATCGCGCCAATGACCGGTTCTGCTGCCGTGCGCTCAGTCAATCATATGTGCTCGGCGATACCCGGAGCAGATCGCTGCATCGGGCCAATTCTCAAGTCAGCCTCAGTGCATCGCGGTCAAGCTGTAACCAGCAGCTGATATTCTCATGGTACTAAGGAAAAAGCAGCGGCCTCTTTAGAGCGTAGGCAAAATCCCGGGACCAAATGTATGCATCTGCGTTTCCTCTTCGCCTGGCGAAGTTTTCGCCCTATCAGCACCAAGTTTACCTGATCGCGGCATCTAATTCACGTTGAAGTCCCTCCCTTTGTGTCGGGCGAGAGAGATATAGCACGTTCACCTGGCAATCTTGGATAAGGCTCGCAAATGCTGATGCACAACCTCATTAGAGACCTTTTTCCTCCTATTCTGAAAGACTTTTGGAACCCGTCCCTGTCTCGGTGCCGATCGAAGGACCATGATGAAGCTTTACGGTGCGACTGTCCCCATGGACTCTTGCCGTATCATCTAGAATCGAAGCTATACTCATCTGTCGCACATGGGTAACGGGAGATCTCTCGCCTCCGGGTTCAACAACAGGCATTCCGAAGGTCCGAAGAGGCAAGGTATCGCAATCTGTACCTTGGCCTATAGAGCGGGAACCGACCTCTTGCATGTCCGTATCAGCCTCGTCAGGCCAACTGACCACTGCAGCCTTGACGTCGCCAGGTGATCGTTTCTTCTTCTGCATCGTGCCGCTCTTCTGGGTCTTGAACGGTCGAGCGCTTGTGTTCTCTGGCTCTTTGGCCCATTTATCTTCAAAGAGTTGATGCATTTTTTCCAGGACATTACTGTTCAAAGTGTTGCAGAAGGCTTGAAACGTGTCATCAGACATCTCGTTGACTCTGTTTCCAAACCATTCCTGATTGGAATTTAGGTTTCTGCTAACGAACCTTGGCCTCGTGAGTGACGGCCAAAAGAATGATTTATCAACTCACATCGTGCTGCTATCGAGAGTCGGAACGTATTCCGTGAAAGTGTCCTTCAGAGCGTCTCCTAGGAGATTACGTTTATTATTGTCCAGGAAGTACCTGCCCATCGCAAGCGTTTTGGGCCATTGGCTAGGCTCAGGCCCAAAGCTCGATCGACTGAGTTTCAGGAGGTTGAACTGTGATTGGAGATCATCGAGGCTCTTGGTGCTTTGGGTCGCGATGTTCATGGTGGTGAGTGAATAGTTGAGGCGTCAGTGAATGCCGGCTGGAAGGCAAGTAAGGAGAGTGAGCGCTTCAGGCAGCGAGCGAGCGGGCGATTAAGTATCCAGACTCGCACAGAATACGCCCCCTCTGCGGACTTATACGGCTCCTTTATAGCATGACACACTATGATCAGGGTCAGGTTCATCCCTTCTCATGGTGGTGTCACAGGTGACCTGTGCCAAGGATGATCCTTTGTGATACATTCTCAAGGAGCGGGAACGTTCATGCGCCACCAGAATACGGAGTCCCGCCGTTATTCAATGTCCCCATCATCCTCGGAGCCCGCAAGAGATCCAGGGACCCTTGTGATCCTTGATTGTTCGCTGAGCGACTTCTACTCATGGCTGCTTGTCTTGAAGGTAATTGAAGGCCTCTGAGACCACTCGAAGGAGGTCCGCTCCAATTGGCTGAAGCTGCACTGGGCGGTACCACAAGCTCTTCTGTACTAGCGTTTCCGCTCATCTCCCGAGGGTAATCCCTGGACCGGAAGGGTGAAACTGATCGTGCGCTGATTGGAGGAGCATGTTTGATGCGATCAAGTGGACCGGAGAGATTACGAGGCTGGACTGATGAGACTTGGATGAGGATAGCACATTCCCTGGTCGTCTGTATCAAGGAGGAGAAGGTTTGCCGTACATTAAGAGGGAATGTGTGTGTCGACGAGATTGATTTGACTGTGTGAGAAACCAAGACGACGATCCGGATGAAAGCCTGAGCCTGATCCGGCAGGGACGTCGTATTCCAATTGGATGAACTCGCACGCACGCTCATCAACGATTCCTTGAGCGACGACGTGGTATCTTCAGCTTGTGGCAAAAGAGTGGCCAACTCTGTGTACTCAGAGTCGCTCATTGTCTTCTGATGAGGCCGCTGGATCATCGAGGACGTAGTGCTATCTTGCGAATCCATTCTACCATGAGTTCCTCCGGTAGCTCCCGGCGCTGACAGACCTATATCTTCTGCAAGTTTGAGCCAGACTAGGAACGCTGAATCTATGGCCGTCTCGAACAGATCAAGGAGATCGTCATCGAATAAGGCCGCTGATGCAGGCGTTGGAGGACGAACATCGACTGAAGGCTTTCGTGGGATATTCATCGCACTGGACATGGATCCAGACGAGGACGACGGCTTGTGCCCTCGTTGAGGGCGGATAAGAGGTTGAGTATTGGCTACATTGGACCCATCCGGAGGGGTGAGTGGGACTGAGTCTGAGAATTCGGGCGGAAGATCTGTCTTGGAGGGCCGGGTCGGAATGATCGCTGGATCCTTGACGGGATCTTCTGCATCCGAAACTTCAGTGAGTTCCTCTTCTAAGACGCTAGAGTACGAGTCATGCTGCTGATGGCTGTTTGAGGCCAGAGATCGACCCGTCCGCGGGTCGCTGCGTGGCATCAGCCGGCCTTTGTCAACACCATCCTGCGAGAATGAACCGCCCTGTCTTCGACCGCGTTGTCGACTGGTGGATATGGACATTGAGATCTGCCCCGACTGTGTTTCGTACGGAAGACTAGATGGCGGCGCCGATGGAGAACTACCTTCTGCCGTTTCGACGATGGGGGAAAAGGGCGCACGAGTCGTCGTTGACATGGGCTGTGACACTTTGGCGGCTCCTCGTGGACCCTCGAATGCCTCGTGACCCGTCTTTATCTGTTCCAAGAGAGGACTCATGGATTTCCAGGATGCGGCAATCTCAGTCATTGATCCGTACAGCATCAATAAGAGAGTCCGGGTGTATCTTGCGTCGCTGCCTTTCAAAGCAGATACTTGCAGCTTGAGCACCGCAAGCACTTTGCCTGTATCTCCGATGCAGGTCTTTGTAGCCAGCACCACATTTTTGAAAGCTTCTGTTGGCGTTCGGTTACGCCTCGACATGGAATCAAATCGATCAAGCGCGTCGATCAATCCGTCCAGATGTTTAGTTGCAGGTTCCGTAACGCGAGTGAAGACATTGGAGACGCGATCATCGACCGCGTACAACAAGTACTGTCTGAGAGAAGCGTGGATCTGTGACAGGGCGTAGAGAATGCCGCGGACAGCATCAATTACTTGCAAGAGAGCTTTCGGAATCGTCTTTGATATACTCGACGCTGGCAAAGTCGACAGCCGACGAAAGTAGGAATTGCGCAATTCTTCAGTCGCCACGACATCGCTAGTATCCGTTTTACGATTGCCAACATCGGCGATGTTCGATGATCGAAGGCTCGACAGCATATCCTCAGATGTTTTCCGCATCAATATGTTGCGGGTCGGAATGCTAGTCATCGGGGGCGACCTTGAATCCCAAGCGTTAGGACTGGTGATATTCGACCGAGTACGCTCGATGCCCATGCCTAACGGTCTACTCGTCTGCCCCTCCGCACCATCGTTCCGTCGCTCCTCTATGATCTTGGCGTGGCTCTTCCGGAGATCTGGAAGTGACTTTTTGGCACGTAGCGTACCGCTGAGTCTTTGAGTGGCAGTATAGCTCGCTCCTCGATTATGACCCGCCGAGCCGAGAGGTGAAATCACTGGAGGCAGAGGCAATGTCGATGAGGGATTGCGAGAATGCGCAGAGGACGAGTTTGATGAGGCTGAAAGAGGCGGTATATTGAGTGACAGATTCGAATCGTGCCTCTCGTGGAATGGTACACGAGGTGCGGGAAGATCCGGCGAAAGGATTTGGTCGGGAGATTGATAACCATACATGCCCATGTTGCGCCGTCGATGCATATTTGAGCTTTCTGGGGATTCATTGAGCCTGTCGCTGGAAGCATCTCGAAGGGGTCGAAGAGTCTGCTGTGATGATAGCGTAGTAAGAGATGGTGACGAAGCTGATCCAAAGTGAATCATAGACCCAGCAAGACCATCCGATACCGCGCTATACGGCTCGTCTCTGGTCGCGTGTCAGCTTCTGCCTTCCTGAGTTGCTTTCAGGCTCACTCTGACGCCAGCTCGCCCTCGTCGCCGCGTTGATAATGTCCCTTCGGCGGAACATTCTCATCTCCTTCTGCCTCTTTGACCCTCATCCACTTCTTCATGTTCTCTATCCATGGCCGCAGATCCTCGTCCTTCTTTCGCTGGCCGGGCTGCGTTTCAACAGGCTTGGAAATGTCATTGTCGACAAGATTGCCCAGGACTTCGCGTGGCTATAGACATCAGGAATGCCGGCCCCGGTCTAACTCACCGGCCATTCGATTGGGTTGAGGTCTACTTTGAATACTTTGAGGTGATTGAACTTTGTGAGATAGCTGGGAAGGGAGCGTATGCGATTGCTAGTCAAGGACAAAACTTTCAACTGCGTCAGACGGCCTGGCTCCGAAGGAAAGGAGACAATCTTGTTCTTTGACAAATCCAAGATCTCCAGGGCAGTCATTTGGCTCAACTGGGATGATAGTCAGCTCAGAACAGCTGTTGCTGGCGCGACGGATGGCTCACTGCTTGAGGGAATTCGGTAAAGTTGTTACCTTTGAGATTGAGGTAACGGAGTCGACTGAGTCGCGAGAAGGAGGCGACAATCGAGTTGTCAGCCAACGAGTTGTAGGACAAAGCGAGCCTGTAAAGGGTATCAGCAAAAGACCTATTCGCCTTTGACATACCTCCAAACACCCTTTTGATCCTTTCCTACGCCTCTGCGAAACACTTCGACGGCATGATCATCAATGCCTTCGATACCTCTGCGACTGAGATCCAGCGTATCTCCTCGGTCGGGCGACTTTGCCAGAGCTTCGTGTATACGCTTGACCGTCTGCTCCTCCTCTTCATTCTCACTTTCGATGTCCTCCTCTGCTGCCTCCTCCTCTTCCTCCTCCTCCTTCTCCTCCTGAGATCCTGGCGGGAATCTGGCGAGTGATTCACTGCGAGACATTTTGTCCGATTTGATTTGACCCGAGCTTTGACTTCTTTGATGTTGGTCTACTTCCCTCAATCCGCTCACGACCATGGCTACATCATCTCGATCTCGCTCTCGCTCTCGCTCTCGCTCTCGAGAGCCCCCCCCAGCGTCGGCAGTGACAAACGGAGTTTGATTATGTGAAAATGATCTCGAGATAGAATGAGATGGGTAGATAGGAGGAGACATGGTACTGGTCAATGTCGATTTTGAACGAGATCGCGCTCCAAGGGACGTGGGTGTAGGAAGGAGCGAATCGGTATTGATCCTCAAGGCGTGATTGGGTCGAGTAAAATGACCTGAGGAGCTGCTAGGGAGGGTATCATGACGGGACTGTGGGATCGATAGAGGTGAAGAGCTGTTGTATGCTCGAGACATGATGGTCGAGGAGAGAGTTAGAGTGACTTATGGAAGTACACTCGGCGGACAGTCACGCTCAAAGGGGCCTTGAAGCGGGAGGACCGAGCGCCCAAAAAATGGTGGGTGGAGCTGGATGCGACAGATGATGGGGGGGGGGGGGGGGGCGACGACATATAACTCGCCATACGCAGAGAGATTCTACAATGGTTCCACCATGCTGAAACTCAGCGAAACGATTCGCTGTTGCTCCCAAAGAGTACCTCAACGCCCAATGTCGAGGTTGGATCCCTCGGAGGATCTGACGCAAATGATGTGATTTGCGTCACACCGTACTATAAGTTATCCGCCGACAGTCACGCGAGACGCGTCGGGGGGGGGGGGGGGGGGGGGGGGGGGGGGGGGGGGGGGATGGATTGTCCCATGACGCATGACTCAAGGTCATCTACCGCTCTGACGCGTCCTATGCATAGCAGGCACCTTTGAGGAGAGACGTTAGTAGAACGTCCTCGGCCATTCTACATGCACGGCTTGCATCACGATCTCAAAATGGCGTGTCAAAGTCCATGACCATTGCCCGAGCAAGATTTCTTGCCAGCGCCAATCTTACTTGGTCCAGAGTCGTCCGAGCATCTGCGAGACTAGCCTTGCCACCGTGTAGGGAGAGACCCTCGCCTTGTCCTTGTTCTTGCTTCCGCCTCAGGTGAGATACAAGATCCCCAAGGTACATATCCGGAGCAACAATGGCGTTCGATTCGACATCCTCCAGGACCCGCATCAACTCAAAGGTGTCATTTGCATTGAACAGCACTTCTGCATCTAGACACCAGTCAGTAATGATGGATCCGCGATCGCTCACCTTCCAGCAAGGGCACGCTTTCGGCAAGAATGACGGCCCAGAAACGGACAGGAGCCACGTTGGCTGTCAACAGATTTACCAATCTCTGAGCAGCTCGATCTCGAGCATCCTGCATCGTGAACAAGAGGTAATCCCGGAACTCGGAAAGGAACGTCAAGCGGGATGTAAAGACCGTGGCGGAAGTTTGACCTGGAAAATCCAGCGGCGCGTCCGTGTTCGGATCAAAATGTTGCAGGGCGAGAGGTGCCTCGGTGAGCAATGTGGGAGGCAGTGAATCGACTAGGCGGAGGTATTCTTCTTCGCCTGTAGATCGCATCAGAAAGGCGTCGAAAGTCGATCTTACCTTTCGCTATGTACGCATCCAGAATCTGCTCAGTGATGAGAGACAACGTATTGCCTTCCTCCGCCTGGAGACACATGGTCGCTGCGATTCCCAGCTCTCCCCTCTTGAGCAACTGGCCGGCCATGATTCGACTGATAGTACGTGCTTCGTCCGGCAGGCCAAGCTGCTCGCAAGCTTCTTGTATCTGAGCATACTTGCGTACGCGCAGGTCGATATCTTCGTCTTCATCCTTGAAGTCGTCCATGCCGTCCATATCCGTATCGCCAGCAGCGATATTGGAAGGGTCCAGAATGTCCAACGAGACATGTAAGATGAATTCCTTCAGTCGACGGCGACCTTCGGGACCGGCAGCGGACAGATAGTCACAGATCACTCTCCAAAGGCTATTGGATTCTGGGTTCTCGCACAGAACATCGGCGTAGTCGAGCAGGAAGTAGTCTCGTATGCTGAGCTCAAACCGGTCTTCATCATCTAGCAGCAGGCCGAGTTTGTCGAATATATCTCCAAGATGAGCGGCCAACCATTTGTCGAGGTCGTGACATCCGGACAATGCCTGAATGAAGTCAACATCACGGAACTTTAAACAAACGCACTTTCGGCACATCAGCGATGCAAAGTGAGTACTCTATAGAGTCGTCCACCGTCACTGGCGACGCCATCGGAATCTTTGACGATATGTCAGCGGCGATCGTGCTGTCATGGAATCGTCAGATCGTCCTCATGAAGATGTCCAGTTGCTCACGCCAAGTCATCCCTCCGAAGGTTGACATCTACGAGCACTCCCCATGCTCCTAGAGCCTCCCGCCAGTCACTGGCCTCAGCGAGGACCCTCTCTGGTTTCCCTTCCATCAGCTCGACGACTGATTTGAAGTCCCTCTCCCAGCTGCCTGGATCCGAGATTTCCTCCCCCTCGAACCATTTGCCTCTGGTCCTCCCTTTCAGTGTCGTGGTCAACTCGGCTCTGAACGTTGACAGCCATTGCCGATGTGCGGATAGAAATTGATGATCTAGCGGATAACTAGCCACATTGGTCGATCTAGGGAACCGAGATAGATGGGAGGATAAGAGAGAAGCGAGGTCCGAGATGGATTTATCTGGATGATCGACCAGAGTGCGTAGGAAGGAGGAAGCTGGTAAGTGGAAGCCTCGGAGCATACACTGGCAGACATATGGCCAGAATGCGGGGTGATCCCACGGCGGACGGCTCTGCATGATTTCGTTCCCTTGCTGATTTGGTGGGGCTGATGGCGCCTCGTATCAGCACCGAGTCATCGTTGTGGGATGTTCCACTCACCTGGGTCTACGTCGTTCACCCAATCCAGAAGCTCCTCGCCCAGCAACCCCTCGCCCCGGCCATCTCGTGGTAAGTACAGGATTTGAGCCAAATGAAGGATGTGATACACAGCTTCGTAGGTCGTCCGATCAAGGGCCTGTACTTATCAGCAAAAAGAGACTTTGCTGTACCCACCTCCAGTATCTGTGATTCTCTGAGCTTTTGCAGCTCGCCCAAGTACAGCCCAACCAATCTTCCCATGTGTCCAATGGTCTCTGCAGATGGTGCAACGAGTATATCACCCTCCTGTATCGCCTCTTTCACATTGAACGACTTCTCTTGCAAGGCCTCATCCAGACGAGGTATCCTCATGGCTGATGACACGATCCTCTGTAACGAAGTGAAAAGCGTGTAGGTTTCGCGGTAGAAGGAGGTGACAGCGTCAGGTAAGTTGTTCGAGGCGGAGAAATAGATCTGGTTATGCGGGACGTTCAAACCATGATCTCGAGGCTTGTCTGCCGTGTCCTTTGGATTCCATCTCTCAGTACACATGCTATCTTTCTACCCACGCTCTCTTACCTTCCTCGCGAACCAGCTGGCTATTTCACCTCCGACAGGACTGACGGCCGCTAGAGCTGTCTCTCCGGACGCTCTCCATTTGCCCTTTTCGGTATTCCTATACACGCTAGGCTGGAGATACAGAGCATCCGTATCTTTCTCTTTTACCTTTACACTCGAGCCTGCTCCCTCTTCCGCTTCCACTTCCTCGCCAGTTACATGACCGTTGACCAGCGAACGGCTGAGTTGAGACGGTCGAGCTGGAGCAAACAGATTTGAAGAGCCAGCTCTAGCAGTACGGCTCGAAGAGAATGGCGAAGAGGCGTTTGTCGGATTGTTAGAAAGCATACCGGTGACTAGAGCACAGCCATGCGTCAGTATAGTCAGGGAGTGCTGTGTCTTGCTTAAATGTTATGTAGGGATTGTCTATTGAACTGATCGCGACTGACATTTGAGAGAGATTCTACCGTGGGAATCTTCCAGATTACTTACCTAATCAATCGGCATTCCGGAGCGGCTCGCCCGTTTGGAATTCCCTCTCTCCGAAGCTCGTCATCTTCATCATCGTCGTCGTCGTTCAGTGTACACTTCTCTGACTCGTATTAATAGGCATCCAGAGCGCAAATCTATCACCTGAGTCAGGCTCGCATAGGAATAACCCTCATCCCTTCTATCACACTTTGACGAAAATGGACGGAAAATCCGCTTCTCGTGAGTGTGGTCACGGAGGATCTACTCCACTTACGAAGAGTCGAGCTGACTGTTGTTCCCGTGTGCAGAATACCAAGCTTGGCAGAAGCTCGAGCAGCTCAAAGAGTCTAAAGAGTCCAAGCTCGTCCTCAAAGAGCTTTTTGCTGCGGACCCCGAGCGATTCTCAAAACATTCTTTGATTTTCAACTCATCCTCCCCGAACGTGGAGATCCTACTAGATTACTCCAAAAACTTGATCGATGATGAGGTCCTGTCTACACTGTTTGCTCTCGCTAGAGAGGCTCAGGTCGAAGATTTCAGGGATCAAATGTTCTCAGGAAAGCACATCAACACTTCCGAGGATCGAGCTGTCCTCCATATCGCCCTTCGAAATCCACCAGTCTCAAAGGGAGGATGGAAGATCGACGAGCCTGGTGCTGGGGACGAGGTTCACCAAGTGCTCGAACACATGAAAGAGTTCTCTGAGCAAGTTCGATCAGGTCAATGGAAGGGTTACACTGGCAAGTCCATCGACACAATCGTAAACATTGGTATTGGTGGATCGGATCTCGGACCCGTCATGGTGTGCGAGGCTCTCAAGCACTACTCTAAAAGAGACCTCAAGACTCATTTTGTTAGTAACATTGATGGAACCGACATGGCCGAGGTCTTGAAGGTCTGCGACAGGGAAACAACCTTGTTTATCGTTGCATCCAAGACATTCACAACTCAGGAGACTATCACCAACGCAGAGACAGCTAAGGAGTGGTTCCTGGACGCGGCGAAGGACGTAAGTCCACCTCGTGCTCCCCTTAAAATCACCATGGCCACTGACTCTTTCGCAGAAATCTCACATTGCCAAGCACTTCGTCGCACTATCTACGAACACCAAGGCCGTCACCGAATTTGGAATTGCCGAGTCTAGCATGTTCCAATTCTGGGACTGGGTCGGAGGAAGATACTCCCTCTGGTCAGCTATTGGCCTGTCCATCGCCCTCTCTATTGGTTTCGACAACTTCTCCGAGCTTCTTGCCGGTGCCCACGCTATGGATAAGCACTTCAAGGAGACCAAACTGGAGGAAAACTTGCCAGTCGTCCTTGCCCTGATCGGAATTTGGTACAACGATTTCTGGAGTACGTAGATCCTTGATCCGATCCTATCAATGCTTACAAAGGCTGCCTAGATGCCCAAACCCAAGCTTTGCTTCCTTACGACCAATACATGAAGCGATTCGCAGACTACTTCCAACAGGGAGATATGGAATCTGACGGAAAGAGTGTCACCAAGGACGGCACAAGGGTTGACTACCAGACTGGAGTGAGCCCAGCGAGATCTCGTCCTGACGAGGTCTTGTCTTCGCGCTTTGATGACCAACCTGATACCTTGCTTCTAGCCCATTATCTGGGGACAAAGCGGTACCAACGGGCAACACGCGTTCTACCAGCTTATCCACCAGGGAACCAAGCTGATTCCTTGGTGAGTCATGTTGCCAAAGAATCTCACTCACTGTCCTTCAGCGACTTCCTTGCTCCCGTAGAGACCCTCAATCCCATCTCGGGAGGCAAGCACCACGAGATTCTTCTTTCCAACTTCTTCGCTCAACCCGAGTGAGTTATTTCATTCCCTTCCGCAGCACCAACTCATAGCCAATCAGAGCCCTCGCATTCGGCAAGACAGAGGACGAAGTCCGCAAAGAGCTCGGAACCGCTTCTTCTAACGCCGCATTGGTGAAATCCAAGATCTTTGAAGGCAACAAGCCTACCAACTCGATTATGTTCCAAAAGCTTACGCCTGGAACCCTTGGATCATTGATCGCCCTGTATGAGCACAAAATCCACGTCCAAGGTGCCATTTGGGGAATCAACTCGTATGACCAGATGGGAGTTGAACTTGGAAAGGTGGGTTAAGGGTGAAGGACCAGACGATTGACAATTGCTAGGTCCTCGCCAAGGCTATCCTCAAACAACTCGGAAACGAGAAGGACGTCACCGGACATGACAGCTCGGTGAGTATCGATTGAGTATGAGACGATGCAAGGCTTACTCTTTGACAGACTACTGGATTGATCCACTACTACCAAAAGAACCGGAAATAGACGATATTCAGGAGGAAACAGAAGGTCTGTCGATGGCTATAGAGAAGCTGCCCCTTGTCGTACTTGTGACCCCTGATGCAATTGTTCAATCAAGCGATACAACATTGGATCTGAGCATATCGTGAGGAGCGTACGTCTGCTGTAATTATAGAAATCTATACGATCTGTTACTGTGCCTCGGAGAAAAGAGATTTCACAACCTCGTGATCCTGACGATCTCACGACATGTCTAATCATCAAGACTGTCCTGATCACGAGGGGAGAATAGATCCTGTATTCCTGCTCTATGAAGTGGTGCGGTGGCTGGAGGTGCTCGTGCGTCGAAGCGTCCGATTTCGGCTGCAGGTGGACTTTCTGGACCGATATGATTCGAGGCAGCTGAAGTCCTGGTATTTGATCGCAGACGTTGAGCCCGTCCACCGGTACCGCCGAGTGCGTATGAGAATTGACGACAAGGTTCTGACGGTTGATTCGGTCGTACCGATCCAGATAATGATATGCTTCGAATGCGAGAAGCGGCCAGGACCGGGTCAGAAGTTCGACGAGGGATCATCTGACTCCGATTCTGTGGTGCGGTTGGTCTCGACTTGAGCGAGCTGGCAGCAGGGACGATACTCGTTGACGCCATCTGTATCTGAGAGGCTTCCTGGTCGATGAAGACTGACGCTGAGGCCAAGTGGGATGCGTTGGCGGTCAGAGGTGGCCGAGATACGCTAGACGCTCTCCTGGATCGAGGTAGAACGTGGCTTGAAGAAGCGCTGGATAGAGTTCCACGTCGAGAAGTTGGCATTCTCGGTGGAGTGAGTAAGAAGACTGGAGGGGCGTCGTTTGCTTCTGAGGAGCGTCGAGATGTGTCCTCTTCGGGAATCGTGTCGGGTACTGTAGTAACACCGACGTCGCCTTGCTCCACATCATGCTCCACAACGACCAAATGGCAGTCTGCCTGACTACCAAGTGCCAGTACTGCAATGATGGGGTTGGTCACCCAGCCGACGATAGCTCCATAAACCAACTTAATGACTTGAGGAGCCCACTTGTTTGGGATATTATTGGTTTTGTAGATCGGTCCAAGAATCACGATGGCGAGACACCACAAAGGGAACCCAAAGATGATTCCAATAGCTGCTCCTTGAGCTGCGGTCCAACCGACTCGGCCGAACCAAGCGCGAACAGGTAATTTGGCACAAATCATATTCTTCTCAGTACCTTCAAAGACGAATCGAACAAGCATCCAGTACCAGAATTTTATCCCGCCTTTTGCCCAGGTGAGGTCTGAGCGAGGTCGATCAAGCGTTGTATCTGATGACTCCACCGAAGCCTTCTTCTCATCTACTTTCGTCGCGCTGCTGCGTAATGACTTGTCAAAGATCTGTCTTGGATCCGGGAGATGCTCGACATGGGGATAGACAAATGGCAATGGTGCAATGGCATGCGAATGTAGATCTGTATGAACCAGCGTCGAGGTGATCAACATGCTGACGGCGCAAGTGATGATCGGCGTGACACCAAGATCTCCAGCGATAGTGTTATGCTTCAGAACCCACATGAGAATCGTATCTTGAGAATGATACATGGCGTAGGCGATGGCGAAATTGATACCTCCATCGATGAGTCCAGCACCGATTCCTTGGAGGACCACGATGTAGAACCATTGTCGTCGGGTTAACGGGACTGGGAAGGGGCGAAAGAGGGACTTCATGGTAATGAAGGGAGATGAAGGGGAGGAAGTAAGAGGTGAAGATCCGCCCATGATGATCACCTCTTGGATTTAGTTCTATATACAGACCACGAGTAGATGAATGGCACGATGAGTTATTTAGGCCTGGTGAGTCACCAGCCAAAGATCCCATTGTCTACGTTGACTTTTTAAAACTGAAACACGTGGGTGTTTGATCCTCGATCTCGAGGCCGACGGCCGGCAGCTTTTGTTTGGTTCCAATATTACATAATCATCTGCGCTTCCCATTGCTGGACGGTTCCACAGGCTGGAGATTCGCTTGGTCATCGACAATCGTTGCATCTCATTATTCTTCTATCTCTGCCCTCATCCATCTCGGGGTCGGTCTTGTCTTGCACGTAATTCAGACGCTTGCTGAGAACATATAAGAACAACAGGTGCACCAGTCACTGTAGCTGGTTGAACAGCGCTTGCGCCATTGCTTATCATACGCCACTCACTTACTCCACGAACTCCATATTCACCCTCGAAGATGGCTGCAGCGGCAACGGATAGATCACAATTGATGTTCCTCGGCTCTTCATGCCATCATCAAGCATGTCATCTGAATGACTTTCTTCCCTTCAAAGTGAGTCCTGCGCCTTCGTGACCCTCGCCATCCTCAATGCCAAGTCTTTGTTTCGACACTCTGACCTCTTGCAACAGTGTCCAGCCTGCTCAGAGACATTCTGTCAACCTCATTTCCTCCCCTCCCAGCATGATTGCGCGGCTCCCCTTCCTCCATCCATGATTGATCGAGTGGCACCTCAATGCCCTCTTTGCAACTCTACCGTCCCGACTGTACCCAACGACCCCAATCTCGCCGTTGAACGACACATTCTCAGCGGGACATGTACAGGCATACCTGGGGGAGAGCAACGTCTCAAGGATGAGATGAGGCGGAAAAAGGAGCGAGGTGAAGTCTGTTGGCGGAAAGGCTGTAGCAAGCATTTGGTGGTACCGATGAGGTGCGAAGTGAGTGTTCTGGAGTCGGTCCATTCAAATCTCAGAGTTGCTCACCCGAAAATCACAGCAATGTTCTCATTTATTCTGCCCTACGCACCGCCACGCCTCTTCCCATACGTGCACACCATCTGCATCACCATCGTCGAGTCGCGGTGGAACGCCGCAACCTTCCAAGCCGGCAGGCAAATCTGCTCTCTCTCGACTTCTCAGTACCACCCCGTCCAGTTCCAACCCCTCATCACAGCCATCCTCTTCTACTTCGAAACCCCCGCCGGCGAGCCCCGTTCAGCCTGTCCAAGCGTCTACGAGTCCTCTCGATGCCAAAGCAGCAGCGGCTACGGCAGCTCTGAAGCGTGCAGGTCAAGATGTCAAGGTTCCCTTTGTCAAGTCAAAGACTGAAAAGTGGGTCAGAGCCGACCTAGAATCTGCTGACATATTTTCCAGACGCGCCAATGCGGAGATGAATTCTCAACTTCAAGCTTTAAAGAACAGACATGACAAAGGTCTGCTGTCAAAACAAGAGGAGGTGAGAGGCTAGTCTCTTTTCACCTTGCTCCGTAAAATCGTACGCATCAATCTTCGCATCTCCCGAAGTGCTGGCTGAAGCTTCAAATAACAGGTCAAATACGCCGAGATGATTGCCAAAGGAGAATCGTCACGGCGGAAAGGGGAGAAGGGAGGTAAAGACGGATGTGTGATTGGATGAAAGCGAGGCGTAGCCTGAAAATTCCAGCGTCTAGTTGTTAGCATTATTAGCATGAGTCAATCGCTCGAAACTTCATCCTTTAGCGGGATCGCATGATGTCTACGCCAGCTGCGTTCTCGCTGATCTGAGCTCAGTCTGATTATACATATGTTGCCTAAGAAATGACGCGTATGTCAAGGAGAGCGATTGACTGTGTGACAGAGCCCAAGCTTCCGATGTATCCCACGTAAATTTGCCCTCAAAACTATGCTACAGACTCATCACCGCCTCCGCCACTGCCCATAATTGCTCGGTAAACCTAGGTCAAGAGATCAATGCACTGTCGCATCCATCAGCACACGTCACTCACATCCCTGCTCAACGCATCGCCAATCTTGCGTCTGCCTTCGCCAGACAATTTGTCCGCAAAGAAAAGCTCGGGACCACGTCGAGCTTTGGCCTTACTCTTTCCTGTCGCACTCGCGACCGAACCCGCTGTCACGCTATCCAGATACACCTTCTCTTCTTCTTGTCGTGCTCGTAGGGCTTCCCACATTGCTCTGGGCGTTTCGTATACGTCCAGGATGGCAGACACTTTTTCCGCGCTCATCCCTTTGATACACATCAACATTCTCGCAAATGTCTCCTTGAGAGTTCGACTGGCATTCTTGTCGTTGAGGTCTTGATACCCTTGCCAGCTGGTCAGAAAGGTCTGGGCAGGATAGTTGACACTGAGGCTCTTTTTGAAATCTCGGTAGGATGATCTAGACAAGAAGCGAGTGGGAATAATGTGAAGGTCTTTGTTCTTGTGGGACGAGATGATGATGCGCGTCATAGTGGTCAAGAAGTCGATGGTTTCGGACAATCGGTTGGTCTCCTGGAGCAAAAATTGATTGTGGACTTGAATCTGAGATTTTGCAGTCATGATCTGCAGTCCGCTGAACTCCATATTGTGAGACGTATTCCAGTCCTCGACAATGTAAAAGACGTGATTGATACAAGAATTTGCCAGACGAAACTGTAAGGGTCAGCGGACTGATGCCCTCGCCCGGGAGCGACTCACACATTGTTCATTATATCGACCATCCTTGATACTGTGACACAAGTCGTCGAGCCGCTTTCGCTCCACCACGTAATCAAGCACACATTCGTCCTCTTCACCTCCCACACCATCGCGACGCCGGGCGATCCAACACATATCGCCCAGCCTCAAGGCTCGCGTCTCTACATTGACACCCTTATCGAGAAGCTTCTCGCCGATCTTATCTCGATTTGTCTTAGATTCGACTTCACGGGTATCCAGGATCAAGATGACATCGTATGTACCTGCGGGGAAGATGATAGCGTCTGCGGGAGTGAAAGAAGGCAAATTGACGGGAGCAATCGAATCTGATTCTTCGATCAAAGGGTTGCTGACGGGAATATGAGAGGAAAGTCTCGGTTGAGGCCGAGCCTTGCTGGGACCGGCGACAGATGCAGTCGAGGCAGACCTGAGAAGACTGTTGTCGGACACCATGGGAAACGGTGCACGACTGGATTCCTGGTCCAAAACAACTGGGGCTGAAATGGTTTTCGTGAATGACGCCTTTGGCGGTCGAGGAGAGGGCGGCATCGTACCCGAGACGGGGCGGACCCAGTCATCATCATCATCATCGTCGGAGATGGTTGAGTGTTCCTTCCTCCCGCTCCTTGACGCTGGAATCGAGGTGCTTGTCGCCTCTTCATAAAACCGACTGCATTTTGGCGGAGCATCGTCCTCCTTGATGTAAGCAAATACAGTCTCCTCGCCGGAGGACGGATTCGTTGTACGAGGCGATGTATCGACGAGACGGAGGTGTGAAACGAATCGATGGCCGAGTTGAGAAGCCATAAACTCGACCTTCTTCAACGTCACAAACTGCTCAGGATCCAAGCGACCAGTAGCCTGATCGAGGGAATCAACGCGATGCCCAGCAGAGTCTGGGCAATGTAAGCCCATAGCACACGAGTCAACTTTTAGGCTCACCAATGTACCAAAATCCGAATCTTTCATTCTTATTCACGCTTACACGTGAAACGCTGGCCCTGTTCGTCGATTCCCGAGGTAGACTCGCGTCTGAGACGGTAGCCGGGGGACTCGGTGGAAGCGTGACGCTAGGCACACGAGCCTGTGGTGTTGACTCCGTTCCGACGGTGAGAGGATCAATGGATTCATCAAGCCATGGAAGTCGCGGAAGATGCTGGAATTCAGGGAGCAAAGCTCGGATGGACACTGCAACTTGGCTAGAGACATTGTTAACGATCATAATCTTGGCCGTGGGCAGCACTTACTATCCCTCTGGAGTCAAACAATACTTGTGAGGATTCCCGGTGACATAGACATAGCCCTTCCCAATCAGAGTCTTCATACTGCTCCAAGCGGTGAAATATGTCCCCTTTTCACTGTGCTCATAGCTTGAGTCACTGTACGGCTGAGATATCCTGATCAATTCTCCTTTGGTCAAGAACACCTGCGTGTTGATCTCGGGTCGATCAATAGCGAGGACCAGACCGAGCAGAAGGCCATATCCTCCTGAGCCTTTCGCGGGAATGTAGACCTTTGGTTTGGACGCCTTGCGTTTCTTTGGAGGTGGCACAGCGTCCGTATCTTGCTCAGAGTCTGAGTCGACATCCCCCTGTACTGCCTTCTGCTTGCCTTTAGATTCTAAAGCTCAGCTTTCGGTATCTATGAGATACGGCTTACTCTCTGGGGTCCCAGGAGCTGGAAGCCCATTTTCCTCGCAGTAGGTTCGCCATTTGCCTTCCAAGATATGTACAATCTTAGGTCCGACTCCTTGCAAGACGATCAAATCCCTGGGCCTTGTGAATGGAGTGGGACATGACGAAACGGATCGAGCTGCTTTGCCATACGATTCAGCAGCTTTGGTGCCCTTGTCTCGAGCGGCGTCTCGGAGCTCTTAGGAGATTAGATTATTAGCTGAGAATACCATCGTGAGCCTCAAGATCTCACCCTCGATCCAGCTCAGAAATAAGGGGTTCCCGCATTGAGCTCTCTCCCTTGGCATTATGACCAATATGCTAAAGTGACATTTGTTGATAAGGTAAACCTGGGTGGTCGTCTGGACGGGCTATGAAATAGACATGGGAAATCAGGGAAAATCAGGAGGCTTCCACGGAGATCGCTATCTCAACATCATCATAGGTTTGTGCAAAGCGGCCGAGGAGATCTAAGCTTGCAGTCGAGGTCAAGATGGCCAGAGGGTTGATGGGCTGTTGAATTGTCAAAAGGTCCGATCAACCTTGAAACATCTATCACGCGTCAAAAAGTGGCAAACGGATTGGTGGCAAATAAAACCATCGGTACATATATTTCAATGGCCAGGGTCAGATGCATGTGGTATGTAGAGATGCAACAACACAATCAGAACTAGTGTGGAGATAATGCGTAGTGGGATGTCTTTCCGAATCTAATTGATGGCGTCAAGCGCCTTCATCCTCTCAAAGTTGTACTCTCAGCAGCCGATGCCACGTTCCCCATGACCACTTCCTCATCTGGTCTCCGATCTCGCTTCTTCTCATGGACGATCTCCGTAATCGCATTGGGTGACAGATCCGTCAACTTGGCTTTCTTCCATAGCTTCTTATAGCCTCCTCTCCAGCCGATCCATCGAGTCTCGTAGGGCCCACGAAAGAAGAGCAGAATGATCCCGGCTCCTACGAAGGCTACAGTCGTTGCGCCCGTAGGTCTCCACCCGTGCCTGTTGTAGATTTTGGTGAGAATTGCCGTACCAGATGTCTGAGATATCAGCACGAGCTCAATGGGTGCCTCGAAAGCTTATCCCACCTGGCCTATGAAGACGAAAAGGAGATAACACCCATTGAGACGAGCACGAGCTTGTGGATCAATCCCAGCTATGCGATAAGAGCTCGCGACTTGGAAAAGCTGTTGTCCACAGTCGTACAAGATGATGGCGACACAGACTGCCCCGACGCTCCGGTCTGCAGCACCGAGGGCGACGGACATGGCAATCAGATTGGTCAAAAGTCCTAGGAATTGGGCGAGCCAAGGTACAATCTTGTCCACCAGTCGACCCCATTGTGGAGCCAGAAGCGCGCCAAAGAGACCGAGAAGTCCCAATAGTCCGATGGTCAAGGATGAGTAACTGGAGAGGCATTGCATTAGCATCTCACGTCCCGCGGGATGGTGAAGAACGCACTGGTACGGCTCTGCCGTCAGGAGAAATGTCAAGTCAACCCAGCTGCTAGAATTAGCGATTGCCCGGATAGACTGGCTCTGCACAGACTTACAAGCCGGCAAAAACAGCTGATCCTCTAGTCAGCTGAAGACAAGAGTAGAGAGATTGGGAAATCAAATTTACCGCTTGAACACATTGCCATGAGGCAAGCCTGTGTGAGAGTAGGGTACGTAACGAGATATTTAGCCATCGACACTAACTGCGGGGCCCTCAGTGGACATTCAAAAAAAGTTGAGATTACACACCACTCCTAGATATGTCATGCCGATATTCTTGTCAGGGGTATCTGGGAGGCCCAGCCACAAAATCAGAGTCGTGACTAAGCCGCGTACATCAGGACTGTTCAGCGCGGTGGACGGCAGACTCACGTCCCTGCAGCCCGACAGCCATCCAGTATACATCCCGCCAGGAAGCGAAATCCGAGATCACTCCGGCGAGCACTCGTCCCAGGACCAGTCCAGTGATGAGACCTGAGAAAGTGATGCTCATGGCTCGAGCACGTCGGTTTGAAGGGGCGAGATCTGCTGTCCAAGGTATACACAATTGAGGGGTGACCTGACCAGGAAGTGATTAATCGCTGATACTGGAAGATCTCGGATCCGCTGCTCACAGTCAACATGCCAACCATAAAGCTGAGACCTTCCAACATGTGCACATTCGTCGACAACGCCAAGCCTATTGACAGAGTCGTCGTGAGGAACATCAAGAGCAAGACCAATTGCCGCCTTCGAACGAGATCGCCGAGCGTAGAGATGAACAAGATACCGCAGCCATAGCCGCCTTGCGAGAGAGTCGGAACATTTGAGACAACGTCATTGTCAACACCAAAATCGCGTGCGATTCTGCAGAGGTTATAAAAGACTCCTGCAAACACCTTTACACCTCACTTCACGAGCATCGGCTGGATATAGTACAGATTCATGACGGAGACAGTCTGCGAGAAAATGAGCTCACAACGGGGATTCAAAGCGCAGGGAGCTCACCGCACTGCCGGCAAATAATAAGTTCAGTCGCCAAGTGAAGACAAACTGCTCCTCTGGCTTCATTCCAGGCTCATGCCGTCGATTCCTAGGTATGGGCAAGAATCCAAAATCCTTCTTGCGAACCGTCGTCCTTGGTGAAGACGGTGAAGCCACAAGCAAGGCACTACGTAGTCTTCTGGACAGAGGTGCTCTGTCTCGCTGCAGTCGATCAGGACTATCACGAAGTGCGACCGTCTCGTCCTTATCCTCTTCTGCGCCGGATGGGGTTAAGTTGGCAGTGGTGGGTGGAGGTGAACTTTGGGGCTGCTCCACGAGTCTCGTTCTTGCTAGGGTTGACATGCTGCCAACAGGAGCCAAGATGTTTTTGGATGCCGATGTTTGTCACACCGGCAGGCTGTCTTGACAGACACGATGAGCCTAGTGATGTACCGATAGACCTGACTCGGACGATACAATCAGGCATGTTCCAAAGATTTCGGAAGAAGTGGAGGTTCAGGCTCGGCTCCGACCGGCACATTTGAGCTGAAGACCTGCGCCTATTGTTGTTCTAGGCGCGTCATCGCCAGAATCCTTTGAGACGCGTCCGGGTTGTTGCCAGTAGTATGGCGTCAACGGACTATCAGAGTCCTGGGTATAGAATGCATGCGGAAGACCTCTTGTAGAAGGGCTGGACTGATCCAGAACCAGTGATGCTGCCATTCGCCTGTGCTCGACTCGAGATCCATGCAATATAGCTCGGTGATTCCCGAGCAGCATTGATAATAATAATAAGCTTAAAAGATGACGGACGAGCGGAATCCATCGCGCTCGTGTCTGGCTGTCGCCAGCTGATCATCTACGATTCATTCATTCATTCATTCCCTCTAAAGAGAGCATATCGGTGTCTCCTCGCGGTAGCACCAAATCGAACATTTACCTACGCTAGTCTCTGTGTCAATCTTGCGACGATGCCAACTGAGCTGCACTCATAAATCTTCTGTGCGTTCGTCTCGCAGCAAAATTCGACTCGCCTCGTTTTTGTTCACATTCACCCGACACTGCTTCAGGAAATCGCTTTAATCTTGGATGGAATACTCAATGAGAATGTCGCCGTATACATGTCAAGGATGACTCCGCTCGCACGCACTTGATCCACTCATCCGTGTCTTCGTTTTCCACCACGCCTCTGGATTACGAGCCCCTTTGACCCAAAGGACGAGTGGCTTCCAGCCCTGACGTCTCCATAGAGCGACGCCCGCCCCCCCCCCCCCCCCCCCCCTCCCCAACCTATCGCAACGAAAACCAGCTTCCTTCATCTCGGGCTGCTGGAGTGCCGTGGACAATCATGAGCACGTCCATTCGCGCTCATACTCTGAGATTGCGGTCTCCTCTCGACTACTACGCACGTCCCTCTTCGACCAAAGTGGAGAACGGGAATAGTCCGAAGGACCCTATCCCAGGAAATGGGTCAGCGTTCTCGAAGCAGTCTGCACAGTACTCAGTGACGGATGAGAAACTTCTTACTACGACCAAGATATCACACAAGCCTCTGAATGGGGGAGAAGACTTTGATACTGCCTTCAACATGGAAGGAGGAACGCGACAAGGTGGAGGTCCGGGCGAGACCAACCGTGGACTGAGCTCGAAGGACGGCGACGGCGGACTACGGGAACACAAGGAGGCGAAACTAAGAAGCCGTCAAAGTCAAGAGCGGACGAGGACATGGGCTGAAGAGATCGAACGGCGTCGGCCGAGAGAGGGTCGTCCTGCGTCAAACAGGAATCCAGAGTCATCTGCAAGTCCTCAGGCAGGTATATCCCCACTTCCGACCCCCATCCCCAAAGCCGATGCTCCAAACTCCTCAATCTCATCTGTTTGCTGTGATTCGTCGTCAGGTGAAGAGTCGGGACCTCTCGGAAGGCGAGCATCTAAAGCTTCGCAACGGAATCGACGGCGGCTGGATCTCGTCGTACCTATCGACAGATCTACCCCATCTCTTGATTCGTCATCAACTTCACATACCTGGTTATCACCTACGAAGAGCTCTCCGCCAGCGCAAATCACTACACCGATCTCCTCCATAGATGACATCGTCAAGCGGCACCAGTATGCCTTGACGAGCGCGATGGACAGTGCCAAGACGAAGGCCAGGTTGGAGATGGGTCTATCGCCTGCATCCTTGGACATACAATCACTTGACCGACAGTCATCAATTTCTTCGTCCTCCCATAGTGCTTGCTCTTTGCCTGCTGTGAACGGGACGCTCGGACGGGATCCCTCAAACGTTGAGCCAGCAGCTCATCGACCGCCGAGTGCCTCCACGGCAGCGTCAGCTGCGACTGCGCTCTCTCCCACACAAGCGTTCTTCATGGGCGAGACGTCGGGCCGCTCTAGACAGAGTATACCGCGCACGATGCTTGACTTCGAGCTTGCGCACAGCACAGAAGAAGTGGACGCAGAAACGTCAACCCGTTCACTCACAGTCAAAGCTGAACCGAGAGACTCTGAGGGCTCCTCTTGCGACAGCCTGGTCAAGGACCTTTGGATTGGTCAGAAGCTGCTACAACAATTGGACGAAGGCTCATCGACCCCGTCTGATCCTACGCTCCTGCACCAAGAGAGACTGTCCATGGACGCATTGAGCAATCCTCCTTCGCTCAAGCGTCATTCGGTCCGTCTGTCCAAAAGCTCTGACTCGCCAGAATCCCACGCCATGGCAGTCTATCTCCGTTCACCGAATCTCAACAGACATTTACAGCTCCCTCGTCCTTATCCCGATAGACCGCTCAACGTGTCTCTTGCGGAAGTCGGCTCAGCGTCTGGTTCGCCAGTGCTCATATTCCTCGGAATCGGTTGCGTCCGTTATCTTATCGCTTTGTTCGATGACCTCGCAAAGGCATTGGATCTCCGCCTGATCTGCATTGATCGATGGGGATATGGCAAGACTGATCCAGTACCGACTGATCGTCGCTCGCCAATGCTCTGGGCGCAGGTGGTAGAGAAAGTCATGGACGAATTGAAGATCCGAGACTTTCGAATCATTGCGCATAGTGCTGGCGCACCATTTGCAGCTGCAGTAGCTTTGAGGCTTGGCAATCGTATCACAGGCAAGATGCAATTTCTCGCTCCGTGGGTCAGCCCAGAGATCGATGGAGGTGAGCATTCTGGCTGCACATCTGCGCTTGCAGAGACTGACGCTCCTCGCAATAGGCTACAAGTGGCTCAAATGGATACCGAATGGAGTCATCAAATCTGCTACGGCGGCTGAATGGAGACTTCAGTCATATCTCTTGGGCAAACCACCGCCTCTAGTCCACCAACCGGTCGAACATACCGCCGAAGGCCTCAGCTTACCGACTCCCTCTCCCGGTCGTCCGTCGATAGGCCAGCGAGCCCATAGCGACACTGGTGCCAAAGTCGAGCCTAGGCGCTCCTTACTCTCATCTCCATCGCCTGTACCTAGTCGTGCGCCTAGTATCATCCGCCGGGCGTCGAGTGTCTTCGCGAAGAACCATACTGCTCCTGTCCAAGACAAGGATCTTAAACGGCAACCCATCATCAAGCATCTCAGAAGCTCGGTTCTGCTCAGGAGCCATTCAGAGGACGATGGACGATCTCCCTTCAAAGCTATCTCTCCTCGTGGATCCAGTGACTTCTCATCAAGCGTCCCTGTCTCAGAGAAACATTCATTGACCATCAAAAGCGAGGTCTTCTCTGCATCTTACGAAGGCGACATACTCGAGTTTCTCACGGACGGATTCAGTCTGTCAGGGCTGCCAGCGACGCCCTCGCCAACACCATCCAAGAATCGATTCAGTGTCCTCTCTCCACTGCCCAGTCCATTCCGACAATCATCCACTCCCACTACTCGATCAACCAGCCCGATCCGCTCAGGAATCGACGTCCAGGATGAGCCGAAACCTTCTCTGGGACCCGCTCTTACACAAGCATTGATGCAAGCCTCTCATGCGGAATGCGAGCCGGGAACGACGACTGAAATCTTAACGGTCGTACTGAATCGTGGTGAAAAGCCATGGGGATTCAGCTATGCCGATCTCCGTCAACCGGTCACTATTCATTGGGGCGAGCTGGATGACAAGGTCTCGGAGAAGAGTGTTCGGTGGATGGAGAGGAACATGAATCAAGGTGGAGGAGCAACGGTCCAGATCATCAAGGGGGAGGGACATAATTTGATGACTAATGCTGTGGTGATGTGTGATATTTTTCAAGCCTTACGGAAAGAAGTCAAAGAAGAACGCGCAGATGCGGAGAGGGGAGTAAAGGAGAGGGTCATGATGTCGAGAAGTAGAAGGCGATGAGCGCGCAACTGACTGATCATTGTAGAATTTCTCCATACTGTATCGATATCTCATTTTGTCTTTGCATCGTTTTGTCTTGAGTACGAAGTGCATCGTCCGCAATGGAGCTAGCTGGTCATTCGGCCTTCGCCAGATGTACATTGTTCAACATCGGCTAGATGATCACAAAACGCATGACTACCTCTGATCCGTACTGGGCCTCTCTCTGCCCCGTCTGTCATGACTCCTCGCCTTATCACGATCAATCTTGACCCGCTTGGAAGCTCCAGGAGAGTCCTCCCTGGCGACAGGTGGTGTGTCCTCATGAGGCCGTTTACGAAGTTCCGACGGACCCGAAGGCGCTCCATTGGAACTGGCAGGTGGTCCCATCCTGGAAGCCAGACTGGACCCATTTCGACTCGTGTCGGCCGAGGAAGAAGACGCGCCGGGTCGAGCTGGCAACGCGTGAGTCGTGCGGCTTGCAGCAGGTGCAGCTCCAGATTCGTTCCTGCCAGGTCGACCGCCATCTGGCCGAGCGGGGAGTCGAGTATCTCTCGTCTCCGTGGAGGACCGGGCACCACGCGGTGCCTCAATGATCCGATCGCCGTGCGTCGTGGAAGGAGGCGGGACACTCGATCGCGAAGGTGTGCGATCTCCATTCGGGCGATCGCTTACTTGACCTCTCCGGGTCTCGCGCGCACGCTCATCCCTGGACGAAGAAGGTTCGTGAGGCGGAGCGTCTCTAGCCCGAGTGGGACCAGGCGCACCGGGTCTCGCTTCTGTGACTGGATCATCTCGAGGTGTAAGGGCGGGAGGGGCGTCTCGTGCTCGGGGATGAGCCTTGTCGGCATGTGATGGTGGATCACGGGAGGAGCGCCGGGTCCGGTCATCCGACTCGCGCTCTCGCTCTCTCCTTCTTCGTTCTCTGTCATCTCGACGATCTTCCGGTCGCTCATCTCGACGCGTACGAGATTCTCTTGGTTCGCGAGAATCCCTGGGATCTCGCTCATCTCTTTCATCGCGGCGGGATCGATGACGATGCTCTCGCTCTTTCTCTCGCTCTCGGTCGCGGTCTCGAGGATCATCAATCCTTCTCGGTGCCTTTCATGTCAGCTAGGTTTGAATTGTCTGAGCCCACCTCTTCCTCGCGTCGTTTCGCACGAGTCGAGAACGATTCTCTCTCCGGCTTGGCTGAGGAGCTTTCCTTCTCCCTATCCTGATCATCGCGTCTTGATGAATCGCGCGAACGTCTTCGTTCGCCGTCGTTTTCCGCGTTATCAATTGAAGATCTCGACCGACCGTTCTCCTTGCTAGGTAACAGCTCTTTCGGATCTTTGCTCTCCTCTACTGATCTGTGTTCCCTCGAATCAAATCTATCTCGATCCCGTCCAGACTTTTCAGTCGTTGCACTGCCATTGGAAGGAGCGGGAGAAGACGTCTTCCGGGCATCGGCTGCTCCTGCGCTAGCCGTCTGGGATGAAGCAGCTTCAGAGCGGGAGTTTGAGGCAGAAGGTCCAGAAGGGGGCTGAGGTCGAGTGAGCGTTCCGAATTTCCTTGCTCTTGCCGCAGCTCGCTCCTCATCAACTGAAAGAGAGGTACTGGCGGGAGGACCCATGCTTGACGAATTCCTGGACGCGTTGGGGGCAACAGGTGGACCCCGAGCAGGTCCGGTAGGTGCCGCCCGATCCGTCGAAGAGCTTGATGCGTGACCGCGTATGGACGCGGATGGCCCAGTCGGGGCAGAGGCAAGAGAAGCGCTGGAACGTGTCGCTCTAGGACCGGCAGGTGGTGTGGCAGGAGCGGCAGCGTTCTCGTCGGAAACTTCTTGGATATCATTCGAAGTATCTTTGCTTTCCGTCGTGGAGGCGGCAGCCGCTGCACTGGCCGCAGCCGCTGCGGCAGCGACCGCCGACGCATTGCGAGTGGCTTTGTTCTCCTCCAGTTTGGCACGAAGGGCTTTTGGATCAGAGGCACCGGTGGTTGAGCTTCGCGATGCCGATCCGTTGACCTTGACGTCCGAATTAGCCGGCGCAGGCGATGTGTCTGACGATTTTGGTGCAGTAGGAACAGGCTTGACAGGGTCCAACTTCGCTCCGCCGGCGTGGAAAGATCCGGGGTTGACGAAAGGCCTGGTTGTCTGCCTCTGTTTGAGCATTCGAAGGTAGCTACGATCGCGTCAGCCAGATGCCGAACAGCCAAAGTTCCTGCTCTTACGCTTGACATTGATGTTGCAAATCCGGCGTCAATGCACCATTTTTACCGGCTACGAGATTGCTGACGGCTTCTTGGACCGCCTTCCCATTGGTCTCCATTGTAGGAAAGGATTTCAAGACCTGGAATCCAACTGTGATGGCGTTCTTGATGTGCATGAAGTCGTTCTCGGCCCAACAGGAGATTAAGGCCTTTGACAATATCAGTAGGTGGTACCTGCATGAAGACATCGATCGCACCTTTGCCAGAACGTTGTGTGACTTTGCGTAGAACTCTCTAAACTGCCGCCACTTCATAGGTGCAATCGGTGTGTCTTTCTTGACGCGGAACAGCATGCCAGGGAGCTCCTTACTGTTGTCTCCTGAGTCAGAATCCACGCCAAGCGCTTCTCGGTTGTAGCGCTTCTCATCCTTGTGCCAGCTATCGAGATCGGCCATGATGGCAGCAAGACAGCGGCCTGGAGACGGTCAGCGGGTCGACTACAAGGAGAAGCGACGTACCGAGGTTCCGCGCTTCGTTTGTCGTCGACGAAAAGATGCATCCGGCCAAATGCTCGCCAAAGAACTTGGGCTCGTCAGCTTGCAAAGTATAGACAGATACCGGCGTCACTCACATTGCTGTACACGAAGAGCGTAGAGAAGCCTACGGTCCCGAGGTCGTGAGCTGTGCGGATAAATTTGGCCACGAATATGGCATCCGCGGGGGTGAGAAGGGCTCTCGGATAGAAGCAATGTTGATGGAGCTGCTGCGCTAGTTTCCTCTGCAGACTCTTTTCGAAGACAACTGGAAAATAATTTAGCCAATGCTTAAAGCACGGTCTTTAGCGACTCACACGATGGGAACCAGTGCTTGCTCTCTCTCGTCAAACGACGTCGAGTGGCCTCCGCTATTGAGGACTGAGCGGCCTTTTCCTTTGACAGGACTTCTATCCGTGCTTTCAGCCTAGCGCGCTCAGACTTCTGGTCGGTGACAGCGGTCGTCTTCCAAGAAGCGACATCGCGATCCAACGCGGATATCTTGGCGATTGCTTTATCGTACGCTTCTGGTGAGTAACCAATGTCTCCCATGGTAAGATGCCAAAAAATGACGAAGAATGGTGCGCTACGATGATGAGAGCGGCTCTAGCCAGAAAGAAGGATCAGGACCTACCCCATGAGATCATTGGCGTCCAATGGTAAGAGATCCCGGGCCTGCTCCATGGGTTTGCGTAGGGATGAAGGGTACCACGACTTGCTCGGCTGACAGACGTTAGTATGACATTGCACGCATGACCTACATGTGACTTTGGGGCGGGTATAGTCACTTCTCCAGCAGCAACAACGGCAGCGGTAGACAAGTCAAACTTGTCGTCCACCTCCATGGTAGGAGACGTGGGGGACGACACAGGAGAATTTTCCACACTAGGGGAGGCTGACGTTCGGCCCTGCTCCTTCGCAGCTGCCAATTTAACCCTCATAGCAGCTTCGCGTGCTGCTCGAGCTTTGCTCAACTCCGCGTTGAGCCTCGGACGAAGTATCAAGAAGGCAATGGAGAAGTCGAGACCATAATCAGACACCAGCGTTGCGAGATCTGGGGTGAAACTGGTGTGCTCTTCTTGAGTCAAGTATTCTCCCAGAAGATCGCCATACTGGATCAATGTCCCGTGGACCTACAGGCATACCGTGAGTTCGAGCTTGGTCAAGGCCGGTAGGCGGGAATGACTGACTGTATCTTGCATGGCTGAGATGGCTTTGATAGGGGCTGAAGCCATCTTATCCACCGCTCCTTGTCTCGTTTGACCTAAAGCGATCCAAATTGGTAATGCTAGCTCGGTGAAACGAAGAGAGTTGATCAGGCGTGGGAGAGATCGTTTCGTACTTCTGGCCTTGTCTACTGGAGCCTCCTTCGGCTTGGCGGTGACATCAGTTGGGTCGACAGGCCGCGCGATGGAGATGAGAGTGGTGTTGAAGGCCTCTTTGACCATCTCGCGTCCTGCAGCATAGGCTTGCAATTGATCGTCAGAAATCGCATCGTTCTCGACCTGAGATACGCCCGTCATGATGCTGATCAGCTTGTCGAGGATCGTCAAGTCGGCCGAATCTGACCGCATCAAGCGGTTGATGATGAACTGAAGCACAGGCTCAAGATCCATAGAAGCGTATCGGCGGTTGAAATCACCGACAAACGTTGCAAGACCTGGGATTATGAGCCAGCATCGGCAAATGAACACTCACTTGCTAGCCACTGAGCAACATCCGTCCCATTTGGATTCAACCTCGACACCGTATCATCCGAAAGCGTGTCTACCAGAGTGAACATGGCTACATCTGTTGACAACTGTGTCATATATCGTCCAGCTTCAACGATGAATTGTCCGATATTAGGATACGCCTTGACCTGAGTGACCGCCGTGCTCCACAGAGCGTGAGGATTGCTATGGCTCAGCTTGGCCAGAGCTCTCGCTGGACCCCTATCAGTCGATGCTGCAGGGCCTGATGGCGTAGATTGGGAGGCAGTCACACGAGATAACGCCTTTTTAATCTCTCTCGTAGCTTCAGCAGCCGCGTGACAAGCGGCAGGACAGGGATTCCGCCCAATAGCACGGCATGTGCTATCTCGCCATTCACCATAGAGCGAGTAGCGGACGGGGTAAGGGAAGTGGCGGAGGAGACACCACAATTCGACATCAAATGCGGCGGCTGCGCTTGAAGTCGACAGAGCGGGAAGTAGTGATACACGGACGAGATCTAACCAAGGACGCATTTCCTCCAGGGAAGGCTGCAAGCCGTCAGCTTAGCTTTCGAGGCAATGGACGTTAGAATCACCTCGACAGACTGTATTTCACCCTTCGTCTCTGCACCGTCGAAGAGGTTCAGAGATTGTTCCTTATTACGCCTCAGGGTGGTGAAATGAGCAGCACCAATCCGACATAGCTTGACCATGACTTCTACTTGTCGTCCAGCTACTCCACGTACCAGACCCAGCCAACGTAATCCGTCGGTGAGCAGCTGCTCGTGGGAGGACCATTGTGAGATCTCGTCCGTCCAATTCGGGTAGAAGAATCTATATTTGGAATGAGCCGTGTCCGGGGGGCAAGGAGCCAGGTATGTCTGGATGATCCGCTGATGAGATGATAGTGGATAGCCGTGTAAGGCGACGTCCTCTTCCACTTCGCCGTCTTCAGTCACGATCTCTTGCCGTACAGCTCGGTACAATGGTTCGAGAGCATGTCCAACATTCCGCATGATCAGGTCTGCGATCACCGGATGACTCTGCGCAAGCCATGGGAATCGAGCTAGGATGACCATCGCTCTTGAGAAATCCCCAACCGACAGCAAGGCTTGGAGTAGCATGATACGTTGCTCCGGTGGCGGCTTCGGAGGTGGACCGGAATCTTCGACTTTGGCGGTGGCAGTGGAAGAGTCTTCGTCGTCGAGTAGAACAGAGTTGGAGAGTGCGTTTGATGGGCCAGATCGAGAGCTGGTAGATGCAAGCCAGCTGTCATGGATGACTTTCATTTGAGAATCGTCAGGGGATAGCTTGAGTATGGTAAGTCTAGTCGATCGTTCCGCGTCCTGAACTACTCACGAATGCAAGAAGATCTGATGATCCGACAAGACCGTGCTTGATGAGGAGCGCAGACATGACTACGAGACCGTAGGGGGTCTCTCCGCCGTCTTGCCGCTGGGAAGCTCTCATTAATGGGGAACTTATTTATGGCTGGGCAGCTCCGGACATACCTGGTAGAAGCCAAACTTCACTCCGAGGACTTGACATAGGACACGGTCTCCTGATGGGTCCAAAGCATGTCGGATGGCCGAATCATCGTCTGCCAGCCATGCTTCCGTTGCTCTCCCTTTGCCTTTCCCGCCGGATCCGAGGTTAGACGCCCCGCTGCCCCATGGCGAGCATTTTAACAAGTCCAGCAGGAATCGCCATTGGGCTGCAATCAGACAGCTAGCGACTTCCAATATGAGATCCAGGACTCGCGGGGGAGACAAGTTGAAATATCCAATCAATCCCATGATTTTGTCCCATACCTGCTCTGCTCTTTGCTTTCTCTGCACATCCGTCTCACCCTCTGTCCTTGACGAAAAGGCATCAGATCCAGTCAACAAGACAACGAGCGCTGAGAAACCCTCGGACGATTCTCGCAATAGGTTGTATTTGGATTGCTTGAAGAAGAGGGTAGTATTCCGTTTGACGTAGGCTCTTTGCAAGAGTTCCGGTCTCGTTGGGTAAGGATGTAGGGCCAGTCTTGAGAGCAGCTCAGGAGAAAGGATAAGGTTGGGGATATGGGATGGTATTCGTCCAGATTGCTGAATCAAGTTATTCCTGCCTGTCTTTGGACAGTCTCCGCACTCACCATGAGCGAGCGCAGCAGTTCCACCCCTTTGTCACTCGATGTCATGGGCTTGGCCAGCTCATCCTGATCCATCGACTGATCGCCTGACGTTTTCAGATCCGATGCATCCTCCCTAGACTCGTGCAGAACCTCCGTCACATCCGCGAGAGCTTCCCCGAGCTGATTCACGCGCTCTTCCTTGACTTCGTCGTTGAACGAATCGAAGAGATTTGTGAATAGTTCCAGCAGCTGATCCAGTCCGGTATCCGAGTTCAAGATTCGGATAAGCACATGAGATAGCAATATTGAGCCCAATGCTGCCGAGTCGACCTTCTCCAACAGATTGTCCAGTATCGACTGCAGTTCAGCTGAATCACTGTCAGTCCATCGGGTCAAGGCTTGCTGGATCGAGGTGTCGAGCTGCTCAATCCCAGATGAAAGGGTTGCATTTGACGAAGAGGAAGCTCCCATTGGCTCTCTTGGAGCTACTCGACGTGGCCCCATGATCCAAGTCGAGCTTGCCTCTTGTCGTGGTTTTGCAGTTGGTTGTGGTTGTAATGTAGAGAGGTGACAGAGCGATTCAATGGGATCTCTAAGTGCCACAGTGTCAATTTGCCGAACATTTCCGAACCCCTTTGGTAATCTGTTCCGGCATTGATAGATATATTTTTTCTGGGTCATCAACGGATTGTAGCTCACAATTGCAACAGCGTCGAGGAGGTCAAGCGCATTCCTCCCTCAGCCTCCAACCTCTCGTGTCGGATATCCGCTTCCAAACAGTCCATATACCATGGCATACCCTGGCGAGAAAAATCCGGCTCCGTCCGCATTCACACCGTATCTTGATGCCGTCAACGGTCTGTTCCAACCGATGACAGGTCCAGTGATGAACACGTACAATCGATTCCATGGATGGAAGGAGAGTATGGGTCTGATTCAGCCCGGAACAGTGGAGAATTTGACCAGGGAGATCTCTCGTTAGTCTTGGGCTTTTTCAGGTTTTGAAAAATGCTGATCGACCCATCAGAGGTTCATCTCGCCAACTGGGCATTTGAAGGTGCCAGAGCGGACGTTTCCAAAGTCGTCTCGGGCAGTCCTGCTTTCCAGCTCACTCACTCTTTCGCCCTTGGATCAAGTAGCAAGCCTTCCAGTTACAATTTCGGCGCGGTGTTTGCCAATGCTCAAGTGAGGACTGAATAAACGTAGAGTTGAGGATTGATCTAACCTCTCGTGCAGACTTTGCTGCAAGGAGGAGTTGATGGATCTGGTGTGGTGACGATGAGAGCGAATCAGACATGGTCAGCGACAGATGTCACCAAGGTTCAGGGTCAGGTGAGTATTGCGAAGCCCCTCACTTTGTTGTTGGTGTGCTGAATCGCCTCGTCCCAGTTGTACAACAAACCTGGACAATCGATGTTGCAGATCGAGCACGACCACCTGGGACCTCATTACTCTTTATCCCTCAAGACAATGAATCCCGGTCTCCTAGATGGTACCGGCATCCACTTCGTCTCCCTCCTCCACTCCATCTCACCTCGGCTGTCTCTAGGATTCGAGAGTATAATTCAACATCCTCAACCTGCCATCCTCGAGACCTCGACGTCTTACCTCGCGAAATTGACATCCCTGCCCAATCCATACGCTGCTCTTGCTGCCACCTCCCCCACAGGGCAACCCCTCTCCGCGCCATTCTATCCTTCCTGGACTGCTACGGCCCAGTTGCAACCATCAGGAAACATTCAAGCGACGTATCATCAACGCTTGAGTGAAAAGGTTGACGTGGCTCTTGATTTCCAGACCCTTATCCAACCTGCGTCTATGATGGGACCGGCGAAGAGAGAGGCTATCTGTACTGCCGGCGCCAAGTACGACTTCAGAATGGCAACATTCAGGGGTCAGATCGACTCCAACGGTACCGTCGGCATGTTGCTGGAACAGCGATTCACACCGGCGTTTGCGTTCATGGTGTCTGGCGAGATTGACCACTCCAAGGTGAGCAGAAGCTGTTGAGATAGGGGCGGTAGCTGACATTCACTATAGAACACGTCCAAGTTCGGTGTGGGCATCATGATTGAATCTTCGACCATGACACAGGAAGAGATGATCGCTGCGGGCATGTTGACGCCTGTGCCTGGACCATGATGTGGATGTCTGAAGACGGAGAAGAAAATGAGACGATGGCACATCTTATCACAGTCGACTCTGCAGGTTGACATGGCCTCTTGATGATATTGCATTGGTGAGATACCGGGGCCCGCCATAGCTATATCTACATGTATCACTTTTCAGAGACATCGGGATGTCTCGCAGACTGCAGATAGGAGTCAGGCAGGTTCGCCAAGTCTGAAGGTATGGACTCAAACTATTGTACGATCTGGGAGGGATTGTTTCGCAGCGATAAAAATTGTCGGCAGCCGAAATGCCAAACCTAGTATCCTTGACCATCAGCCGGCGTATCTTGCGAGTCTTAGATCTCCTGATCCGACCA